AGCTTATAAAAACAGCAGAAGCCTTGGCTATCCATAAACTGAAGCCTGATTTTTGTGTTCATAAGAAGCATGTAGAGTCTTTATTTCTACCTTGGCCTTAACTTATTTTAGTCCTGGTCCGCTTCGTTCCCATTTTTCGTTTTCCAACCCCCTTTTTTGTCAGATTAATCTTTGTACTCTTATATAGTCATTACAACTTTATTTTCATATTTAATTGCCTCATTTGATCTTCCTGATAATTGAAACTTTTAAAAAAACATTCTCAATTTACTCCATTTGACTTGATTCATTCATATTACCTAATCTTTTGATTGTTTATTAATGTTTTCACCCTCTTTTTAATCTATACGAACCTCATAAACGATCTAAAAGTTTTACGTAACCCCTTTTTCCTGTCATTCGACCTTCACGACATCAGCTAGCAACATTATAATTATATTTCTGAGATGAATGGAAATTTTTATTTCAGAGGTAGTAATCATCATGGACTGACATCAGTTGGGGAACCATTGGAAATCTGGGAGCACTAGACAGGTGTTTCGTCCTAGTATGGGACTCCTCGGCAATACACTACCTACTATCCGGCTAGGGATCTAACTCAGGACCTTCTGATCGCACAGCAAACGCGTTAACCATTCAGCCACTGGGTTGGTTTACAGTGGTTCACAGTTTCTAACTTCTGTCAATTCACAATACAGCACAACTACCACCCAAGGTCTTCAGTTGGCATCCGCTTCACTTCTGACTGGTTGACCACACAGGTTAAGGCTTCTCATTAGAACTTGGTGGTATCCATCTGCAGGTAAGTCACTAATGACAACAATACAGTAATATGTTTTGGAGATGAGTTGAAAAATACTAAGTCATCAACTAGAAACATAATTACTACTATAACACCATTAATAATGATGTTCCAAGCCCCCCCCTCCCCCATTATCTAAGTAAAATCTTCCTCATGAATTAGTCTTTACATATCAGATACATACACACGAATGTACAGCTTGAGAATAAATTCGTTGAAAAGAGTCCTCTTACTGATGGGTACATAATGTATTATCACTACAATGACATACCTTGTGAAACCCTTAAAAAAGGAAACCTGAGTCTTTGCAAGAACTGGCGCAGAATCATCCTCCCGTCTCTGTCCACACCAAAGAAATATTAAGCCACATCATCCTGGAGACACCAAAAAATGCTCTCCATTCAAAATTACGACAAAAACAGGCTGGCTGACTCACTGACTGACTTCAGGAAGAACAAATCATGTCCACATCAAATTACAACACCACATCACGCTACACATCATCATCATCATCATAGAACAAACCACAGAATAGCAGTCAACGGCATCCCAACCACAAATTCACACACTTCGAAAACACTTCCAACAGCGTCAATCAAGAAGTAGTTTGGCAGGCAGATGCTTCAACACTATGGTTTCACTGAAAAAAAAAACAGCTGTATCAACTTCATTCAACAGCTATATGCTATGCTATATGAGAAGAATGCTACATAACAAGTCATTCACAATGCAAAGCTCAATGACACCTTCAACGTGAAGACAGCAGTAAGACAAAGTTACCGCCTACTATCACCCATCATCTTCCTGATTGTCGTCCACGGGATCATCCAACAAACCATCAACAGCGAGAAGATCGCCATACGCTGTTTGACTAATGAAAATACCCTACACAATTCCGATTTCGCCAATCTGCATTTATATCTAATCTCCCACCAGCTCAAACATCTATAGGCAAAAACCAACAAGTTGACATAAGAGGCAGCGAAGACGGGACTTCAGGTGAATGTAGAGAAGACAGAGGGAAGGAAATACATAACCACCACCACCACCACCACAAAAAACAACAAGCACCAATCACCATCAACGGTACAAACCTAAAGGAAGTAGTCTCTTTCACCTAACTCTGTACCCAGGCAGCATCGTCTCAACTACAGGCGACACAGGCACAGACGACGATGTCGAAACCAGGATCTGGAAGACAGTAAGATAAACTTTCAATAATCTGAAACCAGTGTGCAGATCTACTGTACTCCACTCCATTCCACTCAGCATAAAGTGTGAACAACATCCAGATTTTCAACACCAACGTCAGTCAAGTCAGTGCTGCTAAATGGTTCAGAAAGCATTTCCAACAAACTACAGACATTCTTCAACAGCTGTCGCCTACGCTCGCTCGATAATGAAGCTCAGATGTGATGGCCAGAAAGAACAAGCAACAAAGAAGAAAGTGGAGATAGACTGGGCATACACTGATGAAACAATTCGGAGACATCGCGCGCCAGGCCAGGTACTCAAGTGAAATCGAAATGGGAAACGACAAGTTGGCGTCTGAGCCGAGGGTGACGTGGAGATAATGTGAGGAAGAAATGAAAGCTTGTGGGCAGTGGTAGAGCCAGGTTGAAAAGACTGCAGAGAAGAGAGTGAAATGGCGATTTGCTACTGAAGCCCTATTTCGCGCTGGGAACCCAAAGGAAAAATAATAATAAAACAAGGCAAAAGTCACGGGACTGAAGCAATGTACAAAGGTCGTTTTCATGTCTGAAGCTAAAACTAACTAGCTGACATTTGGAGGGACTGAGTGTCCGGTCATTTAACGAAGACCAGTAACTAATTTCGTCTAAGAAGTTAGTAAATTGAAAACAATCAGAAGAGGAGATGATCAGCATGGATACTACCAGGTCATCGGCATACCTAACAAAGTTAGCTTTAGTTGAGGTTAGTATGTCATGCAAACGAAAGAGAGAAAGAAAGACACACCGGCTTCACTAAGCAGCGAAGTATAGCGTTTCCCTCTTCTCACAGAAAAATATGAATCAAGCCTCTTAACAATCCAGAACTCAATCTGAGTACTGGCAAGCTTGTTTACTAAGACGGGTCTAGGGATACAGTCGAAGGCAGAAGTATAATCCAAGAAGGTAGATCTAACACACTTAGCATTTTTGTCCACACTGGCAATAACATTATGATGTAAAACAACAAGACACTCCTTCTGGGTTTGTAGGCAAACTGATTTGAATCTGTAAAATCCTACAATGGAGGTCTAAGTGCACGAAGTAACAGTTTTTTCATTGTTTTTAGGAATAATGAGGTAACTGTAATCGGTCAAAACTTCACTTTTGCTCCAGCAGATGTGGACTTAGGTACCGAAACTATTTAAATTTCTTTTCAGGCAGTTAGTACGTCGTTTCTAGCAAAAGATTCATTAAAAATGTTTGTGAGTCGATGGCATAGAATATCAGCCAGTATATTTCGTGAAAAGGATACATTGGCATACTATCTAGTCTGGAGCATTTTGCGGATGTTAATGACTTTAGGCATTTGAATATATCTGTTTCATTGAATTTAGGAAAATTGTATTCTGTTATACGTGAAGAACTAGATCAGATAACATTTACGGATTCTGAGGGGGTTGTGGAGATTTGGAAATATTTCAAGTTGTTATTCATCGAAGACTGACATCAGTTGGAGGAACAAAGGAAACCTGGGAGCACTGGACAGCTGTTTCGTCCTAGTATGGGACTCCTCAACAGTGCGCACCCACGACCCCACCAGTCTTCGATGAATAACAACTTGAAATATTTCCAAATCTCCACAACCCCTCAAAATTTAATTTACGGATTCACGTATGAATAACTCATTTAATGTACGCACGTTGTCGCAGGTTCATTTCTGAGTTTTCTCTCGCCACCAATATCATTAAAGTCTCCATATACTAGTAAGGTTTTTACATGACATTAGACTTAAGCGTTTGATTACAGACTTAATCAGTCAGATAAGTCGTTCAAAACCAGAATTTACCTTCGACTTTTACAGATTTTTTTCTTTTCTTTTTCTCTTCGTAGCATTTTTAATAGAAGAGAAAAAAATCCGTGAAACCTTAAAAAATTATTTCAGCTGAGCAACGAATATCTAAGTGATATTTAAGTTAGCATAGAATAGCATCAGTAATGTTATCTAGAGCATCATTTTTAAATACTTCCCAATCTGTGTTCTATAACATGCATCTGAGTCTATGCATGTTGTCGTATGTAAAAAACCTATGGATTTTCTTCTTAGATTGGCATGTATAAGTATTTTCCTGAAATTTGCCATATATTTTTGGCAGAACACGTATAATACAGTGATCTGAGCTCAGTAATGGTGCAAGCTTCCGAGTTTCATATGCTCCAGGTTCATTGACAAAGACCAAGTCTAATGTGGCATTAGAACAAGTTGGAAAATGGACTAGGTTACTGTGATCAAAGGAATACAGGAAGCCGTAATCACCGCAGATAATGAACAAGACATTATCGGAACAGCAAATTCTGTGAATTTGTCAGCGAATCTAGATAATTCAGAACACCTGCAACCAGGAGTGACATAAACATTAGTGATCTAAATAAATTCTTATTTATCAAAGTGTTTCAGACGACACTGAACAGTCATACAGTCTATATAGTTATTTCATTATTATTTGTCCTTTGAGTTCCTGGTAAAACATACCGCTTCAGTAGCAAGTCACGATTTCACTCTCTTTTCTGCAGTCTTTTCAGCCTGGCTCTATAACTGTCCAGAAGCTCTCACTTCTTCTTAACACCATCTGTTCCATGTCATCCTCGCCTCGGACGCCCAACTCGTCGTTTCCCCCTTTGGATTCTACTCGACGACCTGGCGTGGCGCATGATGTATGTAGTTTGTTGGAAATGGTTTTCGTAACGCTCCGCCAACTCTTTCAACCACCAAATAGAAGCACTGACTTACTTGACTGATATTAGTGTTGAGTGGAGTGCAGTAGACCTCCACACTGATTTCAGATTAATGAAAGAAGGCCTATCTTACTGTTTTTCCGATCCTGACTTTGACGTTGTTAGAATAAGTGAAACATACATAATTCGATCAACACCACTGAGTGTTGATAGAGGTAGCTACACCTCCACTACACCGATCTTGGCGAAACAACTTAAAACGATTTTAAGAAACCAGATTGTCACCATATAGGTTATGGAACCAAGTTTTTTATTATATTATTACACAAGTATTACAATAAATATTAGAACATAGAAGGTATTTTAAATAGTCTATCTTATTAGGAATCTACAGTTCGAGCTGATTATTTCGAGCAGTCATTTAATGTGATTCGGTTCACTTTAAAGCGCACGGTCGTTTGTTAATTACATTTGTTAAATTCATAGCGGTAGGTTGATACGTTTTTAAAAGTTCGCATGAGTATTTCACATGATCCAAGGTCATATTTGGATAGATTAAAACAAATAAAAACAGAGTAAACTTGATGCAATATATAAGATGGAAAGATTTGGCAGCCCAAGGTTTAAGCAGGTAGCTATAAACCAATTACTTCGATTCATCGTTAATATTATTACTCAATAGAACAGTCAAGTTAGGTAAAAAAAAAAACGCTTACCATTGTTAGATTAAAATTCAGAACAACTGCTGATATATACAAATCACCAACTTATCTCCTAAATGTTTTATAAACAGATAACAGAATTATACAACACAATACAATAAAACTATAATAATGATAGGAAAGCAAAGGGGAAAAAAAGAACATCAACACTCCCAAAATATGTATATACACCGTCATTATTACACAAAGCATTTATCATGATAAAAGAGAAACTAGAATTTTTCGTTGATTAATTAATATTATGTCTACCACGTGGACGTCTACCTCTCCCACTCAATACTCGATTATCACCAGCACGACCGCCATTATTGCCTCGACGTCCTCTACCTGGTTGATATGATGATTGATTCATAAATTGAATATCATGAATCTGATTAGAATTCATAGTTTCAGAATTTGACTGTATACAATAAGGTTTTATCCGATCATGTGGAGCTACAGGTAACATATCCAAGGTAATCTAAATAACAAACCACAAAATAATAATAATACAATTGAAATGTACAGAAAACATAATGTACTCAGATAGCATACAATTTGTGGTGTTCAACACGAGTTCAAAAGAAACTGACAACACAAACTACCATATGAACTGATCTTACAAAAGAATAATTTTCTGGTTCAATTTGAAAAATGATTTACATATTGCACACTTCATGTTAACATTTATCATCACTGAAGCTGAAGAGTTTTTCAACTATTCAACTGTGGTGAGAATAAGATCCCCAATGAAAAGACAATAAAGTGTGATCTCTGTGAGACATAAGCATTAGAACTACTAATGAACAATATGAGTAGTAACAAACCACTTAAACTAATCTGTAGGTTTTACCAGACAGTTGAGACTAGTAATTTAGTTGGACAATTATTATTTATATATTGATTAACGTTTCCAGCAGAACTGACACCCTCACCCACCTACCAAATAGTTATAGGTCAGTGAATACAGAGACATACCTCAGTTTTCTCTAAATTACTGATATCTTAGTAGAGTCTACTGCCGTCTGTTCCGCTAAATGTTTGCGTTCTGCTATTCTGACTGACTCAGTGCACCTTCTTTATACGGTAACCCTATATAGAGGATTTCAATTCCCTCTCAAACAAGTTGAAATCACCACCAACATTACTACTCTCTCTTATCACTGTACAAATTCCTAAATATCAGAGAATAGTATGATGTCTTTCATTCCCATATTTTAACTCTTCGACTTACTAGTCAAACTCCTAGCCCGATTACTTTCATAGATGTAGAATGAGATGATGTGAAACCCAAGTATCTATTCCAGTGAGTTGGTTTCCTACAAACACTCGTATCAAAGCTTCCACCTTCTCTCCTCCCGATCGTCTAATCCAATATAGGAGTATATCACTCCATATTAGATTTGTTTATTTGATATATACAGCATACAGTGATACAGTATGATTTACCTAATGACAACGTTTCGAGCACAAATTATCGTCGCTCATAATCATATCAATGTGTAATCATACACCACTGTAGACATCTGATTTTTATAGTTATGTCACATATTCTGTGTTTTTTTTATTGGTGGTAAGAATCCTCCATATCTCTGGTACAGATGGGTGTTGTGTCATTTCTTTTACATATGTTGGATGTTGGTTGATTCGATGAACAAAGATTCAGTAATCAATCTCTACCTCGCTCTCTCCATCTAATTATATACGACTTGAGTACAGGGGTTTCATCGCATCTCATTGTGTAATTATGTGTTAATTAATGCATTCCAATAGGCGAGTCCTTTTTCCTAGATCATTGATCTTATTGAGAGCCATCATTCTATATTTAGCTGGATTCCTATGTTCCAATATTCTGACTGAACCCAAATGGCTAGTTTGATCTACGTACTTGACCTCACGGTGATTACATGTAATTTGATAGATTAGATTATTTTGCTTAATTAGTTCTATGGGATTCTTAAGTCAACTGGCAAAGCTTATCTCTCAGTGAGTTTGTAGGTTTCAGGATGTCACTCTAATTGCAGCCTAGTTGAGGATCTTACGTAAAGTTTCTGATGTGTCTTCTTTATATGGTAACACAATGGGGGCTATGAACTCCATTCTACTCGTGTTGTCGTTATTATTCGTACTCATGTTACTGTTATTTTGCTTCATTGAATCTATCGCATGCTTAAGCCAGTCGACAAAGCTTATCGCTGAGTGAGTTTGTATGTTGAAATGCTACCGTAATTCCAGCTTTGTTGAGGACCTTACGCAAAGCTTCTGATGTGTCTTCTTTATAGGGTAACACACTATGGAGGCTGTGACCTCCTTTCTACTCGTGTTATCACCATTATTCGTAATCGTGTTACTCTTATTGTTTCGTTTCTTGTATGTTCGTATGAATTTTTTAATAAACTGTGGGGGATAATTATCAACTATTAGCGCTTCTTTTAGGTGTTTCAATTCCTTGTTTAGGTCCTCGCACTGACTAGTCAGTTTTCTAGCTCCATCATTTAGACGTTTGACTAAATCTGCCTTAACTGACATGGATTGGATGAGATGACGTGAAGTCTAAATACCTGTTGGCATGTGTCAGTTTTCTGTAGATGGTATTATCTAAACCACTGTCCGTCCTTCGTTTTAGCCTATATTGGTAATTATTCTTCTTCATTTCCTACCTCATGATAGAATTGGATTTCACCTACCACTGAGTTTAAATATGCGAGGAAATTGTCAATATATCATGATTTTAATGCAGTAGGGAATGTGTCATCCACATATTGTTCCATATCAGAGGTGCACGATTGAACGTTTGTAAAAGCATGTTTTCCCGACTATCCGTAAATATATCTGCTACAATTGAGGATATTGGCGATCCGATTGCCACGCCTTCTGTTTTCCTGTATATTTCTCCTGAAACTTGAAGACTGTGGAGGTCAGGCACAACTGTATGCCTGATATGATTATGAGCAATGATAAATGATTAGTTATGATGGGCAGTGGCTAGCAGTGGAATCCAGGATGCGCATTTCGTCCTATTTGGGACTCGTCAGCTGGATGTACCTGCTTCCCAGTGAGTGATGTTGTTCCCAAATAGGACGAAATGCGCATCCTGGATTCCACTGCTAGCCACTACCCATCATTACTAAACATAGTTAAAAGACAGGCAATATCGAGGCATCCACATAGGAGCCCATATGCCAACAGAGACTGATCAATTCAGTCCAATCAACGACGGCGTAATACAAGCAATAACACTAATGATAAATGATGTTCGAAACGTCGTCATCAAGTAAATAATACTAGATCATTGTGTGTTATAAATCAAACAAACATATCTAATATGGAATTAAATTCTACCACAATGACCAAGTTTTACATCTTTATTAATCGGAGTAATTCTCCTTCTTCATTTTCTAATTCACAAGTGAATTGGATTGTGTACGAAATACTCTAGATATCTTCTAATTTCAACACAGCCAATATATCATCTAAATATGGCCATTATACTTTTCAAGTGGGTTGAAATGTTCTCAATTCTCCATAAATCTATCTGTTACAGTCTAGGATACTGGAGATCCTATCGGTGCTCCTTCACTTCATATGAAAAGGTTCACTAGTTAGTTCATTGAAACTGTTTTCCTGTAAATATAACCAATCCACTAAAAATTATTACAACTAATTTACACATGAGAATAGAACAGTAGCATATAACTGAAATGATGATGATATAAATGTGTATATCATCAGATTAAATGAAATGTTATCTAAATAACAAATTCTTGATAATCATTCATGATTCAGTGATTGACAAAGAAGACAAGAATGTTGAGTATAATTTGATAAATAAAATTCAGCTAAGCAACAAATTGTAATCTCTTTAGGTATCATCACTATTGTATAGGCAAATTTAATCATTTCCCTATCAAAACAAAAGACATTCGATAGACTTAAGTAAATAATATCGTCAAATACAATCATATAAACTTATAGCATGTGGATAATTGATGAATAGATGAGTGTAAACCGCATGAAAACACTATAGACGTGTTATGATTTGAAAATTGTTATGATTGCTAACGATAGATGGATATCGAGTGTCAATCACCAATATTCAATAAATTTTTAGTTGATTCCTGACCTCACTAATTTATGGAGAAGACATGATGGATGTGTAGAAACGCGTATTGTGGTCAAAAGACCATAGACTCAAAAACAAAGGAAAATATATCTAATATATATAGGCAGTTCGCAGTTTGAAATAATCTTCTTGATTGGCTGATCCATCGTCTGTCTTTCTAACTGAACACTTGATAGCAAAAGCCACATTTTGATTGGTCCCTCTCCAAACTAGTCATTTCTACTTATCCCCATATCACTTCCCTCTTCAAAAGAATATTATTTGGGGTCAGACTGGGCCACCCTGTCCTTTTTTTACATCTATCTAACCGGCTAAGAGGGAGTTTCACTTCTTTTACTGGGGAATCAGTACTCTTCTCGATATTCTTTCGGCGGGCAGTTACATGAGCATGAAAATGAACTATCAAGCCAAGAGATTTATCTACAGTGATATCTGGAGGGTGAATTTTGTACATGTTGTTCTGTGTATTGGTGACAAAAGCCATCCTTATGACCCATAGTATTACAGTCCCGGTGTCGATGTTCTTTAGGTGCACAAGATTTGACGAAGTGCCAGAAAGGCGATAAGGGTGTCTTCTTCGACGGTCGGTTGGTATCTCATGAATAAGTGGGCCGATAAACAGGCGGGATGAGTCCAAAGGGTGATGTGGAGGAAGGAGATGTCTGGCGAACTATATGTACTTCAGAACCAACCTGGCATCCAGATTGGTCTAAACTCGTATCATCCTCAAGGTTTCCCAATCGTTGATATTCTGCAGATATGTTATTTAGTATCTGGACTGTGGAATTGAAAGTGCGATCACGTGAGTTCTGCGGCAAAATCATGTTGCAGTATTAGTCTAGCTCAGATGCAGCAAGCTTTCGAAGTAGGAGATGTACCTAGCAGGAATCATCTTAGCCAGCGAAATTCACTTTGAAGTATTCTTCGTAACACCTCAACTAGGGCACTGAAAGTTTCATTAACAGCAGGATCGTAGTGAAATTTAGTGATGGTATTGGAGATGTCATCAAGTAAAAGAGCTATTAAAACCAACGTAGTGGATAAGGATTTCAGTAATAGCAATTTTGGATCAGGGTAGGATAAAACCAATGTACTCAAATGTCATATATTTACGTAGAGGGAGGTGAAGATTGATTACTGAATCTTTGTTCATCGAATCAACCAACACAACACCCATCTGTACCAGAGATATGGAGGATTCTTACCACCATTAAAAAAAACACAGAATATGAGGTGACATAACTATAAAAATCAGATGTCTACAGTGGTGTATGATTACACATTGATATGATTATGAGCGATGATAATTTGTGCTCGAAACGTTATCATCAAGTAATTCATACTGTATCACCGTATGCTGTATATATCAAATAAACAAATCTAATATGGATATTGATGATAGATCATGGCTAGCAGTGGAATCCAGTATGCGCACTTCGTTCTATTTGGCATTCGTCAGCTAGATGCACCTGCTTTCCAGTGTGATGTTGTTCCCACCGGGACCCGGACTCAGGAAGGATCGCTTCAAATAACAGGGAATTATCGAGCTAGCCACGATCCATCATTGATATAATTAAAACACAGGTAATATCGAGGCATCCGCACAGGATCTCATATGCCTAAAGAGACCGATGAAATCGGTCCAATCTACGACTGTATGGCATAAAAACAATTATACTAAATCTAATGTGAAATTAAATTCTAACACAGTGCCAAAGATTTCCACTTATATTAGTTGTTCATATTCTATATCAATCTAGCCTAGATTTGTGTTTTTATAGTGGTCCAACTGGGCTATGAGACCCAATTGATGACGAGAATTTCCTATCTTCTTAGTTACTTACCCTCTCTCTATTCAATGTTCTTATTAAACTGATTGGAACAATCTCCTCTTCTGCAACTATTTCACCAGTATTGTCAGTATGTAAATAAGCGACAAGTACAACTTTTTCACTTGAACCACCATAATTAGATGAATTAAACTGTTGTAAAGAGAATGAACCAATTAATTGAGCTTCTTCATAATCACCAGATATATTCTGTGCTAGAATTGGACAACCAACAGGTAATTGATATGATCTTGATTTAGAATAAGAACTTTGTTGTGTAGACAATGATGATTCAACAATCAAATCATCTAATCGAGTTAATCCGGTTGATGGTCGACACGGAAGATCAACTGTACTACTGATTGCTGTTGCTGAGTGAAACTTGAAAAAAAAAGATCATATAAATTATTTTTAAAATAGAAATGAAATATCAAACAGAAATCAAAAATTCATAATTTTGCAGCTGGAGACAGGTTAATTTAACCTTGCCTGGTTAACTAGCTCACTAGTTACTAGCCAGTCCTAAGCCCAGATAAACAGTGAAGGTTTAGCATAGGGCTAGCAACCCTACCCCGTAAAACCAATCCTGAAACTAGTCAAAAAAATATCACCAGCAGCCCAGCCACAGAATAACCAGTGAACACAAGCCCTCCGACAAAACCTGAATTCCTGAACGCCATCAACTTACTAAAAGCAAGGAAAACAGCAGCACCTCCTCCTCCTCCTAAAGTACTGAAACAGACGCAGAGACAACAGCAGACAAGCTCACACCACTATTGCAGAAGGTTTGGATAGAAGGAAAGGTACCAGTCGATCGACTGGAAGAAGGGCAACCTTGTCTAACTACCAAAGAAGGGAGACTTAAGTCTTCGCAAGAACTGGCGCAGAATCATCCTCCCGTCTCTGTCCACACCAAAAGAAATATTAAGCCACATCATCCTGGAGACACCAAAAAATGCTCTCCATTCAAAATTACGACAAAAACAGGCTGGCTGACTCACTGACTGACTTCAGGAAGAACAAATCATGTCCACATCAAATTACAACACCACATCACGCTACACATCATCATCATCATCATAGAACAAACCACAGAATAGCAGTCAACGGCATCCCAACCACAAATTCACACACTTCGAAAACACTTCCAACAGCGTCAATCAAGAAGTAGTTTGGCAGGCAGATGCTTCAACACTATGGTTTCACTGAAAAAAAAAACAGCTGTATCAACTTCATTCAACAGCTATATGCTATGCTATATGAGAAGAATGCTACATAACAAGTCATTCACAATGCAAAGCTCAATGACACCTTCAACGTGAAGACAGCAGTAAGACAAAGTTACCGCCTACTATCACCCATCATCTTCCTGATTGTCGTCCACGGGATCATCCAACAAACCATCAACAGCGAGAAGATCGCCATACGCTGTTTGACTAATGAAAATACCCTACACAATTCCGATTTCGCCAATCTGCATTTATATCTAATCTCCCACCAGCTCAAACATCTATAGGCAAAAACCAACAAGTTGACATAAGAGGCAGCGAAGACGGGACTTCAGGTGAATGTAGAGAAGACAGAGGGAAGGAAATACATAACCACCACCACCACCACCACAAAAAACAACAAGCACCAATCACCATCAACGGTACAAACCTAAAGGAAGTAGTCTCTTTCACCTAACTCTGTACCCAGGCAGCATCGTCTCAACTACAGGCGACACAGGCACAGACGACGATGTCGAAACCAGGATCTGGAAGACAGTAAGATAAACTTTCAATAATCTGAAACCAGTGTGCAGATCTACTGTACTCCACTCCATTCCACTCAGCATAAAGTGTGAACAACATCCGGATTTTCAACACTAATTTCAGTCAGGCCAGTCACTGTTTCTATGTGATGGTTGAGAGACTTGATGCGTTACGCAACGCATTTCCAACAAACTATAGACATTCATCAACAACTACTTGCGCTCAATACTCAAAATCAGGTGGCCACAATGATAAGAATAAGCAAAGAGGGAATCACTCTGGCTGGCGACGAACCTACCAACAACCTATCAACCAACAAATAAGCAGAAGAAACTGGAGATGGATTGGATTGGACATAGACTGAGAAGACAGTTTGGTGACATCAGGCGCCAGGCCAGGCAAGGCCGTCGAGTGGAATCCAACGACGAAACGACGAGTTGGGCGTCCGAGTCAAGGGTAACATGGAGGAGACCATGTGAGGAAGAAACGATAGCTTGTGGGCAGTGGTGGTGCAAGGCTGAAAAGACTGCAGAGAAGAGAGTGAAATGGCGACGTGCTACTGAAGCCCTATGTTCTACTAGGAACCCGAGGGACAAATATTAATAAATAAAATACAGGTTGATTTAACTTGATGTATATTACAACGATTGCCTTCATATTTTTAGACGTGACCTAATCAAGACGTGACACCAGTTGATGAAGTCTCTCACAGTTGATATGGGTCGTGCAGAGAGATAGAGAATACTTGGACGGGTTCCTCGAGACGAAAGAAATCAGTGGTTGAAGACTTTTGGTAACAGCTGAGTGTCGGTCATAACGGCGCTAAAGTATTCACTTCTTGAATATTCACACTAACCGTTAACTCCAGATTGTTTGTTCTCTTATACAACTTCTACTTTGATGTGACTTCTTTTCCATCCACCTGTTCTTTGTATACTACTGTGAAGTGTGACAAATTGAAACGATGCACTTGTGTACGAGGTTCTACGTTGATTTCGTCTGTCTTTCTGCCTGTCTATATATCTCCAAATGGGGACCCCATTGTGGACCCTAGATGGATAGTTTACACCTCCAAATGACTTAGACCAGCGGTCAGAGACTTCGTGAACTGGTGTCATATGCTGGTCTAGCCACTCTAAATCCTCTTCCAACCGAATCCAACTTCCTTTAGTATGGTACGTCGAGTGAGGCGGTGGCTAGGCATGTGCAGTACATACCCAAGCCCATATCAGTCGAATAAAGTTTACAACTTAATCAATCGACTTGCCTGTCCTCCTTAGTACCCTTCAACTGAGCTCAACATTGCTCACATGGTGATTTCACAAAATGTCAGGAATGGTACGAAGACATCTGTGATCTCACAGCCGTATGTAACAAGACAGTACGGACTGTAATGCAGTACACTCATCCTCTGACAAATAGCCAGACATCTCGATAGTCTGTACCACAGATGAAGTAAGTTGGAACATGCGAAACGTACCAGACAACTATGTGGGTTACTTTTACGCATTTCATCCTTCAGGCGAATCTGAATTCTTTTCGCGATAATTCGCAATCTCAATCTCTCGTTCCTAGTTGTAAGCGGCTGATGAGAACCTCTCAAATGAAATAATATCTTGGTACTATTCGTATTCAAACTATTAAGTTGCATATGCTGTGTAGAGAAACATCTCCTTACTCTAAATACAATAATTCTAAAAAGTTTTCGAAATTATGACGTTTCTTCAGGTGAATATATAAGAAATAAAGTCTACCCCAGGGACATACAGTATGAGGATCCACATTGTACAAGCAACATTATTCACATGATTGCACATTACAAGACACTTGGACAATTATTTAGTAAACGGATAAACAATAGTTACTAACATAACCACAGACAAATTAATTTCATTGCAATAAATTATACTACTGATTAAATAATGTGAGTAGTTTGACGTCAGCCATAAAAATTAACAGAATACTGTATTCACAATTAACTGAAACGTCTTTTAAAGTTCAACTAATCAACCAGATGACTGAAAAAGGTTAGTCTACAAATAAGAGTATGATTGCATCCAAGTATATCAAGTAATCAATAGGAGTAACCAATATTCATCATTATTTTTAACAGACAAGAAGGTGAAAAAATGATCAAACTTAACATACTCGAGAGGGAATCTTTTCATTTTCAACAGAATTAGGTCGACCACGATAACCACGTTCATTAATATTTCCTCGGCCACGAGATCTAATTACTCCACGACATGAAATACCACTTGTCTGATGCATGGGATTGTCTTCAATTTGCATAGATGTAGATGATGAATTGGACAAGAGATAATCAATAGCACCTTGATAATTACCACGATTAACTTTTAATGCTGTACTGGCTAATTGAAATGGATAACCTAATGACAATAATTGTGCTATAGCTTTATCATATTCCATGGATTTCTGAGATTGAATCTCGTAGAATCTACGAAAAAAAATTAAATAAAAATTAACTTGACAAAAAGAAAAAAACACTTTCCACTTGACTACATGCTATTCCAAATGAAAATGGAAGTATTAGTTGTACTGTGTTCTCTGAACTGGGTTGTTTAGTTGTGGAGCTTTCATCATCTTGCTAGACGACATCATCACCACTAACTTCAGTATGGGAGTGAGCTGTCAATATCTCTCTGTGACTGATTTAGTGGCGTGCCTCGACGAAATGGTCTGTGATTGGTTGTTTCCTTTGATTGTTGTGTCATTGACTGCATAGACTTTCCTGTTGGCTGCTCCTCTGTTTCACCTCTGACCTTTCTGTTGTTTATCATTTTTCTTATTGGTTGATAGATTGGGTCTATGTCTATACATCTATTCATTGCTGACTGACTGGCGTGAATGTCAAGCTTCTAGGAATTCTCTGATGATATTCTTTTTGTTTCCTCTCTCCGTCCAAAATTTCTACATTGTAAAAATTTAATTCATGTCCATAATTATCCACGTGGATTGAAATGAGCCATGAAATGTTATGACGTTTAACAGTCAGTTGGTGTTCATGTAGATGAAAGCGAAGAGGGTGACCACTTCGTCCAATGTAGTGTTGACTGCAGTTATTGCAGTTGATTTTGTAAATGATATTTGGTTTGTCTTCTTTGGTTATTGCATCCTTTGGTCTGCATAATAGTGTTTGCAGGGAATTTGTTGGTTTATGATGTCGTCTAGAAGGAAAGCTTCACGATTAAACAACCCAGCTCACAGAACACAATACAACCAAGACCATCCACCTGAGCTACAAATATTCTCCATTATTTCGAAAATGGAAATTTTTTGCGGCAACATGTAAGCAAAATGTATCTACATTGTGGAAAGAAGTAAAAAAGAATAATTCTAATTCTTAAACAATCTATTTGATAAAGTATGGAATTCGCAAAATGTAATATTTCAGGTTGGGATTTATCATGGACTGACATCAGTTGCAGACAATGGACAGCTGTATCGTCCTAGTATGGGACTCCTCAGCAATGCGTAACAATGACCCTGACCCACTGGGAATCAAGCCCATGATATTCAGGTTCCGTAACCAGCAAGTTACCATCGAACTACTGGGTAGTAAACCAATGGTACATATTTTTCTGGGTTCGAACGCTGGCGAGATTATGAGTACGCACTATCAAAGGAGTCCCATACTTATGGGATGAAACAGCTATCAAGTACTCCCATGTTTCTAATGTTCCTCCAATTGATGTTAATCCATGATGAATACCAACCTAAAATCAATTAATAAATCTCCATAAACCTCGAAATAGAACTAATCTATCGCTCATTCGTGACTAGCCTCGAGAGGTGACTCCGACGTTCCAGTGAGAAATTGTGACTAGTGTAGTCAACCAGGTCAAACATGAGAACAGTCACTCAACAGTGACATTGAATGGAAGTGGCTCTATATCGTGAACTGACAGACATAGGAAATATGGACGACTTCATTTCGACCCAGTTGCTCAGTGGTAACGTGGAGGTCATGGAAACTGAAGGCCCTGTGCTCGATCACTAGGGGGTCGTGAGTGCGCACTGGTGCGTCCCGTAACGGAATGAAACAGCTATCCAATCATCATCACCACCAATACCAACATAGGACCAGGTATTACTACATAACGGTTCGAGTTGCCACACCTCATATCACTACATCAAGTAAATAAGGCAGTGAGGTGAAGGATGAAGATAAGAGAATGCAGTCAAAAGAAACATGAAGATCGCGAAAAAAGAGAGAAAGAATGACAAAATGATGAGATTCGGTATAGCGTCGTTAAGATTATATATATATATATATATATATATATATATATATATATTATATACCTGCCCCACTGACATCGGTTATCAGCCATATCACCTAGAGTCTCCAGCCACTGCTTCCTCTTGTCCCGCCGACCCCAATCACTCAGTCAGCATCGACTCACATGGTTCAAACCAACAGTCAAGGACTTCATACATTGATGCCATGTTTTAGTCTGGTCACCTCCTACCTTTTTCCAGCCTGGGCCTACTTCGACCAACATTGTGTGATGAGGAAATCGGTGACTAGGCATACGTAACACGTGTCCCAACCAACCATCTCAGTAGATGAAGGTTCACAACCTCATTAACTGATTTATCTCTACTCCCTAAAACTCTACACTTGACGTCTGCATTACTCACGTAGTGACACCATGGAATACTGCCTCTACTGCGAAGCCAGTGGTGGTCAAACACTTGAAGCCAGCTTTCTCATGTCTTCCACATTCAATGGCCATGTTTCACAGCTATACAGTAGAACAGACCGGACTGCTGTGCAGTATACGCGACCCCTTAATAGACAAACGGATATCGCGGCGACGCCACAGATGGCGTAAGTTGGCGAAATCCAACTGAGCCTTTTGTATCCGTGCAGAGATTTCACCGGCCACTCAGCCATCAGGGCTGATCCTATTTGATGAGTTGCCATCCCAATCCAAATCGAACTCAATCAGAGAGGGGGAACATCGTATTAATTATCATTTCAACTATCTGAGTGAGACAGCCGTAATTTGGCAGACTAGTATTTATACTGGGTGATGATTGTGGGTGAAATGAAAAACTGTGACGCAGTTGGATTCAAACTAGCAACCACCAGGTAAGGGTCATTTAGGGAAATAAAAATCCAGTCAACAGTCACTTTCAATCATCACCTAGTATCAATATGATGCTTCCCTTCCCTCGTTCAGTTAGATCTGCATTGGGCTGAGAAGTCCTGACCAGGCAAGCAGTGTCCCTCCGATCAAGCGATATTGCTAAATAATCAACTGTTATATGTTTGCGATATATACTTAAATACGACTGCATAGCTAAAAAACGATATCGTAGAAAAACAAAAGTTTTCTTCGATGAACAACGGGGAAGTTGACTTGGAAAAATTGAATATTCCAGTCTTACCGCATTTTTTGTGTTCGTTGTGCCGTCTTGAATTACTCATCAGCCTTCGACTCTATTCCCAAACCAGTCTTGTTTATAAATAAGCTTTCCATAGCTAATACTGAGCTGTGGGTTACAAAGTGGCCGCATTCTTATTCTTCTACAAGGAAACAGTATACTATCGGGTATGAAGGGAAGCCCTCTACTTCATTGTTTACAAATGAAGCTGGTATGCCTCTATATCCAGTACCTTTTCCTTTTCTCTTTTCGTTTGTTTGCACGATTCGCCTTATTCTGTTGAAACTAATTTTATCAAGTATACTGACGACCTGACGATTTCTATTCCAGTTAACACTTCTTTGGATTGCTCTAAATGGGATGAATTCTTATCTCAAGTTGGCAAATAGTCTCTCTCAAATGGTCTCAAGTTAAACCCTTCTGACTATTAGACTCTTAGGTTAATTTACAGGCGTAAACAAGATAGACTTGTGTGTGAGTTGCTTAAATTTCATGACACTTGTTGCAGCAGTACTGATGGTATTTCTGCAGAAAGTAAATCGAGTGTTAACTATCTTGGGATGAGTTTTACTTCTGATCTCTGTTGGTTGCCTCATATCTTGTTGACTTGTAAAGAGAATCTTTCCTTTAACTTATTACATAAATAAACTGAGCCTCTCTCGTATAACTTACAATTTATTAATTCCAACATGTTGCCTATTCTTGTGTATTTTTCCCCACTGATGTTTCCTGGTGTACTACTAAAAAAGGAGTATGTTATATTGTGTAGGGCTTTGAAAGCCATCACTAGAGTGCGTGCTGTATCTCCGACCCAACTGATTAACACTGTAGGTGAGAAACATTTAAACCCTGGCAAGTAACTAACTACAGTAATTTTAACTGACGCTGAACATCCACTTCATCATTCACAACTCTCTCCTTGTATCTCGTCTCATGGTGGACGAGAAGAAACTACATAAGACTGTACTGCTGATAAAGCGAAGTACAAGAATTCGACTGCGCCTACCTTACCTAGCACTCATGCATATTATATGAGGATAAAAGGGAGATTAGAACAGAACTTACTTGACAACTTGATAACAGTTCACAATCTCATTTCAATAATATAATGTATTATGTGAAATGTTCTCGTTTCCTTCAATATTCTTTACATGACTTAAATGTCTATAATAACACAATTGGAAATGTTGTAAAGGCGTTTATGCATACACGTCCATTTCATTGTTGTTGTGAGATGTAATGCTGAGAATTCCTAATTGTACCACAGATTGTTTGGAATAAAGTGGATTATTATTATCATTATTATTAGTAGTATTAGTATTAGTATTGTTGTTATTATTATCGTTATTATAACCTTCTCTGTGTGCTGATGAACAGCTACACACTCACATTCTAGTTCAGTCATTCACACACAGATAAGTTTTAATGTTTTCTCCTACAATCACACTCCTACGAGACGATGAACTACTTCTTTGAGCACGTCTTTTCTTCTTATTCTGTCTTTTATTATTAGTAATTACATGTAAGATAATAATTAGTTTACTACTATTGACACTGTTCATTAATTTACATAGAACTGGTCACATGTTAGATAATAATAAATTACACAACCAACCTCCTACAGGGTTAAGAAGACTCTATCTAAGAAGGGGGTGGGGTATGAAACGTAGACATCAGTACCAACAAGAAAGGAATTAGCCTACTTTGGTAACCGATACCCAATATATGACGTTGGCTTCACAGTTTGATGAATTAGACTCAACGTTGAGATCTGAAGATGATCGTTTAAGAAAACTCCAAGGACCAGTCTTAGCCCTCATAGGAAAGATATAAAAGGCAATAAGAGGAAAAAGCCCAGGATACATCGAAATCTCTCGAAAATATTCTTTATTGAAATCCTGATTTTATATATTAGAGTGCTGATGAATCTACAATTCGAACAGACACAGAAATCATCATGTTATATTGATCTTAGTGACTAGTAGAGTAATCCAGGATGTGCGTTTAGTCCTAGTTGGGACTGGCCAGACGTCAAGTGTGGAGTTTTAGGGAGTGGAGATAAATCAGTTAATGAGGTTGTGAACCTTCATCTACTGAGATCGTTGGTTGGGACACGTGTTACGTATGCCTAGTCACCGATTGCCTTGTCACACAATGTCGACTGAAATAGGTTCAGGCTGGAAAATGTCTCGAGGTGGTCAAATTAAAACATGACATCAATATATGAAGTGTTTGAGTGTTGATTTGAGCCATGTGGGCCGATGCAGACTAGTTGGTTGTGGTCGGCGGGACAAGAGGAACCAGTGGTTGGAGACTGACTCTAAGTGATGACATGGCTGATAACCGATGTCAGTGGGGCAGATATATATATATATATAATCTTCATCTTAACGACGCTATACCGAATCTCACCATTTTGTCATCCTTCCTTTCTCTCTTTTCGTACTTTATATTTCCTTTGACTGAATTTTTTTATTTTCATCTTGCGCCTCACTGCCTTATTTACTTGATGTAGTGATATGAGATGTGGTAACTCGGACCGTTACGCAGTAGTGTCTGGTCCTATGTTGATTTGGATGGATGGAAGAACAAAATCACTCACTGGGATGCAGGTATATCCAGCTCATGAGTTCCAAATAGGAAGAGATGCATGTCTTGTATCTCATTTCTAGTCACCAAGATCAATATAACATCATGAATATCCGGCAGTATCTAGGCATTCGCATAGGATCCCATCTGTCAACAGCAGAAGTCAAGTTATCCAGTCCTGTACACCAAAAGGAAATTACAAGTATCTCATTGCAACAACACAAGTTATTACTCAGTGACTTTTTAATCTGAATGTTAAATTTTATTATTATTATTATTATTATTATTATTATTATTATTATTATTATTATTAATTTTTCCTTGGGTTCCTATTGGAAAATACTGCTTCAGTAGCACGTCTCAATTTCACTCTCTTCTCTGCAGTCTTTTCAACCTGGTGCAACCACTGTCCACAAACTTTCACTTCTTCCTCACATGATCTCCTCTATGTCACCCCCGCCTTCACACCCAACTCGTCGCTTCCCCTTTGTATTCCACTCGAGTACCTGGCCTGGCGCGTGATGTCCTCAATCAGCCTTCTCAATGTATGCCCGATCCAATACATTTCCACTTTCAGCTTCTGCGTATTTGTTGTGAGATGGGTTCCCTGTTGGTTCGTTCCCAGACTTCCTTGTTGCTCATTCTTTCTGGCCATCTGATCTTCAGCAAAGAGCAAAGGCAGCTATTGATGAATGTCTGTAGTTTGTTGGAAACGCTTTTCGTGACCCGCCAAGTTTCTGAGCGATACAGAAGCACTGACTTTACATTGGTGTTGAAAATCCGGATGTTGTTCACGCTTTGTGCTGAGCTAAGTAGATCTCTATACTGATTTCAGACAAGTGAAAGCCTGTCTTGCTTTTCCGATCCTGTTTTTGACATCCTCATCTGTGTCACCTGTAGTTGAAATGATGCTGTCTACACACACAACCTGGTTGTCATGGAAACTGGCAATCATTTTCATTCACATAACAGACTTTTGTCAATGATTTGAAAGCATATATCTATAAGGTAATGAACCGTATTCTAAAAATGAGTGGAATATATAACCCTAACCATAATATCAGAAATAAACAAACTTACTTCGATAGACCTGGTCGGAATCGTCTACCACTATAATGCTCAGAAAATAATCCACTATTATTCTGATGCTTTACACCAACACCAGTATTACTACTAGTAGAAGTTGATGACTTCAGTTCAGCCAATATCTCTTTCCGTTGTTCATTGAATATTACTTGGAATTCACTCTCTTCTTGTTCTTCATTACGAGATGTTGCCATTTGAAAGGAGTCGAATTTCACTATAATAATATGTGTGTAAACATTACTTTAGCCTAGATACACTGAAACATGCACAAATAATATATACAACTGATAGCTAAGTAGATAACTCGGTTATGTATGAAGGTTCGATAAACTCTAGCCAATTTACACCAATTATGGCCAATTGTCTATTAAGGGTTGAATGTACTGCACGGCTGTGAAACATAGCTATTTAAGGTCTTCGACATCCGTTACCTTGGTAGAACAGGTCATGTGTCTTGGGTATCATCAGGTCAGTAATGTGGAAGTCAGGTGAGAGAGATGAGTTGGTTGGTGATGTTGTGAACATTCAACGACTGAGATGGCTGGAACATTTGTTACGCAAGCCTACCCATCGTCTAACTCATGGCAATAAAACATGGCATCAAATCTTTGACTGTTGGTCTGAACCATGTAGAGAGATGAAGACTAGCCGGTTGCGATCCATGTAAGACTCTAGGTAAATTGGCTCAGAATTAATATCTGTAGCGCAGATGCATCCCCACACTATCCTCATCTTAATCGTCACACCAAATCTAGTATTTTCGTACTCCTCTTTCCTCTCTTTTACTACTTTTTGCCGATTGTTCTATACTTCCTCATCTTTCATTTTAGTGTTTTGTAGTTTAAACCGCGGATAAGATGAGTGGCAACTTGGAGCGGAACACAGTAATACCTAATCTTATGTTGACATTGATGATGGTATGTAGCAACTAAGTCTACAACACTGGACACGAGTTCGAGCTATACTCTGCCTGCTTTGGCCTGAGCAATTGGGTAGTATCATAAGCATTGATTATTACAACAAGTGTGGCTCATAGTCAAGTGCATAAATATACAACAGATTCAGTGAAGTGACCGCATCGGAGTAGGAAGTCGATTCTAATAATAAACGAAATGAGTAATATCGCAACGAGATACTTGGAGTGGATACGAGTAATGCGACTGTTCTCCCATACACTTGATACTTCAATGAGCCGCGAAAATCAAAAGACAAAAGACAGGCCTGTGACTGACTTCAGAAAGAAAACTTTATTTGACAAAAACACATAGTATTAATATAAAGCTGCTACTCAGAAAATGAAGCTACTGGGTCATCAATCTTACTTTTGCTTTCATTGAGGAAGAGAAGACACATCGACCAATTGGCTTCCTAAAGGCTTTCACCAACCAGCGTCATTTCGTCTCCCCGATTCCAGTGAAGAAGTTCCTTTTATATATTTCCTCTGTGTTTTAAAGTTTCTTTAGCAATTGGATTGGTTTTTCGGGGTAGGGCTGCTAGCCCTGCGCCCAACTTTCCCTCTTTTTCCGGGCTTATGATCGGCTAGTAAACTGGGTTCGATACTGAAGATCAGATGGCCATAATAATAAGAATAAACAACAAGGAACTCTGACCTAGCAACGAACCAACCAACAACCTATCGCCTAACAAACATACAGAAGAAAGTCGAGATGGACTGGATTGGACATACACTGAGAATACCAGTTGGGGACATCGAGCGGAACCCGAATGGGAAACGACGAATTAGGCATCCGAGTAGAGGGTGACATGAAGGAGATCATGTGAGAAAGAAATGAAAGTTTAAGGATAGTCGTGGGGCCTGGTTGACAAGATTGCAGAGAAGAGAGTGTAAAATGGAGACTTGCCAATGAAGCCCTATTTTGCGCTAGGAACCCAATGCATAAATAATAATAATAATAGATAACCAATCAGCTGAAGAGCGAAATTCTACAGTAAAATTAATTTGACCAATCAAGATGTGAAACGAAACTATTTCTACCTCAGCGGAGAATGACCTCGACTGGTGACTTCCATTTTTAGCCACTTTCTAACGGTTCAGCATCTGTTTTTGGCATTCACTAACTGAGGTATAAAAAATGAATTAATCCTAATACAAAATCCGCATCTATTCCATTCGCCATTTACTATAATATATATCAAAATAAACCAAATGAAGGCTTATCCCTAAAAAAAAAAACTTAAAGATACGTCTCAAACAATGCTAAGAAGATATCTACGATCGAAAACCGTGTGATCGTTTCATATCTGTTACTTTAAACGACGATATCCCACAGCTTTAGGACAGGAGAGAACAGATTGCAGTACAGTATACTCGTTTTTTTTGACAGGTATTCAGATATCTCACCGGTCTGTGGCACAGGTGACGCTATGACTGCAACTTTGTCAGCAACCAGCCTATTCGAGCTGATGCAACTCGCCATGTAAGTGAAGGAGTTGATACACTCCACCACTCCCTATAATTAAACTGGGAGTACTTGCAGCAGACCAGTCCTGGAGTATCATCGTACATATGACAAGTGCCAGTAAAACGCATGCCAAAGATACTCAGATTTCTGCTGAACGCATTGCGTCAGCGTCTTCATCTAGCAGAACAATATCGTCTCCATATTCTAAAGCAACCACATGGGTCTCATTGGGTAGATAAATCCCTATGAAGTCAGATGTATCTAAGTTTATGTCCATTAGTACATCTATAATGATGTTAAATAGGAGCGGTGGCAGTTGGCATCCTTGGCGGACACCATTAGTTGTTGCTAACTCTCCGTAAACCACAGCAAGCTTGCGTGAACTTCAACAAGCGTCATATACTTGCTTAGTACTTCTTTCACATTCAGACACTCTCACAACACTTTACGGTCAACAGAGTCAAATTCCACCTCCAGGTCAAGAAATATGGCAAGTGTCGGTAACGGGCTGGTAGGTATGTCTGTGTTCCAGAACCTGTCGCAAGATAGAAATATGGTCGATGCACCATCGTCCGGCTCCAGTTAGGCGTCGGGTAACTAGGAAACCTAAGATCTTAGTCCAGCTATTTCTTCTTTGGTTGTTGCGAGAATATCTCTTCCCCTTTTTATAGACTAGGATGATCAGCGGGATAACACCAGTCTGGCAGCGCTATCTCTGATTCTCATACACTATCTAATATCTCCGTCACTCTAATCAACAATTTTCTACCTCTATCCTCGAGAACCTCAGGAGCAAAATGTCAGATCCAGTTGTTTCACATCACTTCAGGTTCGATACAACCTTCCCAACTTCAAGGAGAGTTGAAGGACCGATATCTACGTCACATTTACGTCCAGACTAGATGTTGGACAACTGAAGCGTTACCGAGGGCCGGTCAAACTGCGCTTTAAAGCGTTCCGCGAAACGTTCTAGCCATCTCTCGTGAGAGATTACCAGATTCCTATCTCTTTCGGAGATGGTTTCATTATCAATCGTCTTTTTCTTCCCACTATCCTTAGTACGCCCAAACAGTTGCCGGGTGTTACCCAACGTTGATGACATCTCTATCTCTCTCACCTTTGTCCCCCACAACTGCTGGCGATCATTGCGAGGACTCTTGAGCAATTTACACATAAGTCCTTTTCGCTTTTCATTGTGGTTAGAGCCGGCTGAAATCAGTCTTCTCGTACCAATCAGTTCGAAGGACGTTGCGAAAATCCGATGACGTTTACTAATCCGTAGGCGTAGGTTACCAATTGTCATTACCGTCATTTCTACAACGGATTTAATATCACATCAGGTCTTAGAAACTCATAGTGATATAGTTCAAAATCAGTCATAATGTATACAGTCATTTGTTAACAACATCAAAATATTTAACTCCTCTTCACTCGTACAAACTTGTTTACTTTAATCTCATTCTTTCTGCATCCATTTCTCTGAAACCTGAAGCGTACTGTGACAACTAGAGATGATCCAGCTATGTGACAAGTTTCTGTATTGATTCATCTGTTTGTCTGCTATATCAGTTGGTATAAGCAACTTATACTAGCATCAAGAGTTTACTTCGCATGACTGTACTTTTGACCACACATACACACACATAGCACCATCACCACCACACATGCACCAAAGAGAACTATACATATCCGCTTACTTTGATTACGTTCACGATCTAATCGAAGTTGATTTAGAAATTTGCCTTCAGTTTGAATTAAATCAGTAGCTTCACGACTACCAAATGGTACAAATGCAGGAGCTCCACTACTGATATTACGATTCTCTGTACCTTTAAGAAACTGAAAATAACAACAAAATAAACGAAATTATCACTATAGTCTTACCTGTTAAAAACAAACTTATGAATAAATTATTCTGTGGGTTCAATACGATTCAATGTATGCAATAGTCCTAAAACAAAACTGTAAATATCACATTGTACTCGATTTGGTGGATAGCAGTGGAATCGAAGGCGTGTGTTTCGTTTTACTTCGGACTCGATGAGTAGTGGTGTTCCCTACCGAGAATCGAACTTAGTAACCCATTCAAAACTATGCAACTGTCGGTTATGTAGTGAAACATGCAGTTTCTAAATGTAAGCACTAGCACAGATGCATAAACTTTAATGTGAAAAAATTAGAAAATAGTGCAGTCAATCAAATTGTTCGTATTCATCATGAACTGACATCAGTTGGAAACATGAAAGGACTGGACAGTTGTTCTGTCCTAGTGCGAGACTGAGAGAAGGAAATATAGACCGGTAGGTCAATGGTAACGTGCTGGCCGCGGAAACTTAATGCCCTGGGTTCGATTTCTGGAGGGGTCATGGGTGCGCACTTCTCAGGAGTCGCATAGAATGACAAAACAGCCCTCCAACCAATGTCAGTCTATGATGGAAACCAACCTGAAATCGATAAATAAATCCTCACAAAACTCCAAATTGAATCTGTTCGTTAATGAAGTATAATTGAGCTCAAGATAATCCAAGGTCAATACAACCATAGAAGTAAGCTCAAAAGAAAATTATTCAAGAGGAATATGAAAGAGTTACATCAACCTGTTAGGAATGATAGACTTTTTGGGTGGCTGCGGAGTTGTGTGGAGGAAGCGACCACAGATCGAAAAGTTTTACACCCGCTGTAAACACTTGCCTTCAGATATCTAGAAGCTTGACATTCAGGTCAGTCAGTCAGTAATCAATAAATGTATAGATATGGACCCAATCTAGCAACCAATGAGAAAAGTGATAAACAACAGGAAGGTTAGAGGTCAGATAGAGGAGCAGCCAACAGGGAAATCTGTACAGTCAATGACACAACAATCAAAGGAAACAACCAATCACAGACCATTTCGTCGAGGCACGCTACTAAATCACTCATAGAGAGATATTGATAGCTCACTCCCATACTGAAGTTAGTGCTGATGATGTCGTCTAGCAAGATGATGAAAGCTCCACAACTAAACAACTCCACTCAGAGAACACAATACAATCAAGGCCTTCAGATATAATTTGATTTCCCAGATAGTTAACAGATTCATAATATATTTGCCTTATTTCGAACCATAATTATGTTTTTACAGTACAAAATCCTCGCTATTACAAAGTTGGTTGATAAGACTGTTCAATATAATTTCCTTCATACAATACACAACCTAAATAAGGTGGTATGATTGAATTAACAGACATATGAAGAGAGGTGCGAATGCGGAAGATGCTTGTCATCAGATAAAATAATTTTAGCTAGCTGTTAACAAAGGCTCAGATGCCTATCTACAACTGTATCCCTCAGTACGGTTAGTGGTGTACCATTCGCTTGACTGACAGCCTTCGAAATCCTACACAATACATGATATTCTTTTTATCGAAGCCCATGAAAGAATAAAGGTGCGGGTGGGATAGGTAAGTAAAAGATTTGGCTTTGGACTGTGATACAATGGTCTATGGAGTAGATTTAAAATCGACAAGTCACTGACTTGAACTTAACTCCCACTTCAGGAGGTTTGCGCAGTCAAACAGTATCATTAGCTTTCATACAACAGATGAAGCTCATTGTCTAGTGAACGAATGAGCATATAATTGCTGAATAGACTTTGTACTAAGACGTTTTCTGCACTTAGTGATAGTAAAATGAATATTTCAATTCACTTCCAGAAAGTTGTGAGCTGATTGATCCATTTGTAAAGTTGTTGTGTCTAGGCCTAAAACTACACTCGCAATTTTCCCTACATCATCATCATCATCATCATCATCATCAATCCAGTTTCCTTTCTCATAATACTTTCGTTTTACTTTCCTCCGTAATTATAAGAAGAGGAATACAAAGGAGTGTTAGAAAGCAAGTACTACTACTGTTTCACTTAAATAAATATTAGTGTTGGACAATGTACAAAACAAAACACACCAATTTGAGTAGTTACAAACTTTCAGTCATAAAACAGTAAGATATGTGCTAGAAATTACTTATATCATTGATAGTAATATTGAGACTGGAGGTTTCCTGGAGATTTTTCAATTGATAAATCTTCACAAACCTCCATATAGAATTATTCTAGCGATCATTAACGAGAGGTGATTCTTGAAGTTCCAGTGACAAGTTGTGACTAGTGAAGTCAATCAAGTTGAACATGAAGACAGTTACTCAACGTAAAAATAAGTAAACTCAAATGAAATTTACAATATTTATCCAAGCCGAATTAATGCAGCCATGGAGGGATGCAAACTATCTGACTAGCATCCTTTAGATGAAAGGAATGTGGTTGAGGACGACTCTAAGTGAAATGATTGGAAGTCAGTCGAAATGGCACAAATTTATTCACTCTTTGATATCTTCTAAAGCCTAAATATTCACACCTACCTTCATACTTACTCTTCACATTATTTATCCTGTTACACATAACCTTCTCTACTTTGACATCACTCTCGTTCTATCCATCTGTTTTTTGTGTACTTCTGTGAAGTATGACAACTTTAGTTGATACGCTTATGTAAAAGGTTCCACGTTAATTTCATCTATCTATATTTATCCAAAGACTTCAAATGCCCAAGTATATTTTCAGTAGTCAAATAATCAATGGCTTAATGTGCACTTAAAATTACGCAGTCACAAGTATGAAAACACAAGAAACGAAATAATAACAGTAACATAAGTACGAATAATAACGACAACACGAGTAGAATGGAGTTCATAGCCCCCATTGTGTTACCATATAAAGAAGACACATCAGAAACTTTACGTAAGATCCTCAACTAGGCTGCAATTAGAGTGACATCCTGAAACCTACAAACTCACTGAGAGATAAGCTTTGCCAGTTGACTTAAGAATCCCATAGAACTAATTAAGCAAAATAATCTAATCTATCAAATTACATGTAATCACCGTGAGGTCAAGTACGTAGATCAAACTAGCCAGTTGGGGTTAGTTAGACTAGCGGAACATACGAATTTAGCTAAATATAGAATGACGCCTTCCAATAAGATCAATGATCTAGGAAAAAGGACTCGCCTATTGGAATGCACGAATTAACACATAACCACATAATGGAATGGGATGAAACCTCTGTACTCAAGTCGATGGAGAGAGCGAGGTAGAGATTGATTAATGTATCTTTGTTCATCGAATCAACCAACATCCAACACATGTAATAGGAGTGACGCAATAAATGTACCAGAGATATGGAAAATTTTACTACCAATAAAAACAAATCATATGAGGTAAATAAAACTATAAAAATCCAATGTCGAGAGTAGTGTGCTCGAAATGTTGTCATCAAGTAAATACTACTGTATCACTGTGAGCCATATAACACATAAACAAATCTAATATGGAATGATTAATACGGTTAGATGTTTACTACAGTATCAAAGACACTGCCCAGGAAAGGAATCAATCAATGAACGAAATGAATAGCGTACAGCTGAGTTGAGATCAAACTACATTTGAGAATAAAAAGGAAACATGAACTGAGGGAATTAGAATAAACAAGACTTTTATGAATGCTATGATACGTGTAAAGCGAACTGGATGGGGATACAATACATTCATTGAATACCAAGAGAAACTAATACGCTGAAAGGTAAACAGGCTAAAGAGAAAAACATTGTCAAGACAACAAAATGAAGCAAGGATGAATTATACTATTAGTAAACGAAACGTAGTTACAAAAACGTAGGGAAATATTAAGATCACGCATATACAAGCCTGACAATCCTGTAGATTCATTTACTAATCCATAAAGCAAGGCTATTTTATGACGAGCTAATAACATAACTTAGCTAACAGGATCACAATTACCGGGAGAATTGGATGCGCATCTGAGGTTGAGAACTAAGTACTTTGAAACAATAAGCCAAAAAAATTATGAAAAGGTCATAACAACGACAGTTTCACAGCCTTGCATGGTTCCATTACTCAAACAAAGAGAAATTTGAATAGTCTAGAAGAGTGAACGAAATCAAATAAAACACACCGGTATTCGCCATTTTCATTACACCTTAGTGATACGAAAATGTTACAACTGCCTAGTCACCATCTACCCTATGACACAATGTTAGCCAAAGTAAGTTTAGACTAGAAAAAGGTTTGGGAAGGCCAGAATAAAACATGGCGACATTTCATAAAGTCTTGGATTGTTCATCTCAGCCGCATGTTGGGGGGTGGAGACCTCTTCGCTGAGGTCCATGTGACAACGGTACCTAGTGTTTAGAGACAGTAGGTGACATATCGTTCAGAATCGATCTCAGTAATGCAGATGTATCCACAGCACTATTTATTTCAATAGTCATATTGAATTACACTATTGTTTCACTTCTCCTTGTTATCTTTCCCCCTTTCTATCACCTTGACTAATTTCTTCTTCACTCCTCTATCTTTCAACTTGAAGTGCTGATGTAAGGTGTGACAACTTAGACCGTCACTCAGTAATATCACATCCTACGTTGTTTCTGACTGACTGAAATATGCAGAATTATGAGCAACATCGAACCCATCAACTTTGAGTGCTTTTGAAAAAACTTCAAATGATTGGGGAAAAAGACACTCTGCAATCCATATATGGTGTTGTAAAATAGACATTGATATATTTATTCCATGAGGCTATGAAGCAACAATCATCATCAACGGGAGAATGGTAAAAGAAGTAGTCTTTTTCACCTACATACCTACCTACCTAGGCACCATTCTCTCAATTACAGGTGGCGGTATAGATGACGATATCAATGGCAGGATCGAAAAGACAGCAAGACAGGCCTATCTTCGTTAACCTGAAATCGTTGTGCAGATCTACTGTACTCCACTCCATTCCACTCAGCATAAAGCGTGAACAACATCCGGATTTTCAACACTAATTTCAGTCAAGCCAGTCACTGCTTCTATATGACGGTTGAGAGACTTGGTACGTTACGCAACGCATTTCCAACAAACTATAGACAAGCACCATCAACAGCTGCCGCCTACACTCACTCGGTAGTGAAGATCGATCAGATAGCCAGAAAAATGAGAATAAGCAACAAGGCAATCACTCTGACTGGCTGGCAACAAAGCAACCAACCACTTATCACCCAACGTGTTTGGAGAAGAAAGTGGGGGTGGATTGGATTTGACATACACTGAGACGAAGTTTTGGTGCCAGACCATGCCACGTCGTCGAGTGGAAGCCAAAGGGGAGACGACGAGTTGGGCGTTGAGGTGAAATGAGAACTCGGACCAGCGACCACTGGGTTTCCAGCTCGATGCTCTACCAATTGAGCTACGAAGTTCAACTGCTGATCAGAATTTTATTTCACTTCATCAATCACCAAGGGTTTCGCCCGACTACCATATGAATTTGTGTCGATTTTTGCTGATTATCACTAGAAGTACAATTGACTGACGCAGATCCTGTTGTCGCTCAACATTTCAGCCTGAAGTTTTCAACGTGGAGTCTAAAGAAGGGTGTGTTAGTTCAGTTCCTTCTGAATTAAATCGTATTCTATCGTAGACTAGTAGGCCTTCTGAAAGACTCGCCACCTATTTATATTTGAATTCCTTCTCTCTTGATCGTGATAGCTTGAGTAGTCTATCGTTCAACTGTCGCATCAATGACTGGTTCTAATATTTGTTATGGATTTGTAATTACCTTGTTACATTTGATTAATCTGCTGCGTACATCTGATGTCATGAGTGGCACCATTTATTTGTTTCTAATTTGTTGTGTAATCTCCCATCTAGTAGGACAGTTGATGGATAGTCTGTATCTTACACTTTGTAGCACGATATTCCTATGTAAACTTTCGTGTACAAAGAAAACATGCTCTCGAGTGGAAGCTCTTCGACCGGATAAGTTCTCTTATTTCCAAGCACAGAGTAATGAATTGTGCTTTAAAACGTTTGAAATGATGGAAAAGATGTGTAGCTTCGGGTAGTATAACTATTGGTCATAGTGAAATATTTACCTACAAATGTTTCCTCATCATTTTATTGTTATTATTTGTCCCTTGGGTTTCTAGTCGAATGTAGGGCTTTAGTAGCACGCCGCGATTTAACTCTCTTCTTTGTAGTCTTTTCAACCTGACTCCACGACTGCCAAGAAGCCTTCATCTCTTCCTCACATGATCTCTTCCATGTCAACCTCGGCTAGGACGCCCAACTCACCGTTTCCCCTTTGGCTTCCACTCGACGACGTGGCATGGTCTGGCACCAAAACTTCGTCTCAGTGTATGTCAAATCCAATCCACCCCCACTTTCTTCTCCAAACACGTTGGGTGATAAGTGGTTGGTTGCTTTGTTGCCAGCCAGTCAGAGTGATTGCCTTGTTGCTTATTCTCATTTTTCTGGCTATCTGATCGATCTTCACTACCGAGTGAGTGTAGGCGGCAGCTGTTGATGGTGTTTGTCTATAGTTTGTTGGAAATGCGTTGCGTAACGTACCAAGTCTCTCAACCGTCATATAGAAGCAGTGACTGGCTTGACTGAAATTAGTGTTGAAAATCCGGATGTTGTTCACGCTTTATGCTGAGTGGAATGGAGTGGAGTACAGTAGATCTGCACAACGATTTCAGGTTAACGAAGATAGGCCTGTCTTGCTGTCTTTTCGATCCTGCCATTGATATCGTCATCTATACCGCCACCTGTAATTGAGAGAATGGTGCCTAGGTAGGTAGGTATGTAGGTGAAAAAGACTACTTCTTTTACCATTCTCCCGTTGATGGTGATTGTTGTTATTATTGTTGGTTGGGTATCTTCATCACCACTATCTTCTCTACGTTCACCTGAAGGAAGTTCAGTCTTTCTTCACTGTCTCGCCTCGCCTCTTCTATCAACTTGTTAGTTTTCACTTGTAGATCCACGAGTTTGTGCGACAAGACATTAGACATAAATCATCGACAAAATATAAATCTTCTAGGGCATTTTCATCGGTCAAACAGCGTATGCCCATCTTCTCACAGCTCCTCACAGTTGTCTGTTGCATGATACTGTCCAGTCCAGTCCAGTCGACCATAATCAGGAAGATCACAGATGATGATAGTAGGCAACTTTATCTTACTCCTTGCGGTTTTCACTTCAAAGGTATCACTGAGCTTTCCAATGTGAATCACTCAGCGTGTAGCATCCTCATACAGCATAGCATCTAGCTGTTGAATGAGGTTGATAAATGTTTGTGACAGTAAAACTGTAGTGTTGAAGTAGCTGTCTGCCAAATTACTTCTCAGTCGACGGTGTCGAAGGCCTTTACAAAATCAATGAAGTTGAGGTAAAGGTCCAGTCGACTGCCATTCTACGCTCTGTTCTATGACGATGCGTAGCGTAGCGATATGGTCCGTACATGTTTTGTTTTTCCTGAAACCAGCTTCCCCATCATTAGTTAATAACTAATGTATATCTCGTGTATACAACAAAGAGAACACACCTGGGAAAAAAACTAGCATATGAAACACTTTGTTTTGAAAAAAATAAATAAACATTTACCTTAGTCATATTCCATTCACGTATCAAATTGTTCACAGTACCACCAAGTAGTTTAAGATGATTTTTAGACAAAAGTAAAAATCCCATCGATATAGGAATCGAACCCATCAGGCGAAATTTTGTACCCGGTAGGATATCTATACTGAAAGAGAAATTGTCAATACAATTAACACAGCAGAATACATTGGATGGAATTAAATTATTACAATCATACAAGATAGGCCGTGAATAAATCAAAATAATCGAGTTCAATTTGACGGTCGACAAAAAAGCTCTTACAGAAATGCACCTATCAACTATACGTCTGTTTGTAGAGAAGACAATGTGTCATATTTAACGTGTGAAGGCTAGTGATACTGCCTGACTCTACCTATATTTCATTAGGTAGAGTGGTATTTGAAACCCACCACTCCTCGCCGAATGTCAACTGCTTAAACCAGTGAGTCACACCTCCACCAATAATGGACGAAGTGATTTGATTGGTTGACAAGAGACTAATCCATCAAGAAGCTCCAACGTTCTGAGAGCGTATGCATAATTTATACACTTGAAAAATAATCTTCAGATAGTGTAATTGAATACCATGCTCTAGAGAAGTATTGGCTAGTAAACACATGAGTGTATGAAATTCAGATATGATTTACAAAAGCTTGTAGTAATATCATCATTGGTAGGCTGAGTTGACAAAAACAACTGAAAAAAAGACTGCCCGGAACGTTTGGGTCACACTGCTATGTCCGGCAGTACGGCCTAACAGTCTACGAGTGATACCAGCCTAGCAGACTACAAACGATATGAAACCTAACGGACAAACGAATCGACTCTAATGAGAATCAGAACGTCAACCACCAAAACAGTAATACCACCAACATGCAAAGACAAGAAGAGGAGATAGACCGCTGACAGAGAGCTTTTACAGTTGACAGTTGACGGCGATGCTGAAGATATACACTTCCAAATGACCTTGACGACACTGAAACTAAATGTAGGTAGAAATAGTTAACACCCAATAACAGTTCGGCCTTGACAGGAGGGAAGAAAGACTAGAGACAGTGTGAAAACAGCTATGTAGGTCATTTTAAGGTAATAACTAAACCACCAGGCAAAAGCCACATATATACACACATACATCTGTATCCAGTTGAGTGTTATTAAATATGGAGTCTTTTTGGCACCTACGCTGTGCTAATTTAGTGTCTGAAGTGAATGTGAATAAAAAGGGGAAGTAAGTTCATGTACTAACAACTAGGAGGTAAGCGTGTCGCGTGACATCTAATGATCCGAACTGGTTGGCCAACCCAGTCGACAGCTACTAACTTGAGGTGGTGAACGCGTATGCATATCATAATGATCCATCGTGCTTTGCTGGTGAGACACTTGTTCCCTCCACGTCCTACCATACTAGAATGGTTAGCTAGATTGTGGTAAGATAAAAATCAGTTAAAGTCATAGCGTACTACACTACGTTATGATGGGAGTTGTAAGGCAAAGTCGTACTGTTGACTAGCTGGATGTTCATCGTGGACGATCAAAAGTATTTTGTTAATACCAACATCCTAATAAGGAGTGTCACAAAACGTTGATCCCTCGAAAATAGGGGACTACTCCCTACTCTGTAGCCTCCTAATAGTGGAAAATGTGGGACCATACCTGAATTCAAAACAAATTAACGCAAACGTCACAGTTTCTAAAAGGCCGTGCATGATCAGCCCTAAGCAGACGTTCCTTGGACTCTACAGTGAAATTTGACGTTCCTGTTGCATTTTATTGGTTGGAAGATCGAATCAATCTCAGTATATCTGTTCGTTGCTAACTGACCTAAGTACCAAACTTCTAGACATTCTCTGACATTGCAATGATGGATAGTGGCTAGCAGTGGAATCCAGGATGCACATTTCGTTCTATTTAGGACTCATCAGTTGGTTGTACCTGCCTCCCAGTGAGTGATATTGTTGCTATCGGGACTCCCTGACATTCTTTGTATTTCTTCTACCTAGGATTTCCACATTCTTCCAGTCAAATTCGTGTCCACAGTAGTCTGCTGAATGCATTGATATGAGCAAAGATATATCATGACACTTAAATACTAGTTCATGTTAATGTAGACGAATAGGAAGAGGGTGATCACTGTGAAACAATGTTTTTTGGTAGCTTCTGCAGCTTATTTCACAGATAACGTTCGGTTTTTCTTCCTTTGCCATGCATTTTACGGCATGTATAACCGAGACTGAAGAGATTTTGTAGGCTTTAATAATTTAGTCTGGATCTCGGAGACGTTCTTCATATAGGGTAGGATAGTCGGTTTTTCAGTCTTCAAGGTTGACTTCTTGGTGGACAACGAATCGATGACGACGAATTCTATCAAGCTCCATGAATAGTCATTCTCCTGGAAAACAGTCATCAAATAGTTCGCTTCTTTTCTCCACAGGGTTGATGCACTACAATGTCTTCGCCCACTTCAACAATGCTCTTATACAACTGATTTTGTGTACTGTTAGGTTGGTGCTATTGTAGTTGAACATTTAATCCATATGAGTTAGTTTTCTCTATACTTCAGTTTACAATCCTGCCAAATCGCTTCTAGTGATAAGAATATCGAAAATGCAAGTTTATTGTTTGATTCCTCTTCAATGGTGAACTTCACGTAGTCGAAAATGTTGTTCACTAATTCGTAAGCATTATTTAACTCGTTTCTTTGAATGATGACAAACATGTCATCAACATATCAAATCTAGAGTTTCCGTTTATTCAACGACAATACCACAATTCCCAATCTCTGCATTACTGCCTCTGCAATTAGTCCTGATACAGGCGATCCCACTGGTGTTGCCTTTGTATGCTTGTAGAGTTTGCCATTGAATTGAAAATATGTTGTAAGGTATAAATCAGTTAATCCCACCAAACTTGACCATGCAGTTGTGTATGTTCCAAGAGGTGTGTATCACTGTTGAGAAGAAGATTCATTGTATCCTTAGTCAGTTTTGGTTCAATTTAGTTCCAAAATAGTTCCTCAAAGGTGGAGCTAAAAATAACTAACTAATTAGTTCAGTGAACAGAATATAAACGTGATCAAGAGTCATAGACCAAAGATCGAGAACTTAACAGTACCATCCAGTTGCCAGTCTGATAACTATCCGATCACAGATACCAGTCTGTGTATAGTAGAATAGTATCATCAGGGACCCCAACACAAGCGTTTTATAATCTATTGTATGAACTTGGATGTGATTACTAAAATATGCCAGAACTCCAAATGATGTCAAGTCTTTGATGAATACAACACTGAAATCAATTAATCAATCGATGGATTCTTAAAAGCCTCTAATTACTTGCTTAGGTGCAACTTTACTTTGCAAAACCATTTACTCACTTTAAATCCGTTTTATCCTGCATATCTAAACCAGTTATTGTATTACGACCATCGGTAAAAGTGAGTCGTAGGAGACAAGGTCCTCGATGATCAGAGGAATTAGTTAACATCATTTCTTCTACAGCTTGTGGAATACTGATGTTACGTAATCGAGTGAGTTGAACAATTCGACCATTAGCTTCAAGCTGAAAAACAACGATATACAGACTGAACAGGTGAATAGGAATAGAGTAGAAAAAGGCTATCGGAAGGAGGACGAATTTGAAAAAATGACGGATAATGATGCTCCAGATATAGAAGGCGTCAAAAAGTGAATACAATTGTGCTGGTTATTTCATCAAGAGTCCACAACCATCGATTCCTATCGTCTCAGGGACGTTAGCCACCCAGCTACACTTCCCAGTATACCTCAGAACAGCAGTCAAGGACCACCCTAAGCCTTCTTCAAGCCTATTCTAACTTCTCTTAGCATCGCGCGTCGAGCTAAGTGATGGCTTGCCATCCGCAACACATCCAAGCCAGTCCAATTGATATATGTTCAAATCCTCATCGACCAACTTGTCTTCATTGCCTAGTACCTGTCGCCTGACCTAAGCATTGCTCACACGGTAATTTCACTATACGCCAGTAATCCTATGCAGATACCTATAGTGAAAAAACCTTAAGTCTCATCACATCTACTTTTAACGGTCATATCGAAGTGTAGAGCAGCATACTTGCCCCCTTAACAGGTTGTCGGATATCTCGCCAGTTGGAAAATTCCAAACGGATCTTTTGTATTCAAACTGAGATTGCTTCAGCAACCAACCTATTTGACCTGATACAACTCGTCGCCTAAGCGAAGTAGTCAACAAAATCCGCTACATATAGATAAAATCAACATGCAATATCGCACACTAATGAATCACTTCTGATTGCTTCACTTTACAGCACCTTATGCAAAGAATAAATGCATACAAAAAAGAGTGATATCAAAGTGGATGAAAGTGCATATGAATGACTGACGCATGCACTGGCTGTGTTTCTATCCACAAAAAAGCGTATCAACTCCATTGTGTGTCCGTAACTATGGTATACGCCTTGCACTGTTAAAGTGTAACCTTTCAAGATTGATAGGAGCTTTTGCCTGCGTTAACCCTCGGTGGTGAGCCGTTGTGTGAATGCTGAGGCCAATGTGAGTGGTGTAATTTTCAACTAGATGTCGAAAGTCAAAGTGGTATACGTCAATCTCGGTCACCTTTAGTGCCAACGTGATGTTAGTCTGAGAGTAAAAGGTCATATTTACCACGCTTCAGTGAGAACAGTTCTACTCTACATCTGTGAAACCTGGCCTCTCCGAGCTGAGGATATGCGACGACTTTGTATGTCCAGTTATCCTTGTCTCCAGAGGATTGATCGAATCCGGTGGCAACGCCATGTAAGCCATCCTAAGGTACGACAGAGTGTGTTTGAGTATGATGCAGATCATCATTCACTAAGTGAAATCATCTGGAAACACCGACTTCGGTGGGTTGGACAGGTATTATGCATGTCGTCCCAACGGCTTCCACACCACTCATTGTTTGCTAACCCCAGGGACTAGATAGAAGAAGTGAAGGGGTGGCGAATGTATCACGTGGCGCCATGGGATGAAGAATAGTTGTATCGGGTTAGTATCTGTTGGTCCACAACAACTCTCTGGGTGTGATGCAAGAGTTCACGCAACTTGGTGGCTTGAGACTATATCAGATATAGCTCAGAACCGAAACGAATGGTGGTCATGCTGTTGCTTCCTTCCCTTCGTTGTATGTCTTCATTTTGTTGTTATATTATTTTGTATGGCGCATTCCTTCGTGCCCTTGCTGTACCACGTCCATATTCCAATAAAGAATAAATAAATAATTATTCGGAACATCTGACTATTTTCTAAGTGATTATAATGGATAAAAGATGATGGTAGTAGTAGTAGTAACATGAGCAACGAAATAGCTCAATAAATAAATGATACATAAAGTACACATAACATAAAAATTTCTTACTTGGCTGGACTTTTTAAAATCGCCTAACCATGGGGATCCATATTCTCGTATATCCGACTTGAAATCCATATGAGGATAACCAAAAACAAAGAAAGGAAGGAATAGATAAGATTATCGAAAAGATGAAAGAACATCTGACTAGGCAGTAGTGCAATTCCTAAATTGTATGGACAACATTAACGTTTCACAAATACGTTGAATACACTTGTCACCCTCACCTCCAACTTATCAGAACTTCCATTCAAGAATATTTGTCTAATCCTTCTATGTATTATTACTGGACTGTCTCAGATAGCCGTCGTTTGATAGACTTGCATTTACACTAGGTTATGATTGAAGGTGAAAGGCTAGATTCCAACCATAGACCACCAGGTTTCCTGCCCGATACTCTACCAACTGAGCTACAACATGCAACTGTTGATCAGTTTTTGTTTCACTTCTATGTATTCGCAAAATTAGTTAATCAAAATTATTTAAAGGTTGTAAAGTACAGGTGATGAAAAAATCCGAGAAATAAAATGAATCCATGCTATTCTCCTAAAGGTAGTTGCTACCTCGATATTTTAAATTTGTGAAATGAAAGAACTGTATGAAATTTCATTCAGTTAAAATGAGAAGAAGAAGACATTTCAGCGTGAACAATATTGTTTTCAATTAGCTCTCATTAGGCGTTACGCTAATATACATAGACTTTCTCATATATATAATACATAAACCATAGTAGATTCTTTAGCCTATGGTAACTGGGAGGTGAGGCAGAAATCGGAACCAGGAGCTTCAGGATCTGTGACCAGCACGTTGCCGTTGAGCCACTGGATCGGTATCCAGTGGCCTATATTTCCAACTTCTGTCAGCCTACGATATACGGTGACCTCCATTTGATGTCGTCGTTGAGTAACTGATGTAGTTAAAGATCTTTATTATCAATTTTAGAAAAAGACATATCACCATGGACAATATTATTTTCAATTAGCCCTCATCAGGCTTTACGCTAATATATATATATATATATATATATATATATATATATATATATATATATATATATATATATATATATATATATATATATATAGACTTTCTCATATGATACATTAAACCAGTTATGGTGGATTCTTTAGCCTGTGATAATCGGGAAATGAAGCATGCAAATAGTAGATATTATGGTTGTCTAGATATCTGCTATCTGCATGCTTCATTTACCAATTAACATAGGCTAAAGAATACACCAGACCGATAAGTAATTTCACAACTGCTTCAACACTATGGAATATCATAAACCTTTATCAACCTCATTCAACAACCATATGAAGACACTACATGCCAAATAATTCACAATGGGAAGCTGTCTGGTGCCCTTGAAGTAAAAGCAAGAGTAAGAAAAGGCTGTCTACTATCACCCATGATATTCCTGATTGTGGTCGACTAGACTGGATCATGCACCAAACAGTGAGGAGCGAGAAGATGGGGGTTATGCTGGACCAGGAAAAAGATCCTAGAAGATTTAGATTTCGCCGATGACTTGTGTCTAGTGTTGCACAAACTTGAAGATCCACAGGCGAAAACTAACAAGTTGACAAAAGAGGCAGCAAAGGAAGACGGGACTTCAAGTGGATATAGAGAAGACAGAGGTGATGAAGATACCCAGCCAACAACAACAGCAACAACAAGCTCCAATCACGGGACCCAGATTCCATGGTTTTATCTCACCCAGCCTATTGTGTGGTTGTGTGTTAATTCATGTATCCCAATTGGCGAATGTTTTCTACATTACTGATCCTATTGGGGTCTGTCATTCTACAATTACGCTATTTTAACTGACTCCGACTTCCTAGTTTGACCTATGTACTTTGCTTCACTCATAGTCATTACATAGAATTCGCTAGATTAACTTCGCTGAATTGGTTCTATCGGATCCTTAAGCCAGTCCACAATGCTTATCTCTGAGTGAATATGTAGGTTTCAGAATGTCACCCTAATTTCAGCCTTGTAGAGGATCCTACGTGATGTTCCTGATGTTCCTTTCATACAGAGTAACACAATGGAGGCTGTGAACTCTTTTCTAATAAAGACAACAAGAGTAGAAAGTTCACAGAGTCTGTTGTGTTATAACATGAGGAAGGAACATCAGAAACATCACGTAGGGTCCTCTACAAGGCTGAAATTAGGTTGACATTCTGAAACCTACACACTCACTCAGAGATGAGCTTTGTCGGGTGTCTTGAGGATCCGATAGAACCAATTCAGCGAAATAAGCTAATCTATCGAATTCCATGTAATGATCGTCAGTGAGGTAAAGTATTCACGTCGAACTAGCCGGTCAGGATCAGTTAGATTAGCGGAATATAGGAATTTAGTCAAACATAAAGAGATACACCCCAATAAGATCAGTGAACTAAAAAAAATGACTCGGCTATTGCAATGCACAACCTCACCTAGGTAAATAGTTCACTAGTAATTAGCCGGTTCTAAGCCCGGATAAAGAGGGAAGGTTGGGCATAAGGCTAGCAACCTTACCCCGTAAAGAAACTTCGAAGCACAAACAAAACATAAAATATAAAAACAAACTAATTCCTCGCCGGAATCGGAGAGACGAAATGACGCCGGTTGGTGAAAGTCTGTCTTCGGGAAGTAAGTCCGCCAATGTGTCTTCTCTCGATGAAAGACAAACTAAGCATAGATACACGGAATGTCCGAACAATGTTTGAAGACGACTGACAAGGCTGCCCAGATTGCAAAAAAAATGAGAAGATATGGCACAGAAGTGCTAGGAATCTGCGAAAGCATATGGAATGGAAGTGGACTCTTCAAACTCCTAACTCGAGAGTCAATAATCTACTCCGATATTGTCACCCAGACGACAACCACCAGCACACTGAGTTTCGGAGTGACCATCATCATGTCTCCAAGACCATTGGAGGCTCTCATGCAGTGGAAACCAGTCTCCTCCAGGATCACGATCATGACAGCAAGATTCAACCCAAAAGGAATGAAAGTCACAATCATTTAATGCTACACACCTAAAACGATGCACATCAAGAAAAGAAGGAGGAACTCTACAGACAACTGCAATCAACACTGGACAAGACTCCACTCCAGTTGGCGACATCAAAATTCTAATGGGCGACATGAATGCCAAACTCGGAGCGGGTAACACAAGAAGAGAACAAACCATGGGTCGAGAGGCACTCCGTCAAATGATGAATGAGAATGGAGAACTGTTGGCAGATTTCTGCACATTCAACGACTTGGTCATTCGAGGCAGTGTGTACAAACACAAGGATATTCACAAAGCAACATGGATTTCACCAAACACCAGACACACTACAAATCAGATCGACTTTATCTCAATCTGAAAAAAGTGGAGACGTAGCCTGCTGGACACAAGATGAAGAAGGGGAGCAGATGTAAGTTCATACCACTCACTATCTAGTGCAAGGAACCTTTAAAATCAAGTTAAAAGCCTTCAAGGAAGCTGGTGAAAGGCCACAGTTCAACGCCCAGAACAGAAAAAGAACTTAAGGACGAAACTACAAATGACATCTTCACGTCAGCTATCAGGACAAAATGGGAGATATTGAGCAACATCCCTGAAGAACACTGGAACTGTTTTAAAAAGATGTCGAAAAAAACCCTAACCCTAACCCTATTAGGAAGGAAGAAGAAACAAGACAAGGAATGGATCTCGACGGACACATGGAAGCTGATAGAAAAGAGGAAGATGGTTAAGCAGAAGATGAACCAGTGCAAGGATGCACAACGAAAAGAAGAACTGAACACAACCTATAAAACACTGCACAAAGAAGTGAAGAAGAGTGAGCCGAAAGACAAAAGACACTTCCGCGACACACTAGCAAGTGAAACAGAACAGGCTGCAGGTAGGAGAGAAAGAGACCTGACAAGATTGTATCAAATAACCAGGTCAGATCAACACAGATGAAACCAATGAAAGATGATGAAGAAATCTAATTATCAAAGAAGAGAAACAAAGAAAATGATGGACTGACCACTTCAAATAGCTCTTCAATCGACCATCACCTGCACTTCATACAGAAATACCACCTGCAGCACAGCCACAGAATTACCGGTGGACACAAGCCCTTCGACGAAAGCAGAAATCCGGGACGCCATAAACTTGCTGAAATCCGGGAAAGCAGCAGGACCAAATGGAATCCCGCCAAAAGCACTGAAAACAGACGCAGAGACAATAGCCGACACGGTCACACCACTACTGCAGAAGGTTTGGAAGGGAGGAAAGTTAACTGACGACTGATTGGAAGAAGGGCAACCTTGTCAAACTTCCAAAAAGGGGAGACCTGTCTTTGCAGGAACTGGAGCGGAATCATGCTCCTGTCCACCCCAAGCAAAATATTAAGCCGCATCCGATGCCTAACTACGGAGGGAGTAACACGCAGGTATATAACCCTTACCAAAGCACTCTACTCAAAGTCATGCAGCCATCTCAGAAGCAATGAAGAGTTGTTATGTGAGTTGACAACAATTAGAGGTGTCCACCACGGAAATCCACCGTCAGCTTTCCGATATAATTTCATCATAGATGTACTAATGCATATAAACCTATGTACGTCTGACTACCCAGAGACTCATCTACTCCCTGAAAGTCATCTAGTTGACTTAAAATATGCAGACGATATTGTCCTGCTAGATGAAGATACTGACAAAACTCAGGGTATTGTGAACGCGTTGAGCAGAAATTTGTATATGTCTGGCATACGTTTCACTGTCACCTGTCAAACGTACGATTATACTCCAGGGTTTGTATGCTGCAAGTACTCTCAGCTTAATGAGAGGCAGTGAAGTGGTGGAATGTGTACGACCACTTCACTTACTTGGCATGAGGCATCAGCCCGAACGGGGTGGTCAGTGACGAAATCTCAGGTAGGTTAGAGAAGGCGAAATATCCCACTCTCTATCGAACGTCAAATGTACTGTGCTGCAGTTTGTTCTGTCCCGTTGTAAGGCCTTGAAACACTGCCGTTAACAGCAGCAAACATGAAGCGGTTGCAGAGTTTTGATCATAGGTGTTCGGTGGAATCACCGTATGAGTAACGTTACAGTTAAACGACAAGTTCTAGACAAGATAGCCACATCAGTCGATGAGATTGTGAACCTTAGTCGACTGAGATAGCTTGAATGTCCACAACGCATGCCTAGCCACCTCCTGCCTCGAAGTGCCATTTTAGTAGGAGTCGGATTAGGCTGAAAAAGGGTTCAGGGTGACCAGACCAAGATATGACACCAGTCGATGAAGTCTCTGACTGTTGGCCCAGGCCATATTTGTGAGAGATATACTGTCTGGTTGGATATCGCGAGACGAAAGGAATCAGTGGTTGATGTCACCTGGTGACATGGTTATAAATCTGTCAAAATGGCGCCAAAGTATCAATCCACAACGTTTTTAAAGCTTAAATATTCGTACCAACCATTATTTTCAAATTGTTTATTCTCTTACACTACTTCGTCTACTTTTATATCACTCCTTTCCTACTCATCTTCTCTTTGTGTACTACTGTGAAGTATGACAACTTGAACCGATGTATTTGTGTGCAAAGTTCTACGTTGTTTTTGTCAATCAGTCAGTCAATTTTCCGATTCATATCAATTGTCTAAATAGATTAGAGTCAAAACATGCATTATCCAATGATTGAAAATTGAGTACAATGAACAATAAGCTATAATTACCAGCATAGTTAAGTTATAATGTTACAATACCTTTGAAATATTCAGCATAGAACATACACTGAACTATTAAAAGTAACATTTTTAACTTACATTTAACAGTAGATCAATCAACTCATTAAATTTTTCATGTTCTGTCTTCTTTAAATATTCTGTGAAACTTTTCTGTGATAAAATCCTTTGACATTATATAAAAGTAAAGTATTATAAGGTTGAAGTCGATAATAATAATAATAATAATAACAGTATTCAAGGTATTAATTTGAAATAGCCAGCTGGTTCTCCATAAGCATCCAGTCAACAGAAATGCAAGCGTAATTTTGATAGTGGTGGTGGCACTTTATTTAGACGGTATAAAAATCTGTAACTGAAGCTAAACATCTGACGGATAGTAAGTAATATAATGTAATTTTTCACAGCATAAAGTGGAATTCCATATAACGTAACATTTTTTGTCTGCTTTGTAATGGATTCGAGAAACGGAGAGTTGGAAACAGTTTAAAAATGTGTAAGAGTATATGACACGTTCAAGGGATATACTTAAATGATTAAAACAAATTGAAAGGAAAAGAATTTGATAAAAAACTTTCGATGAATAAATTTGGTGGCTCAAGGTTCAAGTAGGCCACCATGAAGACTTACAATAGCATGAAGCATAAAAGTATACCAAGATGCTAAGTAGTTCCGTGAATCGGAACAGTATTACCTTGGAGATAAGGGAAGGTATGGCTAACTAGCTATGGTATATAGAATTTCAAATTTCAGTTGGACAATTTATTTACCATAGATAAAAAGCTAGAGACTTCATAAACTTGAGTCAAGTCTTAATGTAACCAACCACCAAAAAGCCTTCTTCAAAATTAATCTACTTACGTAAACAAAGGCTAAAATGTTTCACTTCATCATTATCGTCTGCACTATTAATACACACAGTGATACAGTATTGTTGATAACATTTCCATAACTCTGATATACGCGGGTGTTACTTCATCCTTATTGCATGTGTTGGGGTGGGTGTTGGTTCGATGAACAAAGATTCAATAATCAATCTCACCCTCTCTCCACCTAATTATATTGGACTTAAGTGCAGTAATTGTATCCCACCCACCCAACTGTCACCATCATTATCAATATCAACATAGGACCAGGCATTACTGAGTAACGGTCCGAAAATGGTGAGATTCGGTATAGTGTCGTCAAGATGGAGATAATGTGTATGTGTGTGCATACATCTGCCCCACTGACATCGGTTCTCATCCATGTCATCACCTAGAGTCACTCTCCAACCACTCATTTCTCTTGTCCAGTGGACCCCAACCAGCTAGTCTGCCTCGACCCACATGGCTCGAACCAACAGTCAAACACTTCATACATTGGTGCCATATTTTAGTCAGCCCCCCTACCCGAGCCTTTTTCCAGTCTGAACCTACTTCGACCAACATTGTATGACGAGGTAGACGGTGACTAGGCATACACAACACATGTCCAAGCCAACCATCTCAGTCGATGATGCTTCATAACCACATCAACTGACTTACCTCTTCTCCCTGTAACTCTATACCTGAGTAGTGCGTTACTCAAGTGGTGACAGCATGGAATACGGTCTATACTACGAAGTCAGCGGTGGTCAAACACGTGAAGTCAGCTTTCTTATGTCTTCCAACTTCAGTGGCCATGTTTCACAGCCATAGAGTAGAACAGAATGGACTGATGTGCAGTAAACGCGACTGTTAATGCACAATCGGATATCATGGTGACGCCATAGTTAGCCTAAGTTGGCAAAAGCTAGCCGAGCCTTTTGCATCCAGGCTGAGATTTCATTGGCTACTGATCAATACACCAGCGCTGATCCCACTTCCCAGGTAAGTAAAGTGGTCGATACACTCAATCACTACACTCTATATTATCAGCCGTGGCACCTTATTGTGTGCTTTATCGAATCAACACCTATCGAACACATGTAATAGTGTTGATGTAACATCTATACCAGAGATATGGAAAATTTTACTAACAATAAAAATAAAAGAAGATCAAGTGACAGGAATATAGAAATCAGATATCGAAAGTGCTGTGTGATAACATTGATATGATGATGATAAGCAATAAATCATGCTGAAAATGTCATCAAATAAACAAATCTAATCTGAAATTATATTCTACTACTGCGTCAAAGTTTTATACTTACACTAATGCATCAATCCAACTTGTAACATCTCACAGTAGAATAAAAGCATAAATGAACAGTAAAAGTAGACAAAAGTGTTAAAGGGAATTGAAAAATGAACTCTAGTCAAAACATTAAAGCTTTAAAAGATGTCAAATAGTGAATACATCTGAGCTATTGTCACCGATTTTCAGCTGTATCACCAAAAGTCATTAATCATCGATTCATATAGTCTCATGAATTCTTGACTTCTACACTAATATATAGTTTCACAATTAAGTGATGATCGAGGATTGGTGAACAATAACCACGAAGATTTTAGGTAAGTCATGATGATGATTAGTTTTAGCAATTTACTATTATTTGTCTTTTGGGTTCCTAGTGGAACATACCGCTTCACTAGCACGTCGCCATTTCACTCTGTTATCTTCAGTTTTTTCTAACCTGGCCCTACGACTGCCCAGAAGCTCTTCCTCACACCATCTCCTCGCCAAATGGTCTTCTCAGTGTATGTCCAATCCAATCCATCTCCACTTTCTGGTACATATTTGTTGGGCGATGGGTTCTTGGTTGGTTCGTTGCCAGAGTTCCTTGAACAAACCAAGAACCTATCTCCCAACAAATATGTAGAAGAAAGTGGAGATGGATTGGACTGGACATACACTGAGAAAGAAAACAGTTTGAAGACACCAAGTGCCAGGCCCTCGAGTGAAACGCAAAGGGGAAACGACGAGTTGGGCGTCCGAGGGTGACATGGAGGAGGTCGTGTGATGAAGAAATAAAAGCTTCTGGGCAGCAGTGGAGCTAGCTTCAAATTAGGATGTAAATAATCGATAGGGTAATTAGAATTGGTAATATGAAGCCGATCATTTTTAGGCAAATTAAGTGACTTTTGATGAGTATTCAGTCATTCACAATGAATGATTACGTAATAATAAGAAAACAAATGAATACTGACAGAAACAAGAAGGGGAAGAGATGTACAGAGTAATCCTAGAAGTTACATCATGTTGATGGCCACGGTAATGAAAGTGGTCCAGTAAACTTCTTTTGAATACAAAGGTTAGATTTGTTTGTAAAGGTAGATTACAATCGCCACTGCAATGTGAAGTAAGCCAGTGAGTAATCCATGTGGTAAATGAACTGGAATGTGATGAATAATTTTGAATGCTTTTCTAGTAATCCATTTAATGTCCCGTGTGAACTAGGTGTGCAAGTATGGAGCTCTTTATTGTTCTAATTTTTCCCTAGCTCAACCATGATGGGTGGTGTTCAAAAATTCGACGATGAACCTACATCATCGTACATCCAATGTAAGTAGCTCTACAGCAGCACTTGAAATGATAAATGCCCATGAAATTGGTAGTCACGCAGTTTTCTTTTATTTCTAACATCTAGAATATGCAGATGATATAGTCCTGTTAGGTGAAGACACTGACAAGATGCAGAGTCTTCTGAACACTTTGAATGGCAATTTGAGAATGTTTGGGGTGCGATTTTCACCACCCAAATGCAAATTTTTGCTCCAGGACTGGTCTTCAGCGGTGCCCCACCGCGGCTAACACAATAGAGAGTGAAGTGGTTGAGTGTGTTGACCACTTCACCTACCTGGGAAGTAGGATCAACCCTGGTGGGTTAGTTGCCGATGAGATTTCGGCACGGATACAAAAGGCTCGATTGGCCTTTGCCAATTTGCGCCACCTATGGCACCGCCGTGATATCCGTTTGTCTATTAAGGACGGCGTGTACTGCACAGCAGTCCACTCTGTTCTACTATATGGCTGTGAAACATGGCCATTGAAAGTGGAAGATATAAAAAGGCTTCAGGTGTTTGATCACCGTTGCCTTCGTAGTATAGGACGTATTCCGTGGTATCACCATGTGAGTAATGCAGAAGTCGTGTAGAGTTTTAGGGAGAAGAGGTAAATCAGTTGACGAGGTTGTGAACCTTCATCGACTGAGATGGTTGGTCGAGACACGCGTTAAGTATGCCTAGTCACCGATTGCCTCATCAAACAATGTTGGCTGAGGTGGGTCCAGGCTGGAAAAAGGTCCGAGGTGGTCAGACTAAAACATGACACCAATCCATGAAGTCTCTGACTGTTGGTTTAAGCCATGTAGGACGATGCAGACTAGGTGGTTGGGGTCCACGGGACAAGAGGAACCAGTGGTTGGAGACTCTAGGTGATATGGCTGACAACCGATGTCAGTGGCGCAGATGTATACACACATTATCCTCATCTTAACAACGCTATACCGAATCTCACCATTTTGTCACTCCTCTTTTCTTTCTTCTCATAATTTATATTTCTTTTGACTGCATTCACTTATCTTCATCCTTTACCTCACTACCTTTCTACTTGATGAACTGACGTGAGGTGTGGCAACTCGGACCGTTACGCAGTAATGCTTGGTCCTATGTTGATAATGATGATGAGAATCGTGTGGTTGTAGAAGATAGGACATAATTTAGCGGCTGGGAATACTTTTTGCAACACCAGGCCATTCTTAAATTTCAGCTTCAAGGAGATTTGCTTTTTAGGAACTGTTGGGATTCTTGTCTTAACCTTCTTAACATTCATATGCTTAGTTACAAACTTGTCTGGGTAACCATTCCTACTAAGCAGATCACGGGTGGTGGCGAACTCTTCCACTATAGCATAATATGACCAAACAGCTATGGTACAGTATACTAAGCATTTCATCAGGTTCTTCAATATAACAGTAAAACTCGTGCACTGTGGTAGAATGTAATTCCATTTTTATTGATTTATTAGATTTATCACACAGTGAAGAAACATTATTGTTTACTGGATTACTTTTCGGACATAATTTATTGTCTATAGTCATATGAAGATGAGTAACTACACAACTTTGAGATATACTTTATATAGTCCTAAATTTCTCGTCTCTTTGTGAGATGGGCAGTAAAATTTTCCATATATCCGGAACAGGTGCTGAGTCATCCCTGTTGCATGTGTAAGGTGTTGATTCGATAAACAAAGATTCAGTTATCAATCTCTCCCTCTACCCTGTTATGTTAGTTTTAAGAATTTTCACCCTATCCCATCCTATTGTGTGGTTGTGTAATTGCATGCATAGATATGGCTGAGCTTTTTTCTAAATTCCTTACCTTAGTAGGATCTACCAATTTTGACCTAGCTAGGTTTTTGCGTTCGAATAGACTAATTGACCGTGGTCAATTACTTTGACCAGTGTATTTGACCTCGAAATCGTTGCAAGAGATTTGGTGAACTAAGTTATTCTGCTTAATTGGGTCAATAGGATCTTTTAACCTACAAAGCTTATTTCGAAGTGAGTTTGTCTGTTTAAATCCCACTCTAATCCCAGTCAGCCTTAGTGAGAATCCTACTCAGTGTTTCTGAGGTGCCTTCTTTGTATGGTAATACTGTAATACATCAAAGCCAGGATCGAAAAGACAGCAAGACAGGCCTTCATGAACCTGAAATCAGTGTGGAGATCTACTCCACTAAGCATGAAGCATGAACAACATCCAGACTTCCAACACTAATTCTGTCAAGTCACTGCTTCTATGTGGTTCAGGCCAGGGTCGTCGAGTGGGATCCAAAGGGGAAACTACAAGTTAGGCATCGGTGGCGAGGGTGACATGGGGGAAATCATGTGAGGAAGAAACGATAGCTCGTGGACAGTCATGGCGCCAGGTTGAAAAGACTGCAGAGAACACAGTGAAATGGAGGCATGCTACTGAAACCTTATGTTCCCCTAGGAACCCAATGAGAAGAAAATAACAGTAATTTATTGCATTATCTGTATAAATTCTTTCAATTCTTGTATACAGTGAATGAGTTACTCTTGTTTTTCTTGACTATTGGAGTCTAAGCTTCGAAAAATTAGTATAATATCCATTTCATGTTTAATTCCTGCAAATTGATCCTCCTTAAGGAACTATTATATCACTATCCTTCTTATAGATGATTAAAGTGTCATCCATATATACATGGAACTGCACAATCAATGGACGCCGTTTACTGTTCTCCAGACTGATGATGAATATACCTTCGACAACGATCAACTAGAGACTCCACTCAAAAAGGAATGTATACACTGGACAGCTGCATGGTCAAGCACGTCAACAGTGCATAATCATGATACTACAACGAGACTATCTTAAGTTTAGCGATGTGTATTTTAGTGTTGAACTGCTGGGTTAATTTCTCACTAGTTGTGAGCACATAAACTCAAACTATAATTGGAAAAAAATAACAAAGAAAAATAAGGATTTAACAAACAGTAAACATTGACTTACCAACCAGCGTTTACGACTTCCGATAAGCTACACTGAAATCAATAAAACACAAACTGAGAATGAAAAAAACCCATCAGTTGTAAAAGAAATCACTTTTTTGAAACCAACAATTTACTAAATATAAACTATGATCAAGATTTGATCGTATAGTATGTCAAATATTGGGCACTGAGTAAATTGTTGTTGATATTAGGATGTGGATTTTACTTGTGTAAGTCACATTGGGTTTGAAATCAAATAATTTCAACGCTGTTTTGCACAGAAGTCTACTGTGAACTTCTCTTCAGAGAAATCATCCAAAATTGAAGCATCAAGGATACATGCAAATGAATCCAAACCTCCATGTTGAATACTCTTCGTGTAGTCATTGTTTTTGTAAATTATGATAACTAATTATTCAGTTTGAGATTGTATATCTCTTATTGTATGGTAGAGGTTAAGAAACTAGAAAACAAATCAACCATTATGCTACACTCCATAGAAATGGGATACAAAATTGACTTTGATGGGACTAAAGTTCTACAAAAATGTTTTGAGTTATACCAAGAAAGATTGACAACCGATGTCCTACATATATGGGTGAATGCAGACAGTTTGAAGAGATGAGTTGGAGTAGAGTTAGCTGCCTCTTGATAGAAAGAGTGACTCAAAGTATTTATTGTCAACACCAGTCTCAACTTCATTATTTCTGCATTAACAACAACAACACAATCTGGATTGATTTGATTCACTATTACTATCATCATCATGACCCATTTCCACTCTTTTTTCAGTAAATCAAGGGGGAAAAATTCGTTAGTACTATTCACCACCATATTTCAACTGAAACTGTATACATATCCGCCTCATCCATTCCATTGTACTTATAAAAATTACCAAATGACTATAATGTCACGTGCGACCTTTTTGTCTGATATTTATAATCAAGACGAATACGATTTGGAGTACACATTATATACACACACACACCCACATACCATACAACAAGAGATATACAATTTCACACTGATCAAGGTTTGATCGTATGGTGTGGCAAATATTGGGCGCTGAGTAAAAGGTTGAAATTAGATATAGATTGTATTTACGTAAGTGACACTCCATAAAAATAGGACACAAAATTGACTGAACTAAGGTCCTACAAATAGGTTTTGCGTCATACCAAGAAAGATTGACAGCCGAAGTCCTACATATATGGGCGAATCCAGACAGTTTGAACCGACGATATGGAGTACAGTTAGCTGTCACTTGGCCATTACTAATCAGTAAGTAAAAAGAGTGACTCAAAACATTTATCGTCAACACTGGTCTCAACTTCATTATTTCTGCATCATCAACAACACAACCTGAACTGATTTGATCCATTCTTACTATCATCATCATCACCATCACCATCATTACTCCTACTGATTTCCACTCTATTCCAACTGAAATTGTATACACATCCACCTCATCCTTTTCAATTTGTACTTATAAAATTAATGAATGACTATGTCACCAGTGTCCTTTCGGTCTGATATTTATAATCAAGATGGATATGATTTGTGGTACACATATATACATACACATATAACATACATAGACCAAACAACGAGAGACATACAATCTCAAACTGAATAATTAGTTATCATAATTTAGGAAGACAATGACCATACGAAGAGGTTAGGGTAATAGTGAATCAAGTCAATCCAGATTGTGTTGTTGTTGTTGTTAATGCAGAAATAATGAAGTTGAGACTGGTGTTGACAATAAATACTTTGAGTCACTCTTTCTATCAAGAGGCAGCTAACTCTACTCCAACTCATCTCTTCAAACTGTCTAGATTCATCCATATATGTAGGACATCGGTTGTCAATCTTTCTTGGTATAACTCAAAACATTTTTGTAGAACTTTAGTCCCATCAAAGTCAATTTAGTATCCCGTTTCCATGGAGTGTAGAATAATGGTTGATTTGTTTTCTAGTTTCTTAACCTCTACCATACAATAAGAGATATACAATCTCAAACTGAATAATTAGTTGTCATAATTTACAAAGACAATGACTACACGAAGAGTATTCAACATGGAGATTTGTATTCATTTGCATATATCCTTGATGCTTCAATTTTGGATGATTTCTCTGAAGAGAAGTTCACAGTAGACTTCTGTGCAAAACAGCGTTGAAATTATTTCATTTCAAACCCAATGTGACTTACACAAATAAAATCCACATCCTAATATCAACAACAATTTACTCTTTAGAAACACATGCACACAGGAAACAAAAGCACAAAATTGTATTGTTTTAGCTGTTTTTAATAAAAAAGTAATAAACTTTATTTCATAAAAGTTATTAATATACACAAATTTAATTTAGTTTAACTAACTATTTTACATCAATTACAAAACAGTATCATTAATCTGGTGTATAAGGAGGAGGCAAAAAATAAAAGGCAGGAACAGTAGCAAAACAAAATGGAAGAGTAACAATAAGTGGATTAAAACAAAAATGCTTCGTTCAACGTTCAATTGTCAAGGTCATTTCAAGGACTATTATTCTTTCTGGATTCTACTGACAATAGGACTTGATGAGTTGTTGCAGAATTCACTGTCATCTCTAAATTATTCAGAATGAAGTATATCACTTGGTCGACAAGGCATAACCTAATGGATCTTGTTCATTATCAATAAGATGTTGGATTGATTCAGATATATGACGGAGAAGATTTTGTAATTGTGATCCGGAAAACAACTAAAACAAAAGAGATAGAAAACGATATGAAGGGAAAACTTGAAATGAATGAATAGTGACGTAAACAAACAAAATCACCGTAGAACCTCGCATATGGTTGCCACACTTCACAGGAAAAGAGCGATATCAAATTGGACAAAGGTACATGAAGAAGAATGAATTCAAATATAGGCACCTAGTCAACCATTCACCAACTAGCTTAAAATACGATATAGTACTGATAGTGGGTTATTATCTGAGTGAAGTGGTGGAATGCATTGATCACTTCACTTACTTCGTAATGGGCTGCTTGATAACGAAAAGCTGAGCTCGGATACATAAGGCCCGTTTAATATTCGCTAACTTGTGTTATCTCTGGCCTCACTGGCGAAATATTAGACTACCTATCAAACGGCGAGTATACTGAGCTGTAGTTCGTCCTATCCTGTTGTAAGGCTGTGAAACATCCCCGTTAAAAGTAGATGAAATAAAGCGGTTGCAGGGTTTCGATCATGGATGTCTTGGTAGCATCACTCGAGTCAGGTGGAATCACTGTGTGAACAATGTTAAGGTCAGGTTAAGGGTACTAAGCAAGAAAGGCAAATCGACTGATTAGATTTTGAATCCTAGTCGACTGAGATGGCTTCGATAAGTACTGCGTATGTTGAGCCACTGCCTACATCGACTTGCTATACTATACGAAGTTGGATTAGCTTGGATGAGGGTTGAAGGTAGCCAAACCGAGACCAAGCACCAGTGAATTGTTGGTCTGAGCTGTGCAGAGAGATGTAAACTACCTGGATTAACTCCCTAAGATGACAGAAATCAGTGGTTGAGGACTCTTAGCAATACGGTTGAAAATAGATGACAATTGAGAGTGTAGTGGTTGAGTGTGTCGACCACTTCACCTACCTGGGAAACAGGATAATCTCTGATGCATCGATCAGTGACTGATGAAATCTCTGGACAGATACAAAAGGCTCGGCTAGCTTTTGCCAACTTAGGCCATCTGTAGCATCGCCGTGATACCCAATTATCTAGTAAGCGTCGCGTGTACTGCACAGCAGTCCACTATGTTCTACTATATGGCTGTGAAACATGGCCATTGAAAGTGGAAGACATGAGAAAGCTGGCTTCAAGTGTTTGACCACCACTGGCTTCGTAGTATAGGCAGTATTCCATGGTGTCACCACGTGAGTAACGCAGAAGTCAAGTGTAGAGTTTTAGGGAGTAGAGATAAATCAGTTGACGAGGTTGTGAACCTTCATCGACTGAGATGGTTGGTCGAGACACGCGTTAAGTATGTCTAGTCACCGATTTCCTCATCACACAATGTTGGCCGAAGTAGGTTCAGGTTGGAAAAAGGTCCGAGGTGGTCAGACTAAAACATCGCACCAAAGCATGAAGTCTTTGACCGTTGGTTTGAGCCATGTGGGTCGATGCCAACTAGGTGGTTGTGGTCGGTGGGACAAGAAGGACCAGTGGCTAGCGACTCTAGGTGATATGGCTGACAACTGATGTCAATGGCGCAGATGTATACACACATTATCCTCATCTTAACGCTATACTGGACCTCATCATTTTCTCACCCTTCCTTTCTCTCTTTTCATACTTTATATATTTCTTTTGATAGGATTTTTACTTGATGTAGTGATATGAGATATGGTAACTCGGACCGTTACACAGTAATGCCTGGTCCTATGTTGATATCGATGATAATGATGATGATATTTCAAAGTTCTGGAGTTATCTTGATATGAATATGAATAATAAATTATGTCTGAAATATAATACACAGTAAATAATATCATTTCTAATAACAGATTAAAATAAGATTATAAATAGAGCTGAAACGAATATAATGCCTACCTTGAATAAACCATAATTATTATCCACAATTAAATTGGACAATTCAACACATTTCTGATGTAATCCAACAGTTTGATAAAGTCGAATAAGAAGAAATACTGTCTCAGTAAGGCATGTTTCACGTAGATTATTCATTTGTAATTGACGTGAAGTTGTATTTTCGCCTAATCCACTAATAGGATCTTCTTCACTTTCGATTAAATTTGTTTGACGTAAAACTCTATCATCATCATCATCATCATCATTGTCATCATCATTATCATCATTGCACACCATATTGTCTAGATGATTTTGTTCTTCAGTATTATTATGATTTAGTGTTGTTCTTGGTGTTGTTGTTGTTGTTGTTGTTGTTCCTCGATCAGAATAACCATTACTTTCGTCTTCATCTTCTATATCAACTAACCAACCAGGTTGAGGGTAAGTTAACAATGCTGTTAATTTTTCAGCTGCAACCTATTTTGAAGAGGAAAAATAAACAACAACAAAAACATACAAATAAAAAATGAATGTCGAATCAGTATCCACTCAGTAACCTTATTTATATTCGTGTAGTAGGCAATGAGTCATATTCACTATGTAAGGACGTAGATGCTGAAACCTCAAACTCTTGAAATTTTATCGCAGATAGAGAAGGCTCCGTTTCGCATTTGTCAACATGTGTCATCTCTGACGTCGACTGGACAGATATCCGACTATCTATCAAACGATGAGTACACTACATAAAAGTTTGTTCTATCCTTTTGTACGGCTGTGAGATATGGTCATAAAAAGTATACGACATGAAACGGTTACACGTTTTCGATCACAGGTATCTTCGTAGCATTGGACACGTGAATTAGAATAACGATGTGAGCAATGTTGAAGTCAACCGACAGGTACTAGTTAAGATAGGTGAATCAGTCGATGAGTTTGTGAACCTTAGTCTACTGAGATGGATTAAACATGTACTACGCATACAGATCCCTCCGCCTACCTCGACGTGTAATGCTGAGAGAAGCTTGATTGGGTTGGAAGAGAGTTCAGGGTGGTCAGACCAACACGTGGTATCAGTTCATGAAGTCTATAACTTATAGTTTGAGTCCTGTTGGAAGAGATAAAAACCACATGAGTGGGGTTTCTGAGACAAAAGGAATCAATGAGTGAGTGTAGGCGGCAGCTGTTCATGATATATGTTTGTAGTTTGTTGGAAATGCGTTGCGTAACGCACCAAGTCTCTGAACCATCACACAGAAGCACTGACTGGACTGGTATTAGTTTCGGAAAGCCGGATCTTGTTCACGCTTTATGCTGAGTGGAGTCCTGTGCAGTAAATAGACCTCCAAATTGATTTCAGATTAATGAAATAAGCCCTGTCTTGCTGTAGTTCCGATTCTGGCTTTGATATCCCCATCTGTGCCGCAGCCTGTAATTGAGAGGATGCTATCTAAGTAGAGAGGTAGGTGAAAGAGATAGCTTTCTTTGTATTTCTCCCGTTGATGGTGATTGGTGCTTGTTGTTGTTATTGTTGGTGGTGGTGGTGGTAGTTGGGTATCTTCATCACCTCTGTCTTCTCTACGTTCACTTGAAATCCCGTCTTCGCTGCCTCTTCTGACAACTCGTTGGTTTTCGCCTGTAGATTTTCGAGCTTGTGTAGGTTCTTCCAGATACTCCACAATATTTTAGTTTGGCTTTAGAGATTGCCTTTTCGTTTCCCTTTCAAAACTCTGAAATTCGTCATCTAATCATGGATATAAATTTAATTAACAGTGAAGGATTTATTTAATACATAACTTATGATTCTACAAATCTGACTAGCAAAACTTTCAGATCAAAGTCAGTGGTTGTTAGCCCCTCTCATTTGCACATCTCGTCAGCATAGGAACATGTTATTTGTGTCAAAGATTACAGCTTATGATTTTGGCTATTTAGTTTACAAGATTAAACCTTATGCACACCATAGACAGAAATTAGACTTCACTTATACCAGGCACAGGGTAGACTAGATGAAAACATCGATAGGCTTTTACTTTCTTAGAAGAACATACACATTTAGGCAAGATAGTCGGCATAAAAATCCTAAATATAGATAAAGGACTCCCCTGGAAAGTCATCGATGTCTTCCTCGTTACGGTAACATTTTCAGCTCTCCAAGTAACAAAATACTGTTGACCAGTCTAGGAGTATGATGACTTGAAGACTGAGTGTTAATTCGCTAGGCCATAGTTTCAACCAATCGGTCTCACTCACACAACGTACCACAACTTTAAGAGAAAGAATGATACGTTTATAGTAGACACACACGTACACATGTGAGCAAAGAAAACAACTCACTTGTGTATCTAAGCGTGTATCATGTCGCCAGCGTTCAAGACGAGCTAAATATTCTTTCTTAGCTTCTTCAACAGCTAAACGCTGTGCTAGACCTCGAGGACCATATGTTGTATGCGTGAAATCGTTGGCATTTCCTGTTGTCAGTGAAGACGGTTGTACAGGACGGTTTAGGTGTACCTGTTGATACCATTCAGCAAATGCATCCTGAAAAAAAGGAGAGAAGTAAGGAACAGTTATAAACACATGTAAAACAGGAGAATAACAGACAAAATCAAGATAGGACCTCGAATACAAGTGTATCGATTCAAGTCGCCACAATTCAGCGTGGTAGTATACAAAGAACAAGTGAGTGGAAAAAAGCTCTCAGCCACCGATTCCTATCATTTTGGGGATTCCAGGCAGGTAGTCACATAAAAATGAGTCATTAAAAAAAAGAGAAAATGTGCTTCCAGGATTTCATTTATGCTCATCATTTTTGGAAACATTTCTACCTTATCATAGTAACCCTTAAAGTTGAGAAATAAAAAAATTCAGATAAAGTTTGTTCCACTGAAGTCATAAAAGATAAACTGGAAAATAGGAAAACAAGAAACTGATTGAATCAACCATGCCAAAAAAGTGTTTATTCGACTACTATATTCAAAGGGTGATGAATTGAGTTCATGAAAAATAATCCCCGATTGAATGTATGCGCATATTGCACTAACTTAATAGTTGCCTATAACATGAAGAACATGCTAAGAGAAACTGCAAATTGATTCTATTTGTTAACCTTTACTTGGAAGAACACAGAGGGTCCTTACTAAGCGAATCTCTAAACATGTACTGAAAATTCTGTCATTGAGAGATGGAAGGCTACCGAGTAGAGCTATTGGTAAACAGATTCTCAATACAAGTCATACCGTTGACTTAAACATAACTTTCATAGTGCTCAATAGACAACGTAATAGTTAGATTGTTATGCTATAACAGAACCAGCAACAATCCATCGACTGCAGTTCACCTTCGACTGACATTGGAAAAATTGTTCGTTTCCTTCAGCTTTATATACCAGTTTATTGTTACATCTCATTGTCTTAAATATTATTATCATTTAACTATCTGAGATAGAAGTCGTAGTTTGCCAGACTACTATTTACACTAGGTGATGACTCAAGGTGAAGTGAGAATGTCGGCCGCGGCCAAATTCTAACCACCATCCACTCAGTTTCCAGTCCAATGCTCTACCTACTCACCTACGACGTCAGTCTGCTCACCACATCTTTATTTCACTTCATCAATCATCAACCGTTTCACCCAACTACCATATCAATTCGTCAAAACTTTCATTTAACCCTCCAATCATCAAACACTACCAATAATAGTCTGCAAAACCACGGAAAACTCAAACAGTAAAAATGATTGGCAATATGATGCTCCTCCTCTTTAATTCACTTAGATTTCGGGTTAGGATGAGAATTCCTGACTGACTGGTGTGTAGTCAGTGTGAGAACAACTAAGCGACAGAAACGCATCACGAATTCTTATGGTAGTCGGGCAAAACACCTGGTGATTCAGAAAGTGAAGTTAAATTCTGGCCAGCAATCGGATGTCGCAGCTCAGTTGGTATAGCATAGGTTCAGAAACCCCATAGTCGCTGGCTCGAGTCCAGCCGCAGTTCGAATTTTCATGTCACCTTTAGTCATCGCCCAGTATACTATTAATTTACAAGTTTTGCACACCATTTTAGCTGTAATTATATACCTGCACCACAACGACATCGAATTATCTACTGATCGTATCTACTGAACGATTTCACAGTCCGATGTGTTATTCTACTTATTCGGTCTATTGTTTGATTAGGTCGTGGACTTTGACATTTATCTCTGTCCTCATATATGTTGATGTCTAGGTGTAAGATATGCATTCAGTGTTGACTTTACTATTGAAGTTTACCACAGATGATTTATGCTGGACACATATACCTGACTGTACACAACGTTTACATTCAGTAAGTATGTGCAAGATTTAAAGCACATGAAATGTACATTCAACACACATCCCGCAATGTTTCTTGTTCTAGCTTCAGACAACAACGTGAACCTATAAACTCACTCAGAGATGAACTTTTTCGGTTGACTTAAGAATCTGAGAGAACCACTTGAGCAAAATAATCTGATCTATCAAATTCCAAGTAATCACTGTAAGTGGGGTCAAGTACATAGGTGAAAGTAGCCTATTGGGGTCCGTTAGAATAGCCGAACACACTAGTTTACCTAAATATAGAGTAACAGACATGAATAACATCAATAATCTAGGAAAAAGGACTCGGCTATTGCCATGCATTGATTAACACACAACCACACAATAGAATGGGTGGGATAAAACCACTGTAAATTCAATCCAACATAATTAGGTGGAGAAAGGGGAAGATTGATTACTGAATCTTTGTTCATCGAATCAACACCCACCTACCTATACCAGAGATATGGAAAATTTTACTACCAACAGGAATAAATAACATCAGGTGACAAGACTATAAAAAGGAGTGTGATCCCATTCATCTAATTATGAGTATTGATAAGTGATGATGCTCGAAACATTGTCATCATGTAAATCATACTGTATCATTGTGTACTGGTTATATCAAATCAACAAATCTAATATAGAATTAAATTCTATCACAGTGCCCATGTTTTACGCCTATATTATTGATCACCTGGGTTATTTTTGGGCTCGAATCCGTATGGTGAATAAGGTGTCCTACCGAATCCAGCCATCTCCCTGCAAAAGCTGTATCAAATCATTTGTTCAATTAGTGCACTGCTTCCTTTTCTTATTAGTAAGCGTTGAACTGATGAATGGACACAGCTATGGTTCATTGCTCTAACCAGTTGAATTTCAACTGATGAGTCACACACTAGTTCGAATCCCACTTCACTTATAGAGGTCTGGGCAGCTACCTTTCATACAATAGATCCGACTTATTTTCGACAGCTCAATCAAGCACATAGTTTATCGATTTTATTTCATTTCGATTTTTGATCACCTATCCACATGACAGCAAAGCGAAAATCGTGTGGAGAGAGAGAGAGAGAGTGGAAGAATTGAGACCTGATTGGTAGTTGTGTACAGGGGATGAGCTACTCACGTTACTGGTAATCTGTAGACCATCTGTCTCACCCTATTAAGCTCCATCTAAGGTGGCTTTTCTCAACATTCCTGTTCATACATACAACTCTGTCAGACACAGAAAATTTTATCTGGAGGTTTGTGCGGGGTTATTAATTGATTTTAGGTGGGAATTCATCATAGACTGACATCAAGTGATGATGAAATCCAGCTTAGAATTAATTAATAACCCTACACAAACCACCACATAGAATTAATCTACCGCTCATTGGTGAATAGCTTCGACATGTGATACCTGAACTTCCAATGAGAAGTCTCACGTCCAGTGGAGTCAACCAAGTCGAACATGAGAACAATTACTCAACGATGACATTGGATATAATTCGCGCTATATCATGAACTGACAGAAGTAGGAAGTGTAAACGATTGGATTCGACCCAGTGGATAGCTCAATGGTAACGTGCTGGCCACGGGACCTAAAGGTCTTGGATTCGACCCCTGGTGGGGTCATGGGTGCACACTACTGAGGAGTCCCATACTAGGACGAAACATGTGTTTAGTGCTCCAAGGTTTCCAATGTTCCTTCAACTGATGTCAGCCCATGATGAATTCCAACATAAAATGAATAGAATTATTTAGGTGAAATTGATGTTCTACTCTTACAGATTTAAGTAGTTTAAAGTTGTAACTTGATAACTCAGTTTTTGCACCGAACTGTTACAAATCAAGTGTAGAAAAAAGGACTTGCAATGTATACATTAACACACAACCACACACAGTGGGATGGGATGAAACCACTGTACTTTAGTCCAATATAATTAAATGGAGACAGAGAAAGATTGATTAATGAATCTTTGTTCATCGAGTCTACCACCTACCTATATCAAAGAAATGGAAAATTTTACTACCAATGAAAGTAAATGATATGAAGTGACAGGACTATAAAAATCAGACATTGAAGGGAGTGTGATTCCAGTGTAATGATTATAAGCAACGATGCTCGAAATATCATCATCAAGTAAATAATACTATATTACTCACTCTATATGCTTTATATCAAATAAACAAATCGAATAGGGAAAAAGGAATACCATTTTATGATCATATAACATGATTATCATGATTATGATCATTAGTTACATACATAGATATTTAAATAAAAGTTGAAACTTACTCGACTTTTCAAATATAGTACAAAACATTCATGCTCCCGAATTGTATTGACAAGCCAATTTGGGGAATTAGACTTTTCGCATATTATTTTAGCGTGTTCCAATGTACCAGGTGGCAGTTTACAGAGAACCTTCAGAATTTATAAAATGGAAGTGAGAAATAAAAGTGTACAACAGTTTCGTATACATATTAAAATTGCTCATACTTGTGAGGTTTCACTGATTATTTTTACACCAGATCAGTTACACATAGAGTTCCTGTGCAAATGTCTTGATGTTGTATCAACATTCATTATGAAATAATTTTCTTGGTAATAGTTAATACACGAATTAAGGATGCAAGTTTCATTCTACTTAGGACACCTCATCAGTTGTCACCAAGTGAACGATACCATTCCCAGTTGGATTCGAGCCCAGTGTCCATCGGTTTAAATGCTAAAGCGTTCTTCACTAGGCTACTGAATCATAAAAACCACCTATCATACAATGGGAATATCAGTTGCTATTTACTGATACTTTTGATTTTCTATTCATCATAATACAAGAGCGAATTGATCGATTTCGCTTGGTCTCTATAGTTCATATACATTATACATCCCGGTTAGGAGATGCATTTTCTTAGCCAATAGGAAACAACTTGAAAATTTCAGGTAACAGTATATCAGTATAACTGCTTATATTATATCATTGTTGATTCGATCGAATTCATCGGCCTCTAGGAGTTATACTAAAACTATACCGCCGCACAAGAGGTGGCTATCGTGACTTGCTGGTGTAGTGGATAACGCTCTGGTGTTTGAAGCGATCGCTCCCAAGTCCGACTACCGGTGGGAACAACATCACTTACTGGGAGGTAAGTATATCCAGGTGACGAGTCCCAAATAGGACGAAATGCGCATCCTGGATTCCACTCCTAGCCACTATCCATCATCGCTATGTATAACAGCATATCAGTTCAGATGTGACAATATTAGAAGGTTCAAGCAATATGAAAAGTGAGTTATCAAAACTATTGTGATATACACTCAATGTCTTAAACTGACATATCGAACCATTAGATTCTACAATCGCCCACCTTATACATAAGAATAACTTCATTTCGTAGGCATACTGTTGTAGCCTATCAAAAACATAACGATTCTATCTCAGTATCGAACAAATAATAATACTAGTCAGGTTGATGGATATGTAGCTGAAGTTGTCACCGGAGTTATCACATCCGTAACAACAACTACTGTTACTACCGAGGAGGAGGAGGAGAACTAAACATCATAAAAGTGTCGGACGATTAAAGTAACCATTCCCAAGAATTGTTCAAGAGACGGTAGATAACGTTGTTATCAAGTCTATGGGGACGCGATAAACATCCACAAATACGACTACTAACCTGCAGCACGACACTACGGAGTAATACATTTGATGCTAAGTAACAACAAGACCTGCTATAACTAACAATAAGGAAACTCACATTCCTGCATCACTCATAACTGAAGTTAGTAAATTTACCATTAAAACATTGAAAAAACAATGACAGGTGTGCCTTTTCATCATCATAATCATCCAACAATATAGGATCACGCATTACTGCGTAACGGTTCGGAGTTACTAGACACACCTCATATCACTACATCAAATAAACAAGGCAGTGAGGTGCAAGATGAAGAAAAGAAAATTCAGTCAAAAGAAATATCAAGTTCTAAAAGAGAAAAAAAAGAATGAGAAAATGGTGAGGTCCACTATAGCGCTAAGATGAGGATAATGTGTGTGCTTTACTTCTGCGCCAGTGATATCGGTTCTCAGCCATGCCGTCCCCTACAGTCTCCAACCACTGGTTTCTCTTGTCCCACTCACCACAACCGGCTAGTCCGCATCGGCCTACATGGCTAAAATCAACAGTCAAACACTTCATACAATGGTGCCATGTTTTAGTCTGGCCACCTCGAACCTTTTTCCCAGCCTGAATCTATTTCATCCAACATTGTGTGACAAGGCAGACCGTAGACTACGCAAACGCAAAACATGTCCGAACCAGTCATCTCACTAGATGACGTTTCACAACCTCATCAACTGATTTACCTCCTCTCATTAAAACTCTATACCTAACTTCTGTGTTACTCACTTGGTGACACCACAGAATACAAGTATGTCTGTTCACCAACTCTTAACTTCTAGTGATTATAATAATAATGCAAACAGATTACGAAAATGTGCAATTGAAAAAAGAAATAGCCGTCCAGAGGTTGCTGTTGTTCATTGATTATTTTCCTTAACAATGAGTCTACGGGTGAGATTTCCTTTTGAGTCAGTTAACACCAACATGTTCTATATTTCCAGGCAGTTTTCTGGACACTTCAAGTGACATATTCAGAATCCTTGGGATGACTTTCTAGTTACCCAAATGCATACTGTTGCTCAAAGACTGGTCTTTAACAATGGAGAGTGAAGTGGTGGAGTGAGTTCAACACTTCAATTACCTGAGAAATCGGCCCAGACATGGTGCATTGGTCAGTGGCCAACGAAATCTCTGCCATCTGCAGCAGCGCCGCGATATACGATTGTCCATTGAGTTGTGTACCGTGCTGCAGTTCACTCCGTTCTACTCTACGGCTGTGAAATACGACCATTTAGGGTAGGAGACATGAGAAGGTTTCAGGTGTTTGACCACCGTTGGCTTCATAGCACAGATCGTGTTTCGTCGTATCACCATGTGAATAACGCACAAGTAGGACGAAGAGTTTTAAGGAGGAAAGGTAAGACAGTTAATGGAGTTGTGAAACTTCACCGACTGAGACGGCTGGCTCGAACGTGTGTTACGTATGTCTAACCACCGTCTGCCTGGTCACACAATGTTAGCCGAAGTAGGTTCAGGTTAGTTAGAGGCTGGTTGGGGGGAGGGGGCAGACTAGAACATGGAATCAATGTATGAAGTCGTTGACTGTTGGCTTGAGTGATGTAGGGCGACGCAGACTAGCCGGTTGGGATTCGCAGGACAAAAGGAATCAGTAGTTGGAGACTGCAGATGACATGGCTCAGAACCGATGTCAGTGGCGCAGATTTAAGCAAAAATATTAATCTGATCCTAACCCCTGTACTAAATTCACCATTTTCTCATCTCTCCTTCCTCTCTTCTCCTGCTTTTCACCAACTTCCCTTCCTTGCTTCATCTTTCAATCTATCACATTATTACCCGATGTACTAATATGAGGCGCGACAACTAGGACTGTTACACAGTAATACCTAATCCTATGTTGATATTGATGTTCACAGAAAAAGTAAGATACATACAATTCAACAAACATTGTCATCGATAACCCCAAGTTAAAACACCTTAGGTAAACAAAAAAATCTAATATAAGTAAAGTTCTACTTTACTAAACAAATACGTTACAGAATACAGAGTCAACTGATGAACACACAGTCTGCAATACAAATTAATCGATAACAATAGACAAAAGGTAATGAGTGCAGCACAAGATCAGTAATCCAGTAACCACTGGTTGTAATCCCTCCACGAGACCCAGATTTTCATTGCACATTCACAAACATCATTCAATAATCAATAAGTTATATATATATATATATATATATATATATATATATGACAGACCACAGCTCAAATTCAACACCCAGAAAGTGAAGGACAAAGTTACAAAGCAAATCTTCAGCTCAGCCATTAGAACAAACTGGGAGATACCAAGAAACATAGCTGAAGCAGAAACAACAGTGGACCTGTCCACACAACTACTGCAAAACGTTTGCAATAAAGGAAGGAAAGGTATCTGCCAATTCATTACAAGAACGCCTACCTTGTCAAAATACAAAACAACGAACACATAAGCCTTTCCAAAAACTCACGCAGGACTCATGCTCCTGTCCACCAAAAGCAAAATTTTATGCCACATCATCCTGGAGAGACTAAACGATGCGTCCCATTCAAAATTACCACCACAACACAATACCTGAATCCCTTCAAAAAGAACAAATCATCTGCCGATAAAATTACAACAACACCCCATGCATCATCATTCAACAGACTATACTATAGAATGACAGTCAACTGCATCTCTACCTCTACTTCATCCACTCTGAAAACCCCTTCAACAGTGTCGACCGACAAGTAATCCCGCAGGCAACTACTTCAACACTACTCCTTTACTACAACTTGTCTTCATCAACCTAGTGTCAACAGCTATATGAAAACGCCACATGACAAGTGATCAACAATGCAAAGCTCAGTGACGCCTCTGAAGTGAAGTAAAGTGAAGTGAAGACAGCAGTAACACAACCTTGACGCATACTATCACCCATCATCTTCCTGATTTCGGTCGACTGCATCATGCAGCAAACAGTGAACAGTGAGAAGATGGGCAGACACCAGCTGGACCGATGAAAAGACCCCAGAACAAGATTTGCATTTCGCCAACGATGATGATGATGATCATGATGATCACTTATGTCTAATATCTTGTCACACAAACTCGAAAACCTACAGGCGAAAACTAACAAGTTGACAGAAGAGGCAGCGAAAATGGCACTTCAAGTGAATGTAGACAAGACAGAGGTGATGAAAATACTCAACCAACAACACCATCAACAACAAGCAACAATCACCATCAACGCGAGAGTGAAACCTAAAGCAAGTAGTCTCTCTCACCTACCTATCAGCCCACGCAGCATCCTCTCAACTACACGCGGCACGGGCACAGACAACGATGTCAAAACCACAATCGGAAACACAGCAAGACAGGCTTCCTCTCATTAATCTCAAATAATCAGTGTGGAGATCTACTGCACTCACCACAAAGCGTGAACAACATTCAGATTTCCAACAACAATGTCAGGTCAGTCCTGTTATATGGTTCAGAAACTTGGGGTGTCACAAATAGCATTTCCAACAAACCTCACATATACATATCATGAACAGCTGCCGCCTACACTCACTCGATACTGAAGATCGATCAGATGGCCAGAAAGAATAAGTCACAAGGAACTCACTCTGGCTGGCAACGAACCAACCAACCAACAACCTATCACCCAACAAATATGCAGACGAAGAAAGTGGAGATGGATTGGATTGGGCATACACTGAAAAGACCATTTGGGGACATCACGCAGCAGGCCAGGCAAGGCCATCAAGTGGAGCCCAAATGGGAAACGACGAATTGGGTGTCCGAGGCGAGGAAGAAATGAAAGCTTGTGGTCAGTCGTGGAGCCAGGTTCAAAAGATTGCAGAGAACAACGTGAAATGGAGACGTGCGCTACTGAGGCTCTATGTTCCACTAGGAACCCAAGGGAAAAATAATATTAATGATAATTATACATATATAATATATACCCACCTGTTGAGCAGCTTTAAAAGAGCGTATTGCAATGAAACCTCTTAAAAGACTATTTGCAATATATAAACCTTCACCACGTTGTGTAGGATCATAGAATAACCAATTCATTATAGAAATTTGTCGTTTATCCATTTCAGTTAATTCATTCATTTCTTCGCTGTTATGCTGTAGTAATAGTCCAGTTACAAATTCATTTGTATTTAATATATCATTTGTATAAATTGAATTCAATTGATTTGTAGTGAAAATTTGTTCACTTGATGAATATATTCTTTGTTTTAGAAGTTTAACAATTTCTCTAGTCACCTTGCATACATCAAATTCATATTTTATTGCTAATGAAAGACAATGTTCACGTACAGAAGGTTGATGAATTTCTAAATATGAATAGAAAAGAAAATTTAATGTAGACAATTTAAATTAGACTGAATTATCTCAGCTAACAGAAGTTACAAATTTGTATTGTACAGACAATAGGAGTACTGTATAACAGTTCAAGTTACCAGCCATACCTTATATCAGTACATCAAATAACAAGGTAACAAAATGAAAAATGAAAAAGGAAAGTAAAATTGATCAAAGGAAGTAGAAATCGAAAGTAATAAGAGAGAGAAAGGAGGAATGAGAAAATGATGAAATATATCTGTATCATATCAACTAGAATCTCCAGCCACTGGTATCATTTATCCCACCGATATCAATCTGCTAGTCTGAATCACCTTACACATGACTGAAAATAACACTCAACGACTTCATATATTGATGTCATGTTTTAGTATGACCGCTAAAGAGACTGTTTCCAATCTCAACCTACTTCGGCCAACATTATGTGATGAGATACACGGTGGTTAGGCATATATAACACATGTTCGAACCAGCCATCTCAGTTGATGAAGGTTTAGAACCGTATTAATTGACTTACGTCTCCTTCCTAAAACTCTTCACCTAACTTCTCCGTTACTCATGTGGTGACATGATGTCACACGGTCTATGCTACGAAGGCAACAGTGGTCGAAAACCTGAAACGTCATACCTTCTACTTTAAATGGTCGTGTTTCACATCCATATGGTAGAACAGAGCGGACTGTAGCATAGTACACTCGACTTTTAGTTGATAGACAATCGGATATCGCGGTGATGTCACAGATGGGGTAAGTTGGCAAAAACCAACGGAACCTTTTGCATGTGTGCAGAGATTTCGTCGGCCACTGATCAATGCACTATGGCTGAGCTAACTTCTTAGGTAAGTCAAGTGTTCAACGCGCCTCACTACTACACTCTCTATTGTTAGACCAGTTCTGGAGCAACAATTTGCATTTGGGTGGAGATAAACGCATCCCAAACATTCTCAAATTGCTACCCTATGTATCCAGAATGCAATAATTCACATTCATTACATGAGTTTTATTGATAATAACAGGCTGTCGGAAACCTCGCTAGGCGGAGCAGAATCCCACCTTGTGATCCACTAGTCGAAATTCCACTGCCTAAACAGGTATCTTCGTAGCATCGCTCATTTATGATGGGATCACTGGATGCCCGGATATTAGAAGAGTGCTAGAGAAAAGGAAAGGAAGTGATTCGATTAGGTTATGAAACATCATAGACTGACATGATTTGAACACGTGTATTGTGCATGCCAAACTACCATCTGTCGATTGTATCCAACCAACTGACTTGGAGGCCAAGTTGTAAAATGGTCGATAGAATTGGGTGGGCGCTGAGGACTGGAAGTGAAATTGGTTGCCACCCGGTGACAAGTCAATGAAATTATCACCAACTTCGATGTGCAATGCTAGCTGAAGTACAATGGGGTCAAAAGAAGGCTCAGTATAGTCAGACAAAGATGTGTTACCTGACAATGAAGTCCTTGACTATTGGTTTGAGGCGTGTACGGGTGAAGTCGTCGAGAAAATAAGACCCTAGACGACATGGCTGAAAATTGATCAAGATAACCCAGATGTATTCACCATCTGACGTCTAAAGCTTGAATATCCGCACTTTCTTCTTCGAAGATATCATTTTTTAAGGCTTTACAATCGTATGCATGTATATCATAAACATATGACAGTCTGTTATTAAACAATAGTGTATAATTGCATTATTAAACTAGTGCTAAACCACCCAAAATCAAGAATGCAAAGTAGTCGTTTGATAACCTTTTAGATAGTAGAAATAAAGAGGAAGGCAACCAGTTTGTAAAGGTGAAAATTGTTGGTAGATGAGAAATACGAATATTGATTGTCCACTTGATAGATAGATGTAAAGAAGATGAAGGTGATAATAATAAACTAAGTAATCATAATGAAATCGAAAAATGTGGTAGTGCTAAGGTAAGAGACTGAACATACTACTTTTACATGCAAAGATTAGGTTTGAACTGTTGAATTCCCAGTGCTTCCGCTATGCACAACTGTCGAAGGCGTACTCCTTTTGAACTATTCCATCTGACACGATAAATGACATTGAAGGAGCATTCTGGTGAAGCTTTATGTCCAGAGTTGACCAAATCTTCAACCATTGAACTGTTAGTTGATTTACATTCTCCCCTCAACAACCATGCAGGATAGTGTTGAGAGATACGTTTGGAAAGTGTGTACTTTGTGTGGCCTATATAACTAGATCCATAGGAGGAAGTAAATTTGTAGACACTCATTGAGATGGCCTAAAGTTGCAACTTGTCCCTAACGCACCCCAGAACCAGTTGATGACTAGAGAAGCTGATCCGTAGTCTCACAGAGAAGAATTTCTTCTTCAGTGATATGGACAGCTGATTCTTCAGGATCTCTCCTGACGTATCACCTTTGAAATCAACGTTCATAAACAAGGTCTTCTTTGGAACTGAAAGCACTTGCTCCATATTCTGTTCTAATTTCAAGTTCTTCTCAATAAATCTGGATATGTATCCATTTTGCATGAGAATCTTCCTTAGTTTGTCTAATTCATCGTCAGTAGTATCACTCGTGCAGATTTTTTTGATTCTTGAAGATAAACAATGAATCCGATTCCTTTTTCTGCTAAGAGGCAACCCGAGATATGGAACTTCAAGTATTGTCTATTCCATTTAGGCTTCTTATAAATAGTTCTCTGAAGAGAACCATCTGGTCTCCGTTTCAATAAGACATCGAGAAAATGGAATTCTGAGTTCTCTTCAAATTCTAATGTGAAGTTGATCGATGGGTGACAATCATCAAACTTTTTAACTACTGTCCCAATATCTGTATTTTGATCCCATATAATGAATGTATCATTCACATATCTTTTATATAGGTAGAAACTACCAATTGTTAAATGAAGCACAGTATTCTTAAGGTTTGCCATAAAGCAATCCAGTCAGCAACGGTCCAAGTGGTGACCCTATAGCAACCCCACCCTTTTGCTTATAAAGATCATAGCTGAATTTGAACTACACGTTGAAAGTACATCTTAGAAGTAATTCCTTTAAATAGTGCCCTGGGATACTCACGTGGAAATTATTAGCTTCAATGACATCATATAGAAAAAGGATAGTTTTCATGAGTGGGACATTGGTGAAGAGTGAAACCACATCCAGAGAAATCATTCGCCTACCGGATATATTGACATTCTTAAATGAGTCGACAAAGTCGAAGTAAACCAATAAGCTATGCATATTTAGCTGTTTTATGACTAGTTGGAGGACGTCCGAAAGCCATTTGGCGATAGAATGGTATGGTGAATTGTTCATGTTCAAAATTGGACGAAAAGAAAGATCTTCTTCTTCTTCATCGTTATTTCTAATGTCTAGAAGATTATTACGCAACTACTTTCCATTCTTCATTTCAGTTTTTTAGCACTAGTTTAATGATGAAACTATACACTATTGTTTAGAATCAACATCATCCATCTGCATAGGGCCACGCATTACTGAGTAGCAGTTCGAGTTACCACACCCCATATCACTACATCTAGTAAAAAGGCAGTGAAGTGGAAGATAAAGCGAAAAAAATCAGTCAAGAAAAATATCAAGTTCTAAAAGAGAGAAATGAAGAATGAGAAAATGGTGAGGTTCACTATAGCGCTAGGATGAGGATGTGTGTGCTTACCTCTGCGCCAGTGATATCGGTTCTCAGCCATGCCATCCCCTACAGTTTCCAGCCACTGGTTCCCCTTGTCCCACCGACCACAAGCAGCTAGTCTGCATCGCATTACATCACCCAAAACAACAGTCAAGGACTTCATACACTCGTGCCATGTTTTAGTCTGCTCCCCTATCCGAGCCCTTTTCTAGCCTGAACCTACTTCGGCCAACATTCTGAGACAATACAATCGGCGACTAGGCATATGAAACATATTTCCCAGCTAGCCATCTCACTCGATAAAGGTTCACAACCTCGTCAACTGATTTACCTCTTCTCCCTAAAACTCTACACTTGACATCTGCGCTACTCACATGGTGACACCATGGAATACGACCTATACTGTGAAGGCAATGGTGGTCAAACACCTGAAGCCAGCTTTCTCATGTCTTCCACTTTCAATGGCCATGTTTCACAGCCATATAGTAGAACAGAGTGGACTACTGTGCAGTACACGCGACCCTTACTAGACAATCGGGTATCACGGCGACGCCACAGATGGCGCAGGTTGGCAAAAGCCAGCCCAGCCTATTGTATCCGTCCAGAGATTTCATCAGTCACTGACTGATGCACCAGAGATCATCCTGTTTACCAGGTAGGTGAAGTGGTCGACACACTCAACCACTACACTCTCTATTGTTAGCCGCGGTATCGCTTAAGACCAGTCCTGGGGCAGCAATTTGCATTTGGGTGGTGGGAAACGCATCCCAAACATTCTCAAATTGCTACTCAGTGTCCAGAAGACTCCGAATCTTGTCAGCGTCTTCACCTAACGGGACTATGTCATCTGGGTATTCTAGGTCTAACGAAAATTCTCCCACGATTAGGTCAACCTCTGTGTAGTCAGGTGATGAAAGGGAGACCTCCATAAGAATATCTATGATAACATTGAATAAGAATGGAGATAGTGAGAACGCCTGATGGACACTACTCGACGAGTACAGCTCCCTGGACATCTCATCATAGGCTCTTACACGCCCACAAGTGTTCGAATAGAAAGCCTTAAATGAGATGATGTTTTGTGTTTCAGTATATTGTTTAGTAATAGACTGTATTATTATTATTTTATCACATATATAAATACGATTGTACAGCTTTAGAACATGATATTGTTGAAGAAGAAAATTTTTTTCGCCGAATTTTCTTTCCTTTTCTCTATGATTCGCAATGACCTTGACTTTAAAATTCTTTCTCCTTTCACCTACTTTGATATGAGTCTTTTCCTATCAATGGCATAGTTAAAGGGGAATGTCAAGAGCCAACAACCTTGCTTAATCCGTGTTGAATTTTAATAATAACAAAAGATGGGTTCCATGTCTTCAAAATATCGATACATTGTTCAGGAATGTATCTCATCTTAAATTGTAATCATGTTTCATAAAGCGATCGACATTATACCATGATTCGAACCACAATCGCTTGTCTCATTCATCAACACAATATAGACACATAAAGATCCATCTGATGAATACGGCTATCCTCCAAATTATCTATTTAACTAAGTGAATAAATACAACCAGAAAAGAAAACGGAATGCTAGGAATGGATGCATATCACAACAACGCGTCAGTCTAAAAAGACTATAGCTATAAAAATGTGTCGTGAAATATGATACCAATGCAGCTCAGCAACCTGTTACAACTTCCTTTATTAGGTCGAGGTAAGTGTCGACGATTCTAAGTACTAAGGTTAGAGAAAGTGAAATCTATTCTAACTTGTGATCTAATAACTGACAGTTAAGATGGCTTAGATAAGTACTATGCATGCTAGGGCACCGCCTACTTCAATTTGCGATTCTAGCGGAAGTTGGATTAGGTTGGGAAAGTGTACAATGTGGCCAAATGAAGATGAGTCAGTAATCGATGAAGTAGCTAACTATCTGTCTGATCCATGTCCGGTGATGTAGACTGCCTAACTGGAGGCCTCAAGACGATAGAAATCAGTGGATGAGGACTCTTGGTAACATGATTGAAAATAGATCATAATAAAGCAGGTTCATTCACTCCTTGATGTCTTCTAAAGCTCAAATAATCGTAGCAACCGTTTTCTTCAAATTGTTTATCCTCTTACACAACTTCTACTCTGATCGGATTCCTTTACTATCCATCTGTTTTTTGTATACTACTGTAAAGTGTAACAACTTGAAACCGATATAATTGTGTACAAGGTTCTACGGTGATTTTGTCTTTCTATTCTAACCAATAGATATAAAATGCTTACAGATAGATAGTGGTTACGAGTTCTTTGAGCTTTAGTACCACCAACGTTTACAGAATATCTAACCACTGTCATTCTCACCCTTAACTAAAAACCTTGCCCATCGCTTACAGACAGATTAAAATGATTCGAATTCCTATGTCTCCGTAAAATATAACCCACCATCAAATCTATCCATCTGAAGTTGGAGTGAGTTAAAAAACTATTCGACCACCACCACATGCAAAACATCCAGAAATACCACCAGCAACAGCAGAACTACCAGTGAACATAGGCACTCCGACGAAAGCAGAATTGAAGTCCTAAATACCATAAAACTGCTGAAATTCAGGAAACCAGCTGGAACAGATGGAATTCCACCGAAAGCACTGGAAACAGACGCAAAGACAACAGCGGGCATGTCCACACAACTACTGCAAAACGTTTGCAATAAAGGAAGGAAAGGTATCTGCCAATTCATTACAAGAACGCCTACCTTGTCAAAATACAAAACAACGAACACATAAGCCTTTCCAAAAACTCACGCAGGACTCATGCTCCTGTCCACAAAAAGCAAAATTTTATGCCACATCATCCTGGAGAGACTAAACGATGCGTCCCATTCAAAATTACCACCACAACACAATACCTGAATCCCTTCAAAAAGAACAAATCATCTGCCGATAAAATTACAACAACACCCCATGCATCATCATTCAACAGACTATACTATAGAATGACAGTCAACTGCATCTCCACCTCTACTTCATCCACTCTGAAAACCCCTTCAACAGCGTCGACCGACAAGTAATCCCGCAAGCAACTACTTCAACACTACTCCTTTACTGCAACTTGTCTTCATCAACCTAGTGTCAACAGCTATATGAAAACGCCACATGACAAGTGATCAACAATGCAAAGCTCAGTGACGCCTTTGAAGTGAAGTGAAGTGAAGTGAAGACAGCAGTAACACAACGTTGACGCATACTATCACCCATCATCTTCCTGATTTCGGTCGACTGCGCCATGCAGCAAACAGTGGACAGTGAGAAGATGGGCAGACACCAGCTGGACCGATGAAAAGACCCCAGAACAAGATTTGCATTTCGCCAATGATGATGATCATGATGATGATGACGATCACTTATGTCTAATGTCTTGTCACACAAACTCGAAAACCTACAGGCAAAAGCAGGCTGAGAAAATGGCACTTCAAGTGAATGCAGACAACACACAGGTGATGAAAATACTCAACCAACAACACCATCAACAACAAGCAACAATCACCATCAACGCAAAAGTGAAACCTAAAGCAAGTAATCTCTCTCACCTATCTACCAGCCCACGCAGCATCCTCTCAACTACACGCGGCACAGGCACAGACAACGATGTCAAAACCATGATCGGAAACACAGCAAGACAGGCTTTCTCTCATTAATCTCAAATAATCAGTGTGGAGATCTACTGCACTCACCACAAAGCGTGAACAACATTCAGATTTTTAACAACAATGTCAGGTCAGTCTTGTTATATGGTTCAGAAACTTCGGGTGTCACAAATAGCATTTCCAACAAACTAAACACATACATGATCAACAGCTGCCGCCTACACTTACTCGATACTGAAGATCGATCAGATGGCCAGAAAGAATAAGTAACAAAGAACTCATTCTGGCTGGCAACGAACCAACCAACCAACAACCTATCACCCAACAAATATGCAGACGAAGAAAGTGGAGATGGATTGGATTGGGCATACACTGAGAAGACTACTTGGGGACATCACGTACCAGGCCAGGCAAGGCCGTCAAGCGGAGCCCAAATGGGAAGCGACGAATTGGGAGTCCGAGGCGAGGAAGAAATGAAAGCTTGTGGGCTGTCGTGCAGCCAGGTTCAAAAGATTACAGAGAACAACGTGAAATGGAGACGTGCTACCGAGGCTCTACGTTCCACTAGGAACCCAAGCGGAAAATAATAATAAATACATAGATAGGTAGGAAATTAGGCAGCAATCTTTTACTCACCTGCTAAAAACCATGAATACCATTGGATTTGTAATGATTTATTAGGTAGTGTAGAAGTATAGTAAGCAACCAGATCAGTTTCTTTATTCACCATTAAAAAGCAGAGATAAGCTTTGATAATTTCTGAACACGGTTCATCCTTTTATTGAAAATAAACGAAGGAATATATAAAAGACTAGTGAATATGAATATACATCCTAATAAGACATTACTTCATGAAACTAGTATAGTTCAACAGAAATACAGTTGGATCATCAGCATCATCAAGATCAACATAGAACTAGGCATTACTGCGAAACGGTCCAAGCTGCCTCATCTTACCTCATATCAACACACCAAGCAATAAAATGGAAGATAAAGAAGGAAAGGACAGTCAGTCAAAAGAAGCGGAAGATGGTGAAGGAGAGACAGAAAAACAAAGAAAATGATGAGATTAGGTATAGCAGTTAAGATGAGGATAATGTGTGTGCTTACCTCTGGCGCCACTGACACCGGTTGTCAGTCATATCACCTAGTCTCCAACTATCCGTTTCTCTTGTCCTGCGGACCCCAACCGGCTAGTCTGCATCGCCATACATCACTCAAAACAGTCGAAAATTTCATACATTGACTCGATGTTTTAGTCTGCCTCTAACCAACCCGAACCTACTTCGGCTAATATCTTGTGAGGAGGTGGATGGCTAGGAGGTAGTGGCTAGGCATACGTAAGACATTTTTCACTCGATGAAGGTTTATATCCGCATCAAATGACCTACCTCTCCTTCCTAAAACTCTTCACCTAACTTCCGCGTTACTTACGTGGTTACACCAAAAAACATGGTCTATGCTACGAAGGCAACGGTGGTCAAACACCTAAAACCTTATTACTTCTACCTCAAATGGTCGTGTTTCACATGCATATAGTAGAACAAAGAGCACTGCAACACAGCTCTTCCCGCTCTTAATAGACAGTCGGACAATGCGGCAGTGCCACAGATGCCGAACCTTTTGTTTCTGTTGAGAGATTTTGTTGGCCACTGACCAATGCACCATGGATGAGCTCACTTCCCAGGGAAGTCAAGTGATCAACTCATTCAACTATTTCACTTCCTATTCTAAGGCACAGCTAAAGACCAGTCCTGGAGCAATAATTTACATTTCGATGGGGAGAAGCGCAATATGTCACTCAAAGTGTTCAGAAGACGCAGCATCTTGTCAGCGTCTTTAACCTGGCAGGACCTGGTTATGTTTGTATTTCGGATCTAAAAAGGATTAATCCATGATTAGACTAATACCTATGAAATCAGATGACCAAAGGGAGGTCAACATAAGATTGTCTATGACAAAATTAAACAGCCATCCAGGGAGTTGGCATCCTTGAAAGAAATCACTAGATGCAAACAGTTCACATGACAACTAACCAAAGGCTCTAACATGCTCACAGTGTTAGATCAAAGATTCAAATGTCAATCTTTCGACTTTGAGTCCTGGCACTCCTTATTGTTAATAAATGTAGTAGTCTCTTTTGAGATTGAGAAACGTTTTAATGTTTTATATTATTCCTCTCAACGAATAGAGTTGCTTACTATCACCAATGGTGTTTCTGACTGAGGGTGACTCGACTGGATCATGCAACAGACAATTGTGAGAGCAAAAAGACCGACATACACTGGCTGAACCAAGGAAAAAACCCTACACGATTTGCATTTCCCCAATGATGATTTTTTGTCTAATGTATTGTCGCACAAACTCGAAGATCTACAGGCAAAGACTAACAAGTTGGCAGAAGAGGCGAGACAACGAAGGAAGACGGGACTTCCATCAGGTGAACGTAGAGAAGACAGAGGTGATGAAGATACCCAACCAACAACAACAGGCACCAATCACCATCAGCGGGAGAGAGAAATCTAAATGAAGTTGTCGCTCTTACCTACCTCTCTACCTAAGGCAGCATCCTCTCAACTACTGGTGGCACAGACACACATGAGGACGTCAAGGCCAGAATCCGAAAGACGGTAAGACAAGCCTTCATTAATCTGAAATCAGTGTGGAGATCTACTACACTCCACTACACTCAACATAAAGTGTGTACAACATCCACATTTCCAACACTAAATCTCAGTCAAGTAAGTCAGTGCTTCCACGTGATGGTTCAGAGACTTGGTGTCTTACGAAAAGCATTTCCAACAAACTACAGACATACATGATCAACAGCTGCTGCCTACACTCACTCGATACTGAAGATCGATCAGATGGCCAGAAAGAATAAGTAACAAGGAACTCACTCTGGCTGGCAAAGAAATAACCAAGAACCCATCGCCCAACGTGTATGTAGGAGAAAATGGAGACGGGTTGGATTTAACATACACTGAGAAGACTATTTGGGGACACCACGCAGCAGGCCGGGTCAGGCCGTCAAGTGGAGCCCAAAGGGGAAACGACGAGTTGGGCGTGCGAGTCAAGGGTGACATGGAGGAGATCACATGTGAGGAAGAAATGAAAGTTTGTGGTCAGTCGTGGAGCCAGGTTCAAAAGATTACAGAGAACAACGTGAAATGGAGACGTGCTACTGAGGCTCTATGTTCCACTAGGAACCCAAGGGAAAAATAATAATGATACTATTCTTTTAAAGGAATAGGAAAATTACGTCATAGATACACATATCTGATAAACAAGCAGACACAATAACATCGAATATTGTACATATGTGCATCACTTCAAGTTGCCACATTTCATAACATAACATGAAAAAGAAATGAATAGAAAAAGAATAGTATTAAAGTAAATAATAGTCAGGATACGTATCTGAAGCTCCTGAAAAATGTTCAAACGTCTCATAAAGCGACCTCACATCTTCGTCTATTTGCTATTAACATTCCATCTGGTTACACCAGTACTCCAGCTAACATGGTCCATCCATGTAGGCTACCACTACATTTGAGCGACACATATCCAAGTCACTTCAGTTGATGATAGTTCACGACCCTATTGACTGACTCGCCTTCTTTGCGCATAAATTCAGGTCTAACCGCAAAACTATTCTCATGGCGGTTCTATAATTAGCCAGCGATGTTACATCTTTGGTCAAAACCTGTCACTTCTTCACATCTACTTTCAACCGTTCTCATAGAAGCACAATAAGAAAGAAATGAAGATTGTGCAGAATCATCACCAGATATTAATTAAGTTGGCCAACGCTAAAAGAATGTCGAATCATAATTTTTATAGATGCTCACTGGAATTGTATTACATCAAGTCGAAGGCGGTAGTATAATACAGCGCATCTGCAAACTTGATGACAACCGTATGATCAGTTCTGTAAAACGCTAGATGGTGACGATAACTGATCTCCAACTCGCCTATCATTATCAAAACCTAAATATCTCTTCCTTCATCTTTAAGGGTCGCGTGTACTGCACAGCAGTCCACTATGTTCTACTATATGGCTGTGAAACATGGCCATTGAAAGTGGAAGACATGAAAAAGCTGGCTTCAGGTGTTTGACCACCATTGCCTTCACAGTATAGGTCGTATTCTATGGTGTCACCATGTGAGTAGCGCAGATGTCAAGTGTAGAGTTTTAGGGAGAAGAGGTAAATCAGTTGACGAGGTTGTGAACCTTCATCGACTGAGATGGTTGGTCGAGACACGCGTTAAGTATGCCTAGTCACCGATTGCCTCATCAAACAATGTTGGCCGAAGTAGGCCCAGGCGGGAAAAAGGTAGGAGGTGACCAGACTAAAACATAGCATCAATGTTATGAAGTCTTTCACTGTTGATTTGAGCCATGTGGGGGGATACAGACTAAGTGGTTGGGGTCCACGGGACAAGAGGAACCAGTGGTTGGAGACTCTAGGTGATATGGCTGAGAACCGATGTCAGTGGTGCAGATGTATACACGCATTATCGTCATCTTAACGACGCTATACCGAATTTCACCATTTTCTCACTCTTCATTTCTCTCTTTTCGTGCTTTATATTTCTTTTGATTGCATTCTTTTATCTCATCCCTCACCTCACTACCTTTTTACTTGATGTACTGATATGAGCTGTGGCAACTCGGACCGTTACGCAGCAATACCTGGTCCTATGTTGATACTGATGATGACCAAGGTTATGATGCTGAAGTAAGAATGAAACAGGTATTCCATCTGACTTCATTATGAGTAGTTCTTCAAAAAGAGTAAACTGATGTGTGTATACATACATTGAAAATTTAAACGAGCCATTATGCATTACCTGAATATCTGATTCTGCAGATTTTAAGAAAAGGATAAAATGAGTTAGAAATCTGAGAGTATGACACACAACTTGATCAATATTCCCGACACGACTGAAATCTGGAGGTTGTAGTGGACTCATTTCTGAAACAATACCATTGCCTAGACTATAAGATACCAATTTCGGCATAATATTTGCTAATTTTGTCAGGAAGGCTAAAAATATAAAGACAAAAAAAAAAGCTTATTCACACTCTATGTTCATAAAGCGGTTTTGTCAAGTATACAGTAAGTAATAAGTTACTAAGAGTGCCGAAAATTAATAATCCCAGTAGAATGTATGGTACCGTTAAGATTCATAAGCCAGGTTATCCCATTAGGAGATTTTAGAAACACTCCGACTTACAAGTTGCCTAAATATTTACCAATGGTGTTAGGCCAAATAAGAAATCACTCAAAGTCTCAACTTACCAACTCTTATGACTTAAAGCACAAATTAGACGACATATACTTAGACGACAGTGAAAAATGGTTAGTTTTGACATAACTAGCCTTTACATAAATATACCGATTGACATGGCTCTAGAGGTAAATGGGAATGGGTTTAAGGATGACAAACAGCTTACGCATCGAAGTAAGGTGTTGATTGAGGAAATCATACCAGGAGTACGATTGTGCCTAACGTCTACAGCTTTTAAGTTTCAAAATAAAGTATATAAACAAACTGAAGGTGATGCTATGGGATCACCTATATACACGATCGTCGCAGACATATTTATGGATAGTTTGGAACAGATGGCTATTCAAACGTTAAATCCTACTCCAAAGATATGGTTCCGATATGTACATCATACCTTTACACTACTGAAATCCAACTACATCAATAGGTTCTTGGCACACATAAATTCAGTAGTAAATGTAATCCAATTTACCTGTGACTTAGAAAGTGAGGAACCTTCCCATTCTAATCAGCACTCAGACTTCAAATCACTTCATCCCATCTCATTTAGAGCAGGCTTAGTTAAATGCCTAAGCAATAGGGTGAAAAGGTGCACCAGTAAGCCAGAAAATTTACGACAAGAAATTAGATACACCTAATAATTACCCACCCACATTTATTATTAAATTCACAACAAATCGAAAGAAAAATACTAGCAGTGGTAGCCGTAGTAGTAATACAGGTGTTATCAATAATAATCCCATTACTAATGGTAATAATGGCGACAAGGTTAAGAGAGAATACAAAGTCTCTGCTGTGTTACCATACAAGGAAGGCACCTCAGAAGCATTACGAAGAATTCGCAATAAGGCTGGGATTAAAGTGGCATTTAAACCAACAAACTCACTTCGAAACAAGTTTTGTAGGTCAAAAAGATCCTATCGATGCAATTCACTGAAATAATCTGCTCTACCATAATCCCCTCCAATGATTGTCAGGTCAATCACATAGGTGACAGTAGTCAACCAGGATCGATTACAACAGCAGAGCATAAAATCTCAGCTCAATTAACATGAGTAGATTCTAATAAGATAAGAAGCTTAGAGAAAATCAAGGCTATAGCTCTTCACGCAATTACACACACTATGTAGGGTGGCATAGAGCGACAGCGTTGAAAACTAACTTAGTTGGGTGGACGGAGAGAGAGATTGATAACCGACCGAATCTTTGTTTATTGAATCAACACCAAATACATCCAGTAACAGAAATGATTCTGCACCCGTCCCAGATATATGCGGAGAATTCTACCACTCTTATCATCACAGGGAAGGAGAGAAAATTAGGACTGTATGAACTCTGTCTGAAAGTCGTGGAGTTAGTTAAGTGATGTGAATATAGACAGATAAATTGTGTCCGAAACGTACATTATCCAGTAAATGATACTGTTCCTTCACTGTGTGTGACATATCTAATAAACAGACTAAAATGGAATTACAATAGACCATAGTGCTCAAGTTTCACTCCTAAATTAAGTACACATTTATGTAGGTAAGTAAATACTGAGAAAAGTATGAAACCACTACAATCTAAGTAAGTGATGAGCTGATTTGAGCCATAGTCGACAAGTTATTATCCGATCACTCTACCTTTAAACTATTGTGGCACTGTACACCAATAAATTAAAGCCATTTATCCTTCACATTTTCCTATACTATCTAAGTAGTATCGTCACTAGTTCGCATAAAATCCCTATGGAGTAACCTTATCCAAAAGCCTACAGTAAGCAACAATTGGTCCCACTTATTGTATGAGAACCAATGACACTTTATTAGCAGCACGGACTACCCAAACCTTAACAAGTGGGACGGTCTTCACAGACGACAAAACTCATGAGTTGGAAGTCAACTCCTTGAATCAATAGAGCCAGAATACAACCTATTGCATACCTATTTATTGAGTGATAACCTATGAGTTTCTCTAACTGGAATTATTGTCGATTGATAGGTTTTATTTACAAATCCAGTTACTTGAATCACCTAAATGTTAATCAGTCTGTTTTGAAACAAAAGGACTTGCTAAGAGAACAGTATGACAAGGTACCAAAACCAACTAGATACAGTACACACTGAACCAGACCAATTGAATCAGAGCTGACTTAGATGGAGTGATAGACCACATTCCATACAAATATTTCGCACAGCTGAGTAGTTTTTCAACTACCCAACTATGCTAACAACAAGGTTTCCGTTGGAAACTACCCGACAGCCAAGATCACAAGGTGTAAATCTCTGACATAAAAGTGGTATCAATTAGCGAAATATACTACTAGTGAATAATATGAGTAGTTAGAAAATAAACACTAATATGTAGATCTCGCTAACCAGATCGGATAATAACCTGAAAACCTTTGACTCAAATCCTTTCTTTTGCCAAATTTAATCATGATCCCATCACCTACAAAAGATATCTCAGATAATCTGACTAAGAGACAAGGGAGCTTTTGTGAACAGTGGTGATAAGGGAACGACAACAAAGGGAAGGCAGTTCTCACAAGCAATAGTAGGCAAAAGCATAATTCACTACTGATCAGTGGTTTGTGGAGATCGAATGAAGACTCAAGATAAAGAAATAATGAACAGCCCATCGGAGAGCTGAGATTTTCAATCTTATCCAGTTTGGATGATACAGTGCAGTTTATCCAATGGTTTTATACATGTTAAAACCGTAGAGAACCCCTTTGTTTCTCTTAAAGCGAAAACTTCTCTCACCGGCTAATCAAACGATGAATGTTGAGGATTCAACCGCTAACTGCATAATCTATTCACGCTTTGGGTTACCCGTATAACAAGATTTGCAATATAGCCCAAGAGATAAAGCTACATGTAGTTACATATTCGCATCTCCAGATACCTAACTACTTTTCAACTGTATAACTGAACATTGAAAGCCAAAATAAAAACAATTCTATGTTTTGCTTAACTTACAATCATAATTTCTTAACATTATAGTCTGTTGTACAGCATAGAAAATACAATAGACAATAGCATAAACTGATGGTGATTGAAGATCATTACTGTCTGCATCATCATTTGCGTATAGGTAAGATGTATCATCCACTAGGAAATCATTCATTGCTGAACGCAGTACTGATTTCATGCGTAGACTACATTTTTCCAGGCAACCAACAGCTGACCAACCTAAACGAGCATCAACACGTGCAAATGCATCTGACAGGGTCCAATCACCTGGTGACCAAGCTGAATCTGGTAAGCTTAAACCACCATCTAGAGGCCAATACTTTGAAGTTTTTCCCGTCACTGCCTAAATTTAAAAAAATAGGTTATAACCAACTACAAAACAACATTAGGAAAAACGAAGGATTGGAACAATATATCAAATAGTAAAGGTGAGAAATATGACCGTTACCATACTTTACATCAGCACATCGAGAAACTAAACAATGAGAGACAAGACAAAGAAATATATAAAGAGATGTAAATGTGCAATGGGGCAGTGTCTAGGCATGCGATCAAAGTTAGCAATCTCATCGACTGACCTACCACTTACACCTAAAACTCAGTGCCTGACCTCTGTGATACCAACTTAGTGGTTCCGATAAAAGCAAAAGTGTTCGGAAACCTAGTAGTTTCTCGTATCCTCTACCTTTAATAGCCACAGACCAAACCAGAGACAGTCGCTGCACAGTACACTCGACTCTTAGTAAGTAACCAGATATCTAGTTGGTGTCATAAATGGTGTAAGCTGACAGAAGTCAACAGAACCTTTTGTACGTTTACAGAGATCTCTTCGGTCATTGATCCCCACCAGGACTAATTCAAATTCCAAGGTAAGTGAAGTGTTCAATACATTCAACCATTTGACTATCTATTGCCAAACAATGCACCATAGAGGACCAGTCTCGGAGAAGCAATTTGCAATTCCGTGGTGAGAAATCCTACCTTGAACATTTGTTAGCCTGATGTGTTTTTTTACCTCATCGAGGAAATCCGCAGGGTTTCTCATATTTCCTTCTTGTTCGCTTCAGACACAGCCTTGGTAAGGTGCTTTCAATGGCGATAAACCCAGACAAACCTCATGATTTGACGTTTATAACTTATTAGTCATCAGCGCGTGTTAGCTAAGTACTATGCTTCGGATAAATCGTCCGTTTAAGATTTTACACATAACTCGGGCATATGGTTTACTTGTTGACGAACTCACTTGTATTCATTTTAGTTTAGAATTTCTTGGAAAGAAATTCACAACCATCATTAACCGACGAACAGTAAGTCACTGAATCATACCATGATCTTTCTTACCCATCACAAGACAAGATTTCTACTAACACCGAATACATACCATAATAGCTTAACAACGTATACCAATGACCCGGACCAGCCGTCGAATCCCTTACAAATAATAATAATAACAATTCACTTTATTCCAAACAATCTGTGGTACAATTAGGAATTCTCAGCATTATATCTCACAACAACAACAAAAACCACGAAATAGACATGTATGCATATACGACTTTACAACATTTCCAATTGTGTTATTATAAACATTCAAGTCATGTAAAGAATATTGAGGAAAACGAGAACATTTTACATAGCTCATTCAATGGCCATGTTTCACAGCCATAGAGTAGAACAGAGTCAACTGTTGTACAGTACACACGATCCTTAATAGATAATCAGATATCACGACGACACTACAGATGGCATAAGTTGACAAAAGCCAGTCGAGTCTTTTATATCTTGACCGAGATTTCACCGGCCACTGACCAAGTTCTCAGGATTGATCTCACATCCCAAATAAGTGAAGTGGTCAACACACTCAACCACTATACTCTCTATTTTCAGCCGAGGCACCGGTGAAGATGTTGTTCCTACTGAGGCTGGAACCCAGTACCCGTCTCTCTGGTGTAGGTACATCCAGCTGGCCAGTCCCATCTAGGATGAAACGCACGTCCTGGATTCCTCTACTAGTCACTAAGATCAATATAACATAATGACCTCTGTGTCTGTTGGAATTGTAGATTCATCAGCACTCTAATATATAAAATCAGGATTTCAATGAAGAATATTTACGAGAGATTTCGATGTATCCTGGGCTTTTTCCTCTTATTGCCTTTTATATCCTCCCTATGAGGGCTAAGACTGGTCCTTGGAGTTTTCTTAAACGATTATCTCCAGATCTCAACGTTGAGTCTAATTCATCAAACTGTGAAGCCAACGTCATATATTGGGTATCGGTTACCAAAGTAGGCTAATTCCTTTCTTGTTGGTACTGATGTCTACGTTTCATAACCCCCCACCCCCTCTCCGATAGACTCTTCTTAACCCTGTAGGAGGTTGGTTGTGTAATTTATTATTGTCTAACACGTGACCAGTTCTATGTAAATTAATGTACAGTGTCAATAGTAGTAAACTAATTATTATCTTACATGTAATTACTAATAATAAAAGACAGAATAAGAAGAAAAGACGTGCTCAAAGAAGTAGTTCATCGTCTCGTAGGAGTGTGATTGTAGGAGAAAACATTAAAACTTATCTGTGTGTGAATGACTGAACTAGAGTGTGAGTGTGTGGCTGTTCATCAGCACACAGAGAAGGTTATAATAAGGATAATAATAACAATAATAATAATAATAATAATCCATTTTATTCCAAACAACCTGTGGTACAATTAGGAATTCTCAGCATTATATCTCACAACAACAATGAAATAGACGTGTATGTATATCCTCCTTTACAACATTTCCAATTGTGTTATTATAAACATTTAAGTCATGTAAAGAATATTGAGGGAAACGAGAACATTTCACATAATTCATTATATTATTGAAATGAGATTGTGAACTGTTACAAAGTTGTCAAGTAAGTTCTGTTCTAATCTCCCTTTTATCCTCACATAATATGCATGAGTGCTAGGTAAGGTAGGCACAGTCGAATTCTTGTACTTCGCTTTATCAGCAGTACAGTCTTATGTAGTTTCTTCTTGTCCACTCTGAGACGAGATACAAGGAGAGAGTTGTGAATGATGAAGTGGATGTTCAGCATTAGTTAAAATTACTGTAGTTAGTTACTTGCCAGAGTTTAAATGTTTCTCATCTACAGTGTTAATCAGTTGGGTCAGAGGTACAGCACGCACTCTAGTGGTGGCTTTCAAAGCCCTACACAATATAACATACTCCTTTTTTAGTAGTATACCAGGAAATTGTAAGTTATACCAGAGAAGCTCAGTTTATTTATGTAATAAGTTAAAGGAAAGATTCTCTTTACAAGTCAACAAGATATGAGGCGATCAACAGAGATCAGAAGTAAAACTCATCCCAAGATACCTAACACTCGATTTACTTTCTGCAGAAATACCATCAGTACTGCTGCAACAAGTGTCATGAGATTTAAGCAACTCACACACAAGTCCATCTTGTTTACGCCTGAGGATAAAAATTAACAGTCTGACATTTAGAAGGGTTTAACTTGAGACCATTGGTCAATAAGAGAGATAATCCACTTAATTCAGAGCAATTTAAGTGAGAGTTAACTGGAATAGAAACTGGTAAGTTATCAACATACAGAATAGAATTAGTTTCAACAGCAAAAAAAAAGGTAAATCATGCAAAAAGAAAGAAAACAATGTGGTCAATATCTAAGCCAATTTATTTAACACAATTAGTTCCACTGAATGAAGCTGAACAAGAAAATGCAAATAACAGTAGTATCTCATTGCTTGTAAATACCTTAATAAGCATACTGATATTCTGCGAATTACTACACAACATGTATACGGTTGATCTGCGTTTTTAAAACTTACATTTTCACTCAACACTACCTTAGAAAGCGAATTAATGAGACAGACATACATAAGAGATAACTTCCTTATTCGGTCAGAGATTGTTACCCGATGCCAAGTTACCCTTTAATACCTTGTAAGTGTTAAGCTAGATCATCGACTTTCAACCAGTGACTCACGATTTTGTAACCCACTTCGCTTACCGAACTACAGATATCTAGGTCCTATCATCAGCTAGTGTACAAACTTGCACATGTTTTTCTACCTTAAATAATAACATAGACCCAATAAATCATACCTAACCCTAATATTTTTCAAGATACGACTAGCAGCGCCCACATAGTAACAAACGCTGCATGCCTCTAAATCTTAATGTTCGTTTTCGAAGTTACAAAATAACCTGAATTAGCAGTTATTTGAAACCGCAACTGGAATAGAAGGCAAATGAAACTCACCAATGTATCAGCTCTTGGACCAGTATTCAACAGACTACGTAGACTGGAATCAACACGAGCTTCTACTAAGGCTCGACAATGTGCCCAAGTTTGGTCCATCCATGAAGCAGGTAAAACTTGTGACAGCACTTCTAAATTTCCAGATAAAGTTGCATATATAGCTCGTTCAAATGACCTTAGTTTTATCTATATAAAAATAAGTAGAGAGAATAATTATAAAATTTTAAAAATTCACGCTAACACGTTACACTGGCCTACTAATGTGATAATATGACACTGGTAAATCCCTCCCCTCCGCCCCCTTCCCCTGCCTTTTTCTAAAGTACAGTGAGAGAACGATAAATCCCGATTAACAAGTTGATTTCACCTTTCATAGGCAGACAGATACCATTAAAATGAAGGTAAAACCTCGCAAACAAGTTGTCACACTTCACAATGATACGAAAAGAGCAAGCGGATAGAAAAAGACTGATATCAAAGTAGATGTCAGGTAGTGAATAGATCTACGCCATTATGACTACTTTTCAGCTATTTCATCAAGACTCCTCCTCCATCGCTGATTCCTATCACCTTACCTCCATATACATGGCTTAAACCAAGAGTTATAAACTAGTGCTAGATCCTGAGTTTTCTTCTAAACTAATTCAATTTCTCTTAGCATTCCACGTCAAGGTAGGCGGTGATTCAGCATACATAACACACATTCAAGCCACCTTAGTCAGCAAAGATGTTCTAGCTATTTTAGTGATACTACTTTACAGGGATTCCATTAAAACAAGACGAATCCCTATAAAACCACAGTTGATAAGATTAGAAAATAAACTGTCAATATATCAACTTACATTCTCTGAATTCCACCAACATACAGATTTATACAAAATTCTCATTGGATTGCCTTCAACGCTTAATTTCATATAGAATGGTTTGGATTGAGTAATTTGTTCATCTTCTTTGGATAACTTTTCCAATTGATTTGATTCACTTTCAATAAATCCAGAATAGTGAAATGGACGCCATCCTTCGAATGAAATAGCTCGCCAATACTCTCCACGTTGTGTACAAAGAAGTTGAGCCTTAAGAAAAAAATTCAATAGAAATTTCATAGTCAAGTAATAGGATGCTAAGATATGAATGAATACAATACAACATTCTTAATAAAGCACTGATACACGTCTTTTAATTCACGGGTGTATCGATCAAATATTCACACTGCACCAGGTTCTGGAACATAGACACGCTTACCAACGCCCGACAATAGCTGTATTTCTCAACCTAAAGGCGGCATTCGACTCCATTGATCGAGAAATCTTATAACAATGTCTCTCACTGAAAGGCGTACCGAGCTGGTTCTATGTTGATATTGATGATGATGATTTAATTCACATATGAAGAAAGATGTTCTTCAGGTTGATCATATAGATAGTATATTATTATTCTGTATAATTCGCCAAAAGAAAAAAAAACACAAAAGATGTCTCAAGAAGATATTTAGATTTAGACAAACCTCCAAATTCAACTACTATCCAATACTTATTGGTGAGTGACTTGCTTTGAGATGAGATTTCCTGAAGTTCTAATGAGAATTCATGACCAATGGAGCAAACCTGGGACATCTTGAGTGATAATTTAAGAATGTTTGGAATGCGTCTGTCGTCACTCAAATGCGAATTGTCGTCCAAGGACTGGTCTTCAAACGTGCCTTGGGTGCCTTGAACACTTCACTGACCTGGGAAATCAGGTCAATGAAAGTGGCTCAGTTAATTTTTGCTAACTTATGCCATCTGTGGCACTGAGGCGATATCCAATTGTCTGTCGATTAAGAGTCGAGTGTGCTGTGTTGCATTTTGCTCTGTTCTATTCTATGGGTGTGAAATACGACCATTTAAGGTAGGAGACATGAGGTCTCAGGTGTTTGACCACCATAACCTTCGTAGCATAGACCGTGTTTCGTGGTGCCACTACGTGAGTAAAGCGGAAGTTTAGTGAAGAGCTTGGCGGAGAAGAAGTAAATCACTCGATGCAGTTGTGAGTCTTCATCAAGTGAGATGGCTGACTGAGAAATATGTCACATTTGCCTAACCACCATCTACCTCATCGCACAATGTTAGCCGAAGTAGGTTCAGGTTGGTTAGAGGATGGGAGCGGCCTGACTAAAACATGGCTGTTGTTTTGAGCCATCTATGGCGACCCACACTACACGATTGGTGTCCACGTGACAAGAGTAACCAGCAGTTGAAGACTCTAAGGGATACGGCTGAGAATCGACGCCAGTGGCCCAAACGCATACACGTATTATCCTCATCTTAACCGCCATACTTAATCGAGTCATTTCCTTATTGTTCCTTCTTCTCCTTTACTACTTTGTGTTTGTTTCGACCGATTTTTCTTTCTTTTTTCGTTTTCCATTTTACCACCTTGTTACTTCATGTGCTGATACGAGTTGTGGCTGGTAACTTGGACCCTTACGCAGTAAAGCCTAGTCCTATACTGCGAACCGATAGAAGTAATACAAAGTAAGCCACTGAACTTTAAACCAGTGGTTCAATGGTTAAATACTCGCCGCAAAACCTGAAGTTCCAGGTTTCAATCCCTAGTAAGATCATGTGGGCGCACTGCTATGGTTTTATGATGAGTACCAACATGAAATCAAAATGACTTACCCACTGAAAGTATATTTCACTCGCTTAGACCTACAGTCATCAGCTGATTATCCCGTTTACTTCACTTAGTAACCGCATACAAATGTAGGGGACCAAACTGTAAACCATACCTATCGTTAGGAAATAGATAGTGGAATGAGTAGGGTGCTTAAAGGTTAATAGGTGAAAGGAGAGTTCTGAATGAATCGAAGATTGAAACAATTAGAAAAATGTACATCAAACATAAGAGTCGATAGAAGACTGAAAGTAAACAATAAAAGATAATGTATAAACCTATACATACAGTACACTTACACGATGAAGATCTCCACCACGAAGACATAAAAACAAATAATTCAGATATCGATCATTTTCAATTTGATCTTTTTGATCCAATTCACTGCCAGTAAATATTACAGTATCCGGATGCTAATACAACATATGTATGTATATATGTATTAAAAATACAAATAGAAGACAATTCAATGGAAATAATGACATATAAACAAGGTCAAACGATGATAACCATAAAATGCTGCTCTTGTATAACTGACCATTGCTTAGACTTTATACAACGACGATACATTTTGCAAATAAAGTTCTCAACACCCAGAGAATTATCGAAAACTTTGAAAAGGTAATAGGAAGCTGACTTCATACCGGTTCAAGACTCTTCAGTACTTTCTCTACCCCTACGACCTAATCTCATATCAAACCCAGAACTTCACACTACTACTACTACATTATTCAATAATGTCAGTGGGTATTTGTCACCGTAATCGAATTGATTGACCCTGTAGGTCACTACTTCTTGCAATAAACTTCAATAAATCCATCTTGAAGTACCTTTACTAGTGAGCATCAAATTATGACTAACTTGAAAAGTATTCCACTTTAAATTTTTATCTGAATTGAAATGTACTGTAATTAATTCTCTCCTCTCACCATCAAGAGAAACTTAAAGGAAGTAACCTCCTTCACCTATCCAGGAAGCACTGTCTCAACTACAGGTGGCACAGACGAGGATGTCAAAGCCAGGATCGGAAAAGCAAGACAGGCGTTCATTAGCCTGAAACCAGTGTGGAGATCTTCTACCCTCAGCATGAAGCGTGAACAAGATCCGGATTTTCAACACCAACTTCAAGTCAATGCTTCTGTATGGCTCAAAGACTTGGCGCGTTACGAAAGGGATTTCCAACAAATTACAGACATTCATCAACAACTGCCTACGCTGGCTCCTTACTGAAGATCAGAAGGCCAGAAAGAATAAACAACAAGGAACTCTGGCTGGGAACGAACCAACCAACCAACAACCTATCACCCAACAAATATGCAGTAGGAAGTGGAGATGGATTGGGCATACACTGAGAAGGCCGACTAGGGATATCATGCGCCAGGCCAGATACTCGAGTGGAACCCAGATGGGAAGCGACGAGTTGGACGTTCGAAGTGAGGGTGATATGGAGGAGATCATGCGAGGAAGAAATAAGAGCTTGTGGGCTGTCGTGGAGCCAGGTTCAAAAGTTTGCAGAGAACAGAGTGCACTGGAGACGTGCTACTGAAACCATATGTTCCACTAGGAACTCAAGGGGAAAATAATAATAATGATAATAATGATCTTACCATCAATAGGTAATGAACTGTGGATGGTGTTGAGAATAAGTAAGCAACTTATACATGTGATATATATTTAGTCAATATTTTTTTTCACTTTACCAAACAGAAATACATTTTAATTCAACATTGGAGATGATAGCACCAAGGTGTACACTTAACTACTTAATTTTTCATTCCATCCTTATCTAACACTAATATATGTTTACTTTTAATCCAGATTGAGTTGATTACTTCAATTTGCAAGGGGGGGGTTGTGGAGATTTGTTGATCTCCAGTTGATATTCATCATGGACTGAAATCAGTTAAGGGAACACTGGAAACCTGGGAAAATGGGCCACTTGCATGAGATTCGTCAGTAGTGCGAGCCGGTGACCCCACCACGGATCGAACCCAAGATATTCAGGTTCCGTGAGCAGTACATCACCATTGAAATAGCCACTGGGTCGGAATCCAATGGTCCATATTTCCAACTTCTATCAGTTCATAACACAGTGCAACCATCACCCACCCACCCCCCACCCAATGGTCATCGTTTAATATTTGTCCTCACGTCCACCAGGTTTCCCCCACCAGTTGTATAGGTGCACACTACTGAAGACTCCCATACTAGGATAAAAAGCTGTTCAGTCCTCTCAAATTTCCAATGTTCCTTTCAATGATGTCAGTCCATGATGAGGTGCGTATCGCTTAACTACTTAACACAGTTTACAGAATGCCCAATTGTCGTGCAGAAGTAAATAAACTTGCACAGCTGCATATAAAAGGTATGAATCCCTCGTATTAGATAGCAAGCGGCCAGGAAAACTATCCACTTTTGCCATCTGACCCTGTTGTGCTGAAGTGACTAAAGTGAGCTTAGGTTGGGAAAAAAATTAAAGTGTAATAATTGTTCATTTAGTCTCTAACTGTTCGCCTGTCCCATCTGGTGACATGTATACTTCACGGTTGAGGTCCATGTTGGTGGAGATTGTAAACGATATGGCTTAGAATAGATCTTAGTAGCGCACATTATATTCATTACAACCATCATATCCATATGACATCACCTTATTGCAGGATCTCTACTCAAACACTTGTGGTGAGATCTTCGGGTAGCTGTACTCGTCAAGCGGTGTCCCTCAAGGCTGCCCACTCTCTCCCTTCTTATTCCATTTTATCATAGATATTCTTATGGAGGTCTCCCTCTCGTCACCTGACTACGCAGAGGTTGGCCTAATAGTGGGAGAGTTCTTGTTAGACCTAGAATATACAGAAGATATAGTCATGTTAGGTGAAGAGGCTGACACGATGCTAAGTCTTCTGGACACTTTGAGTAGCCCATTTGAGAATGTCTGGGATGCGTTTCTCACCACCCAAATGCAAATCGTTACTCCAGGATTACTAAAAGCAGGGAAAACAGCATGATCAGATGGAATCCCACCACAAGTACTCGAAACAGACGCACAGACATCAAAAGCGGACATGTTCACACCACTATCGCAGAAGGTTTGCAATAAAGGAAGGAAAGGTGCCTGCCGATAGACCGGAAGAAGGGCTACCTTATCAAACTACCAAAGAAAGGAGACATAAGTCTTTGCAAGAAATGGCGCAGAATCATTCTCCTGTCCCTGTCTACCCCAGGCAAAATATTAAGCCACATCATTCTTGACAGACTAAAAAATTCTTTCCATTCAAAATCACGACCGGAACAGGTTGGTTGGCTGGCTGGTTTCAGGGAAAAACAAATCACGTGCGGATCATATTGCAACGCCACACCACGCCACGCCACTCTAAGCATCATCATACAACAGTGCATAGAATACCAGTTAACTACTTACCTCAATTTCATCCACTTTGAAAACGCCTTCAACAACCTCGAACAAAAAGTAATTTGGCAGCTGCTTCAACACTACGCTTTCACTGACACAAACCTTTATCAACCGTATTCAACACCAGCTATATCCTATGCTATAGGATGCTATATACCAAGTGATTCACAATGAAAATTTCAGCGAAGCCTTTGAAGTGAAAACGGGAGTAAGACAAGATTGCCCCCTACTGTCACCCATCATCTTCATGGTTGTGGTCGCCTCGACTGAACTGGACTAGATCATGCAACAAACAACTGTGAGGAGCTGTGAGAAGATGAGCATACACTGGCGGGACCGATGAAAAGAACCTACAAGATTTGCATTTCGCCGATGACTCATATCTACTGTCGCACAAACTTGGAGATCTACAGGCGAAAACTAACAAGCTGGCAGAAGAGGTGAGGCAAGGCAACGAAGCAAGACAGTACTTCCTTCAAGTGACCATGGAGAAGACACAGCTGATGAAGACAACCAACCAACAACAACAACAACTAATCACCATCATCAACAGGAGAAATGTGAAGGATATTTATTGTCTCTCTCACTTACCTACCTACCTACCTACCTCTCCACCTAGGCAGGATCCCCTCTCAACTACAGGCGGTGGAGCAGATGATGCCAAACACAACATCAGAAAAGCAAGACAGGTCTTCCTTCATTAATCTCAAATCAGTGTGCAGATCTACTACACTCCACTACACTCAACATAAAGTGTGTACAACATCCACATTTCCAACACTAAATCTCAGTCAAGTAAGTCAGTGCTTCCATGTGATGGTTCGGAGACTTGGTGTCTTACGAAAAGCATTTACAACAAACTTCAAATATACATATCATGAACAGCTGCTGCCTACACTCACTCGATACTGAAGATCGATCAGACAGCTAGAAAGAATAAGCAGTAAGGAACTCACTCTGGCTGGCAACGAACCAACTAACATGGATTGGATTGGACATACACTGAGAAAGCCGATTGGGGACATGACGCGCCAGGCCAGGCCCTCGAGTTGAACCCAAATGGGAAACGATGAGTCGGGCGTTCGAACCGAGCGTGACATGGAGGAGGCCGTATGAGGAAGAAATGAAAGCTTATAGACAGTCGTGGATTCAGGTTAAAAAGATTGCAGAGAACAGAGTGAAATGGCGACGTGCTATTGAAGCTCTGTGTTCCAATAGGAACCCAGGGGGCAAATAAATAAAATAATAATATATAAAAAGAGTATGCAGACAAAAGAATGACTCACTAATTCTTTAACTAAACGACGTTTCGAAAGCTCCGATTCTGAAAGGTAATCCAATAGGTGAGCTGTGTTTTCCCTTTGTGAAAGCAATATAAGAGAAAAGAAATAAAGGAACGGAGATGAGAGGAAGGTGGTAAATAAATAATGTATTATGCTATAAATCAACATGCTTTGTTAAAAAATTGATAAGAAATTTGAGTTACAAGTGTCTAACACTGAATGTTGATGGTTCGGATAAGGTTATTAGAAATATTATCTGCATAATAACAAAAGTATGATTCGATTCAAAGTTAACTGAATGGATTTTTGCACTTATTATCCGCCCAACTTGTCTCTTCCCGCTTGGCTCTCACTCGACGGCCTGGCCTGGCCTGACCTGACGCGTGATGTTCCCAAATGGTCTTCTCAGTGTATATTCAATCCAATCCACCTCCACTTTCTTCTGCATATTTGTGGGTAATAGGTTGTTGGTTGGTTCGTTGCCAGCCAAAGTGACTTCCTAGTTCCTTATTCTTTCTGGCCATTTGATCTTCAGCATCGAGCGTAGGCAGCTGTTGATGCTTGCCAAAGTATGGAGAAGGCGAATTTAAAACCGAGTTCAACTGCTTGAGTTATACTTAAACTTAAATAGTCTAGTCATTACATTATGCGAATATCCTGACCCCAATGATGGTGAGATAAACCCACTTGTTCTTTAGAAATAATCCCTGTCTTCATATGACGAAAGTGTGGAATCAAGTGGAAAGCAAAGGCTTCACCTACGGGTACTAGATAACCATGATTTTGAACCAGTAGTGTACATGTGTCACAGTGTATACGGTAGAACCAATTGTATATAAACCTAATTTAGTCATCAGGACATATGAGAATGCAATGTCTAAATTTCATTTTAGAAATGTCACACACAGTGAAGGAATGGTACCATTTACTGGATAACGTTTCGGACACAATTTATTGTCCATATTCATATCAGATAACTAACTAAACAACTTTGAGATAGAGTTCATGTAGTCCCAATCATCCCTTCTTCTTTTTGATGACTAGGGTAGTGGAATTCTCCATATATCTGGAACAGGTGCAGAATCATTTCTTTTACTGCATATATTTCGTGTTGATTCAATAAACAAAGATTCGGCTATCAATCTCTCTCTTCCTCCGCCTAACTAAGTTAGTTTTTAACGCTGTCGCTGTGTTGTTTCACCCTATTGTGTGATTTTATGTAACAGTGTGCAGAGCTATAGTCGACCTTTCCTTTACATTTATTATCTTATTCGGGTCTACTAATCCCAATAAGGCTGAGATTAAAGTAGCATTTAAACCAACAAACTCACTTCGAAACAAGCTTTGTAGGTCAAAAGATCCTATCGATGCAATTCACTAAAATAATCTGCTCTACCATAATCCCCTCCAATGATTGTCAGGTCAATCACATAGGTGGCAGTAGTCGACCAGGGTCGATTACAACAGCAGAGCATAAAATCTCAGCTCAATTAACATGAGTAGATTCTAATAAGATAAGAAGCTTAGAGAAAATCAAGGCTATAGCTCTTCACGCAATTACACACACTATGTAGGGTGGCATAGAGCGACAGCGTTGAAAACTAACTTAAGTGGGTGGACGGAGAGAGAGATTGATAACCGACTGAATCTTTGTTTATTGAATCAACACCAAATACATCCAATAACAGAAATGATTCTGCACCTGTCCCAGATATATGCGGAGAATTCTACCACTCTTATCATCACAGAGAAGAAGAGAAAATTAGGACTGTATGAACTCTGTCTGAAAGTTGTGGAGTTAGTTACGTGATGTGAATATGGACAATAAATTGTTTGCGAAACGTACATTATCCAGTAAGTTATGTCATGTTATTCGCGGTTTAAGCAGATTATTTTGTAAATAATGTTTGGTTTGTCTCCCTGTATAACGCAGACTGAAGAGATTTTGTAGGCCTGTAGGATACAACAATTTCAAAAGGCTTTAATAATTTAGTCTGGATCTCCGAGACGTTCTTCATATAGGGTAGGACAGTCTGTTTTTCAGTCTTCAAGGTTGACTTCTTGGTGGACAACGAATCGATGACGACGAATTTGATCAAGTTCCATGAATAGTCATTCTTCTGAAAAACAGTTATCAAATAGTTCGCTTCTTTTCTCCACAGGGTTGATGCACTACTATGTCTTCGCCCACTTCAACAATGTTCTTATACAACTGATTTTGTGTACTGTTAGGTGGTTGCTATTGTAGTTGAACATTTAATCCACATGAGTTGGTTTTCTCTATACTTCAGTTTACAATCCTGCCAAATCGCTTCTAGTGATAAGAACATCGAAAATGCAAGTTTATTGTTTGATTCCTCTTCAATGGTGAACTTCACGTAGTCGAAAATGTTGTTCACTAATTTGTAAGCATTATTTAACTCGTTTCTTTGAATGATGACAAACATGTCACCAACATATCAAATCTAGAGTTTCCGTTTATTCAACGACAATACCACAGTTACCAATCTCTGCATTACTGCCTCTGCAATTAGTCTTGATACAGGCGATCCCACTGGTGTTGCCTTTGTATGCTTGTAGAGTTTGCCATTGAATTGAAAATATGTTGTAAGGTATAAATCAGTTAATCCCACCAAACTTGAACATTGCAGTTGTGTGTGTTCCAAGAGGTGTGTATCACTGTTGAGGAGAAGATTCATTGTATCCTTAGTCAGCTTTGGTTCAAGTGAGGTGTATAGAGCTGTAACGTCAAGAGACACCATCAGTTCGTCATTCTCAACGTGAATGTGCATGATCTATTCCAAAAATGCGTCGAATCGTTCTACCCCACATGAAGAACGTCTTCGAGATCATGACCAGATTATTAAAGCCTTTTGGAACAGCTGTATCTCACGAACCCATACAATCTCTTCAGTCTTTGATATGCAGGTCAAAAGATGAAGTAGCAAAGGAGGACAAACCAAACATTATCTACTGCAGAATTTGCGAATAACACGATATCGTAGGACAGAGTGGTCGCCCTCTTTGTATCCGTCTACATGAACATCAAGTAGCGGCGAAGTATCATGATATATCTTCGCCCCTGTCAATGCATACAGCAGACAACTGTAGACATGAATTTGACTGGGAAAATATGGAAATCCTGGAGAGATAGAGGAAATACGAAGGATGTCAGAGAATCTCAGATGTTTGGTATTTAGGTCAGTCAGCAATCAACAGGCATGTTTACATTGATCCAATATATTAACCAATAAGAATCAACAAGGTCAGACTTCACGTCATCGGGCTAACCAATAAAAATAAAGATGGAGACATCGGCGTGACCTTGGTAGAAGCAACCAATCAGAGATAAGGTCATCGGGCCAAGCGACTAAATAAACTGTGGGGGAAACCTTATCGCTCACTTCTTTCTGAAGTTTGTGCTGATAATGTTGTCTAGAAAGATTAAAAAAAGCTAGACGATTAGGCAGTCCAGCTGGAGAACACAACCACATCAAAATTATCCTCGTTGAGCTACAAATATTCCCTATCATCTCGAGGTGCAAATTTCCTGGTTAGGGTCCCCAAAATGCTGGGAATGAATGGTTGGAGACCGTTGATGATATGACTGAAAGTTGGTTACAATGGCGCAGATATATTCACTCCTTGACGTTTTCTAAGGCTGGAACATACATTTCCGCCAACTTGTCTGTTTGTCTGTCTATTAACCGATCGTATTCATTTTAGATCTGACCAATTTTTAGAGGAAAATGATATAACATTTGATCAATTATTCTAACCTACACCTTCAAATAGCTTGGTTGATAAATATTTACTGGTATGGGGAATTCATAAAACAACCAGTTTTTGAGTAGTTAAAACCTTGAATACTAGTCTTACAACTAAGATAATAAATTCGTAGCCACCTGGTCAATCATAGTGTTTTATATTAGTACTTTCTGAGGATTTATTAAAAATAAAAACAGAAGCCAAAGTTACCGAAAAAATTACGCTGAGAGTAAAGTTTAACTCATTCAATAATAATTATGCAAAGGTTAACTTTTTGAGTTAAGAAGGCTACTGAAACTGTCCAACAATCACAAAGTTAATAGGTATGTAAAGTTGAACTGGAAACTAAATGACACAACAAAAACCTTTAAAAAACGTTCAAAATGCAAAACCCCCAACAGATAAGTGTATATTCATGAAGTAGAGACATGGTCTTATTGGCTTAACCACTCGATTTTCAAACAATCGGCCACAGTTCCAAATCTTACGTCACTTACTTTGCGCTAAGTCATTACCACCAGGGGGTTATCGAATCTACCAAACGAAACCTACAACACGGTGCTGCCCAGTGATACTAATCGGCTACCAAGACCGTACCGCAGAAGGTGTAGCAAGTAATTGCATTTGGGTAGTTAAACTCATCTACCACAACTCTGTAGATTAGACAAAAACATATTATACTGACAATAGGAAATTGGTTGCCATTTTCAGGCTAACGTTAAATAACAGTAAATAGTTAGAGAAATTACCAAGCAGTTGTTTGATTGAATAAACATTCATATTTTTCAGCGACTTCTTCAATTTGTTCTCGAACCATCTGTTCTAGCCAATCAATTAATATCTAAAATTAAAGAACGAATAGGGAATATTCAAATTCACCACAGATTGGTATTCTTAGACATTTTTACCACAATCATCCTTTTAATGTGACCTTGCAACTAAACTTGGGTTATCGTTTTAATCAGAGAAAAACAATAGGTGGTAATACTTTCCTGACCTTGAAAAACAGGCACACAACATAACTACTAACAAGTATTATTATTATTCCCTTGGGTTCCTAGTGGGATATAGGGCTTCAGTAGCACGTCGTCATTTCACTCTCTTCTCTGCAGTCTTTTGAACCTGACTCCACGACTGCCCACAAGCTTTCATTTCTTCTTCACATGACCTCCCCCATGTCACCCTCACCTCGGACGCCCAACTTGTCGTTTCCCATTTGGATTCCACTCGACGGCCTTGCCTGGCGGGTTACGTTCCAAATCGGCCTTCTCAGTGTATGTCCAATCCATCTCCACTTTCCTCTTCTACATACTAGTTGGGTGATAGCTTCTTAGTTGGTTCGTTGCCAGCCACGCTGAGTTGCTTATTCTTTCCGGCCATCTGATCTTCAGCAAAGGCAGCTGTTGATGAATATCTGTAGTTTGTTGGAAATGCTATTTGTGACACCCCAAGTTTCTGAACCATATAAGAGGACTGACCTGACATTGGTGTTAAAAATCTGAATGTTGTTCACGCTTTGTGGTGAGTGCAGTAGATCTCCACACTGATTATTTGAGATTAATGAGAGAAAGCCTGTCTTGCTGTCTTTCCGATCCTGGTTTTCACATCGTCGTCTGTGCCTGTGCCGCCTGTAGTTGAAAGGATACTGCCTGGGCTGGTAGGTAGGTGAGAGAGACTACCTGCTTCAGGTTTCACTCTCCCGTTGATGGTGATTGTTGCTTGTTGTTGATAGTGTTGTTGGTTGAGTATTTTCATCACCTCTGTCTTGTCTACATTCACTTGAAGTGCCGTTTTCGCTGCCTCTTCTGTCAACTTGTTAGTTTTTGCCTCTAAATCTTCGAGTTTGTGCGACATTAGACATAAGTCATCGGCGAAATCCAAATCTTGCAGGGGGAGCAGATGTAAGTTCACACCACTCACTATCTAGTGCAAGGAACCTTCAAAAACAAGTTAAAAGCCTTCAAGGAAGCTGGTGAAAGGCCACAGTTCAACGCCCAGAACAGAAAAAGAACTTAAGGACGAAACTACAAATGACATCTTCACGTCAGCTATCAGGACAAAATGGGAGATATTGAGCAACATCCCTGAAAAACACTGGAACTGTTTTAAAAAGATGTCGAAAGAAACCTGTATAACTCTATTAGGAAGGAAGAAGAAAGAAGACAAGGAATGGATCTCGACGGACACATGAAAGCTGATAGAAAAGAGGAAGATGGTTAAGCAGAAGATGAACCAGTGCAAGCATACACAACGAAAAGAAGAACTGAACACAACCTATAAAACACTGTACAAAGAAGTGAAGAAGAGTGCGCGGAAAGACAAAACACACTTCTACAACACATTAGCAAGTGAAGCAGAACAGGCTGCAGGTAGGAGAGACCTGACAACACTATATCAAATAACCAGGTTACTATCTGGGAGATAAGAGATCAACGCAGTTGAAACCAATGAAAGATAGGGAAAGAAACTTAGTTAGCAAAGAGAAGAAACAAAGGAATCAATGGGCTGACCACTTCGAAAAACTCTTGAATCGACCACCACCACCATCTGCAACTCGTCAAGAAATATCACCAGCAGCACAGCCACAGAATTACCAGTGAACACAGGCCCTCCGATAAAACCCAAACTCCTGAACGCCATCAACTTACTAAAAGCAGGGAAACAGCAGGATCAGATGGAATACCGCCAGAAGCACTCAAAACAGACGCAGAGATATCAGCAGCGGACATGTTCACATCACTAACGCAGAAGGTTAGGAATGAAGGAAGGAAAGGTGCCTGCCGATCGAGAACTAACAAGTTGGCAGAAGAGGTGAGGCAAGGCAACGAAGCAAGACAGTACTTCCTTCAAGTGACCATGGAGAAGACACAGCTGATGAAGACAACCAACCAACAACAACAACAACTAATCACCATCATCAACAGGAGAAATGTGAAGGATATTTATTGTCTCTCTCACTTACCTACCTACCTACCTACCTCTCCACCTAGGCAGGATCCCCTCTCAACTACAGGCGGTGGAGCAGATGATGCCAAACACAACATCAGAAAAGCAAGACAGGTCTTCCTTCATTAATCTCAAATCAGTGTGCAGATCTACTACACTCCACTACACTCAACATAAAGTGTGTACAACATCCACATTTCCAACACTAAATCTCAGTCAAGTAAGTCAGTGCTTCCATGTGATGGTTCGGAGACTTGGTGTCTTACGAAAAGCATTTACAACAAAACTTCAAATATACATATCATGAACAGCTGCTGCCTACACTCACTCGATACTGAAGATCGATCAGACAGCTAGAAAGAATAAGCAGCAAGGAACTCTGGCTGGCAACGAACCAGCCAACAACCTATCACCCACAAATGTGCAGAAGAAAGTGGAGGTGGATTGGATTGAACATACACTGATAAGACGGTTTGGGGATATCATGCGTCAGGCCAGGCCAGGCTGTCGAGTGGAAACCAAGTGAGAAATGACAAGTTGGGCGTTCGAGCGGAAGGTGACATAGAGCTCGTGTGAGGAAGAAGTAATAGCTACTGGGCAGTCATGGAGCCAGGTTAAGAGGACTGTAGAGAACAGAGTGAAATGGCGGTGAGCTACTGAAGCCCTATACTCTACTAATAACCCAAAGGACAAATAAATAAAATGAAAGGTGTGGTTATTCACGTGAAAGCTGTCAAAAAAGAGCAATGAGGAATGCCAGAATAGTGAAGTGCAGTAAGTTGATTAAAATGAAGGCTGTGACTGAATCTGTGTCATAAGTGGCGTAAGTTGGAGACAAACTATCGAGTCTTTTGTATCCGTGTAGAGATTTAGTCGGCAACTGAGCCACCAGAGTCCATCTGACTTCCCAAGCAAATGAAGTGGTCAACGCGCCCAAACATTCCACTCTCGACTGTTAGACAGGGCATCCCTGAAAACTAGTCATGAAGCGACAGTTTGCATTTTAAGGGTAAGAAACCCAACTCAAGCATTCTCAAATCGCCACTCAACATGTCCACAAGACTGCAGCTACCAGGACTATCTCACCTGCATAATCTAGATATACTAAGCATTCTCCTGTGACTAAATCAATCCCTGTGAAGTCACACGAGAGGGAGACCTCTGTAAGTACATCTATGGTACATTTAACCAAAATGGAGAGAGTTAACTTCCTACATAGGCACCTTTCCAGGAATATAACTCACCTGACAACTCGCCACAGGCTCTTACACACGTGTGCTTAAGCACAGAACCTTCAACAGAAAGATAAACCTACTCGGCACCCCTATCAGATTTTGATGCTACAGTAAGATCTCTCGAACGACAGAACCAAATGCCGCATTCAGGTAGAGATATACAGCTACTGTCGGGCGTCGTTTAAGTGACCCTGTGTTCAAGAACCTGACGAAGTGTGAATATCTGATCAACACACCATTCACGGTCAGGTCTGAAGCTTTCCTGGTATTCTCACGTTTGCTGCTCACGAGTTCCGCTTAGTCGTCTAGTGATTAGTAACCCAGAATCTTAGACATTATGTTCGTGAGGTTGATTTCTCCGTGGTTATCATAAGGAGACTTCTTATCTTTCTTGAAGGCTGCGACAATCAGTGATTGGAACAGTCAGACGGGATAGTATCTGACTCCAATACACTAGTTAACACTTCAGTTAACATGACCAATAATCTTCTACCACCGTCCTTAAATTCCCCGCAGTACTAGTTAGCATGGTCCCGTTGTCCTTCCTCCCTTCACATTGCTTACAGCTTTTTCAACTTCTGTAAGCATTTAATGCCTGATCTCAATTTCTCCGACCAGACACAGGGCAACCGAATAGTAGCTGGAGGCTAGCTGAAATGTTCTGCTAATCGTTCCAGTGTTTTCCACTGTGGGTGAATCACAGACTGGTCCTTCTTTCCAACAGCCTCACTAACCATTTGCCTTTTGCTTCAGTTTACTTGATAAGTCTAATTAACTGTCTACTGTTACCTATCACCCCTGGCCTCTTCCATCCCTTTAGCCTTTGCTGCCCACCACCGTTCGCAATCACTGAGTAGACTTTTTGTTCGTTTACTTTTCAGTTGCTTCCGCTCCTCATTGTTCCGGAAACTGCAGGGATGCGACTGCGTGCATCCATTTATTCAAAAGAACTTGCTGGGGTCTATTGGCTCTTTCCAACCACTTTTTGAAAGTTAACTACGATATTCAACGCTGTTTTTTGCAATAGACTGGAGACGGCATCAGACTTCTCCCACATGAGTTTTGTTCTGCACCACTAACTGTTTCTCCAGTTTCTCACAGTAAGCAACCTTAGTATCCTGAATGCTACCCAACATTCGCAATGGCAGTGTTGCTTAAGTTTTTCAAAGTTCATTTAGATGTAGATATAGACACGCTCGAACCACCGAGTGGTCGCTGTCCAAACGTGTGCTCCTGCGACTTTGATATCCGATCCGACTGAAGCAATGCTATACTTACACCTGCAGAACCACTACATATACTCATCGAATCTCCAGAAACTTGAAGCGTAAATTTTGCAGATTCACCATTTTGGTCGAGTGAGGTTAAATGAATAAACGCATTTCGGTCCTGAATGTGTGCCTCACAAAAACACATCAATGGAGGGAGATGCCAGAGTTTCGAGTAGTGAAGCTTGTTGGCTGGCTTGACAGAGGGTACGAACATTGAAGGCTCCAATGTGTAATTTGCAGTGTGGTTTCAGGAAATCAGAGATGCTACTCCGTGAATTCAAACCGCTAAAAACAGCTGTAGAACCGTAACAGATTAAAAATGACGTAGGAATGTTGATCGAAAAACGTGAAGAAAGATTAGAAAGTAAGGATGTAGAAGGTTGATAATGACCTAAAGGGAACTTGAGGGTTGCCAGGTTGTGAGGGCTGTTGGTACTTGCTGACTGTTCACATCATGGAAGGCTAGTTCTCCATGAGATACCTGAGAAAGAAGGCTTAGAGCATGACCGCAGAGACCATGGGAAATTTGCTTGAAGCCAGTCACATATGGTCTTTTTAGTATGTTCTTTGCAAATCCGACCATAAACCCATATCGCCAGCACCGGCATGCTGCGAAGTGGGAGGGGTGTGCTATTTTTAGGGACGATCTTTTCTAACCGCTTCCTCCTTCCCACATGTAAGACACCATCAGCGTGGCACTGCTGACCATCCGAGAGAAGTACCCTAATGCTGTCAGCAGTACAACTTCGCTCTCAGACCGCATCATAACAGTTATTTACATTATAACCGTAACTTACAACTATCCAGCTGACGTTTCTGGTATGGCAGGACCTCGAGAGAACAGTCGTTCCGCCAGCATAGCTCTTCGGGTCATTGTGATATCCAAGCTCAACCAACACGTCAAAGCAACAGCTTTCAATCAAAAAGTGCACTTCTCGACTGAGTAAAATTCAACTGCTAATTGTGTACCGCTCGACTGGATTGTTTTAACCAGACCGAAACGTGGTATTAGTTCGTAAAGCCTCTGACTATTGGTCTGAGCCATATATAGAGTTGTAGACCACCTGCTTGGGGTCCCCAAGAAAATAGGAATCGACAGTTAGATACTCTTGGTAACTTGACTTAAAACCAATCACATTGGTACAGATGTATTCACACTTCCACATCTTTTAGGGCTTGAACATCTTCACCAACTTTTATTTTCAGATTTCTTCTCCTCTCATTTACCTTTTTCTACTTTGCTAACAGTCTTTTTCTATCCACTTAATCTTGTCCTGATACTATGCAGTGTAAAAACTTTAAGCATCGCACTTTCGTGCCAGGTTTTGCGTTGGCCTGTCTTTTCTTCCCATTATTTCCATAATTTACTGCTAAGAAATACAATATTTCACTACCATGTACAACTTGTCTTCAACGACTAATACTATGTTCATGAAACACCAATTCGACCTAAATTTCTGCAGAATACTGACAGGTTATTAATAAAATCAGTTGAAGTACTTTTTTAAAAATAACTGATGAAAGAAAGACACAATAGTTAACGATAGGGAACTGGCAGGTTCAATCTTGAAGATTTACCACCCTTTCTATCACGTGATTTGGCTGTCATGAAGTCAAACAACACATAATGCGATATCTCAGTTTCACCTTAAGAATTAAGCTGGCAATTTAGAGGCTATCAGTTTGAAATACAGTTGAGATCGTCAATCATCACCCCGACGCGAATAACTCAGTTTTAAAACAAAGGCTATTTTGAGTAGTTCAATTAAAAATCAAGAATGCATATTGATCATCTAACTCACTTGTGTTTCACGAAGTTCATTATCTTTTTCATATAATAGTCGAATTATCTCCCGTTCAGAATGATTTAAACTCTAATAGATAAATACGACAAGTCACATAGAGATGAATGAAAATGAAAAACCAGGTTAACTAAAATAACACAACTAAATTGCCTGTTAGCAAAAGGAAGTATAACAACTTGTATACAACCTGAATAAGATCAAAACAGTGATCAACCAATAAATAATTGAGATTTCTTTATCAGTCGACCGATCTCCTCTCTTCTCAACTACACAAAAGCATACAAATCCAAGTCAAGCCATCTTGAAAAGGGATCACATTCACCCCGTACAAACTATATTGAGAGGAAGAATTTTTCTACAGATCACAACAGGCTTACTAAAGGAAAAGTGACTATAAAACTCATATCATAGTGAGGAAAAGTATGCAGTTTACTCTAAACTACGGATACTATTCAGGACAAGAGTATCAAGTCATACCAACCCCTTTTTATCTAAATACCCATTTAAAATAAACAGTACAATATATGGGTAGTACACCAATCCATTCTAACCGTAATCAGACGTCATGTCGATTTGCATCAACTTCTACAGTCCCCGCCTCAGAAAAGTACTAGATATCATTGATATCATCATGAAACTCTACTTCACACGGTGACTTTCGACAACTAATGTCTACATCGACTTAGACGAAAATAAGACATGAACGGTTCTGTGTCACGGGAATCAATCCTGAGCTACACCACAATCTGAAGTTTTTAACTAAACCCTGATATGTATGCTAGTATCAAGCTTTGAACACATGAAAGATTAGTAGTATATTTTACAAACATTTGAGATTATATGGTCGACCGCTTCCATTCGCACTGACTTTTAGCAATGCTTCCTATTACACCAAGACGCAATGCTACAAACATTCCAGATGGGCGGTCACGATAGGCAAGAACGGTCATCACGACAAGGTAGTAGCTACAGTCATCACCAAATATTTTAGTCAAGAACAATCTAACAACCTGAACTACACACAAGTAAGTAGGAATAAAACGTTACGTCTTTTCTGACATGAAAAAACACAGCATACTGATAACTGGTGATCGCAATCACTAAAAACTTACAGATAAGTCATTGCCTTCAGCTTTTCTAGTCTTGGACTCGGATTCGAAACGATCCAGGTAAATATTGGAGATAAGACTCCATGTATTTCTTTCTAGGTTGATCATTTCTGTTACGCTACGGATATTAGGTAACCTTATAAATGGGAAAAAGTCTATTTTTTATTAACTTCTTACCCTTTACGATGAGAAAGTTGCGTAAATATTTTAGGCAATCTTCGGACAATTTTATGGCAGGCATCGACATATTGAACAGGAATTTCTGACAAAGATATCTGAGGATTTCTCCAAAGATTACAGAAATGAGGAAAGAGACTAGACCCATCTAAAAATAATTTATAGAGTAACAACCACACAAAGTTGACATACCGAAAATCTCTGGATCTTCATCTAATAAGTGAGTAATATTGTTAGTTTTCTGAAAGTCATTATTCTCCTAAAATCAAGAAATACAGATTAAATTGGCAATTTATGAATACGACTCACCTCTGCCCATGAACCGAACAAGCCAACTTCAGACATTTTATTGACTAAAGTAAAATCAACAAAAACAGAAGTCGTATTAAACAAAATAACAATGATAAACAGTTGAAGTCAATGTAATTCTATAGGAAAAGATGTAGTAGGTGAGTGAACAGAAACCGGTCGGTGTAATCTACTTAGAACTCCATTTATCTGAGACCACTTGCATCAGTCATCCTAACGGCAAGAGCGACACGATAGTGTTGTTAACCCAAACATAAGACGATAGGAAGCATCGTATCTAAACTCGTATTAAATTGAATTTGAGGTTATTATTCTTGCCAATATTTAACTGTCAGAAATTAGTTATAGAATACACGGTCAGAAGTTAAAATGTTGCAAGTATGTTTCAGTGATTATTACACGATTCATATGGGCACTCATTACATCTGAGAAGAAACTTGACAGAAAAATGGAAATTGAAAGGTTGAACATTGCAAAAAAGTGTGTTAGTTGGCGACTGTCAAAGAATGTCAACATAAAATGCCACACAATTTGAAGTAATACCATGAAAAGATGTAGCAATTGAAAGGTTTGGTTAATATTATGGGAATAATAGCCAGACATGCTATATTTACGAAAACTTCCATTAATTATCGATTTTCCTCTATAGGATTTCACTCAAACATTAAAATAAAACAGAAACTAGAGAAAGCGTGGAAACCAGTTAACGGCGTTTTATAAAACAAAGCAACTAAGGAATACTTATGCCAGCAGTTATCATGAACTTACGTCAGTTGGAGAACCACTGAAAACCTGGTGGTACTGGACTAAATCTATACTACTGTATACTGCTCATTAGTGACACGCTTCGAGATGGGCATGATGAAGTTTTAATGAGAAGTCATGACTTGTAAGGTCAGCCAGTTGAAAGTGAATCAGATGCGGAATGAAAACCTTGATGTATAGTCATGCTATGTCGCGAATTGACAGAAGTAGGAGAGACTGAACTGTTGGACTCCAACCCAGTGGCTGGATGGTTAACGTGTTCATCACAAGACCTGAAGTTCCTGAGTTCGATCTTTGGCGGGATCGTGTGTGCTTCTGAAGAGCTCCATACTAGGACGAAACAACTGTCCAGTGTTTCCAAGTTTCTAATAGGATGTCAGTCCGTGATTAATACTAACGTAAAAACAAAATCCCTATACACTTGAAACTACGTTAAGGAACATTTAGTTAAAATTTCACTTTTAAAACACCGCTTATAAAATGAAGCATTCAGAAAAATGTAGTTCCGGTTTTCTAAAAACGAGTTTATATCAGGTAATTGCATAAAGCTTAGAGGAAGCTCAGTGAGCAAACTTTTGAAAAACATCTGGAACGACTATGTTATAGATATCCCTAAACTGAAAATCATTGTTTGTCGTATCATCCACTCCAACTCTCAAAACGCTTTACTGACAGACCCCATAACTGCTCTCACTGTATAAAAGTTATGCCCTATATATTACAAATGAAACTATGAGTAGGTATGTGAACAAAAAGACAAACTTCTAGCGAAAGTGATAGTAACTTCAGGCAATAGAAAGTGAGTAGGAAATCTTAAACTTGATCATTAGTGAAAATATCATATAAAACTCGATTTATTCTCGCTCCGGAAGGTGACTATTGACACCAAATAGGCTGAATATTTATTGGTTTAGTAGTACGATGGACAGTTAATTATTGAACTGCTTAGTCGAATTCTACCCCTGGTCCTTGCAGAAGTTTTGTTATTTATTTACTTATCTATCCGAAAACCAGGCCTTTAGAAATATGCAATAGATTAGTTTTCTTGAAAATACATTCAAGGGGAAGATTCACTGCTTGTTAAGGGCATCACTTCAGTTAGTGATCTCACCGGCTCTAGCAGAACATTAGCAAAATAAACACTGGTCAGTAACTGCTACTTAGCTCAAATTCCACTGGCGTATTGAAATTGAAGGCTGACTGACTCAACAGCCAAGAAACAACCACAGTTTGTGATGCATGACAAAATTATGAATATCACACTTAGGGTATTATTAATTCCTAATGTGTCTGGCAAAGAGCTAACAATGTTAGGTTGGACATCCTATTATAATTTGAATGCTTGAAGAACTAAGAGGATAAATTAGTGATCCAAACTCACCTAACAGCAACAAGACCGATTATTATATTTAGTAATAGCTAGGTAAGTAATTGGGCAGAAGAGGGTCTTACGTTAAACCTTAACTGGAATACTGAACCCATGTGGCCATTCCATGTCTAATAAAGGATGCTGATGTGCTACAGCGCGATCAGAGGGTAAGTACTAAAGTTGCGGCAGTCCTTCCGAAACCTCCCTATGAGGAAAGATCCGATCGGCCAAACTTATTCCCATTGTCTTACGGTAGAAAACGGGATGATCTCAATGCCCCTTAATAATGACTTCGGCAATAAAAAGTTCTGTCGTTTCACTCTTACTAGGACTTATTATGTCCGAGGATACTATAAGATAATCCAAAAACCTCGACCGAAACAACTTAGCGTGAATACACGTTTCTCATCATCATCATCATCATTATCAACATAGGACCAGGCATTACTGCGTAACGGTCCGAGTTGCCACACCTCATATCAGCACATCAAGTAGAAAGGTAGTGAGGTGAAGGATGAATATAAGTGAATGCAGTCAAAAGAAATATAAAGTATGAGAAGAAAGGAAAGAGGAGTGACAAAATAGTGAGATTCGGTATAGCGTTGTTAAGATGAGGATAATGTGTGTATACATCTGCGCCACTGACCTCGGTTCTGAGCCATATCACCTAGGGTCTCCAACATACACGTTTCTCCTGTCGTGTGGTCAACGAATGGAACTCCTTATCTCAGCAAGCAGTATCAGTACCTACAATCAAATTATTCAGTGAGAGAGACTACATTTTCACAGAGGTATCTAGTGCAAGAATTACCACAAGACAACTGGTTTACTATCCCTATTTCTGAAAACTGATAGACCATAACTATAGTAAACTGTGACTTAGAAATACTTAATGGTGATTACGTTCAAATATTTCTCTCTCAAACGCCTTTGGATGCTATTCCCACTTTCTACACTAGCCGTGCACAATCAAAGCCACAGCTCAGCCAGATGTATATAAGCGAATTGCACATAACAACAAAACAGGATAAGATAAAAATCTGAATAGTATAACCTAATCCAACAGGCAATAGATTACTTGAAACTCTGATAAGTGGTCCTTCGTCTGTGATATATATGTAAATAGACAGGTCTTTAATAGCACCTCACTTTCACAATGTTCATGCGCACAATTGGCCTTGGGGTGACCTTGAGATTTGAAAAGTGTTGAATGGTTCAAAATGTCTGTGGAGTGAAAGATGGTCGACCGATCCTCCGGTAATGGTTATGCGCAGCACCCCATATCCTAGCATCTATTCGCTTGTTTTCTCACTGAACTATTTGCTACCACCGGGTTTTTACGTTCATCATACTCTGAAAGAAACGTTACCCCACTCGAAAAAGATATAATCGAGACTTTCATCTGTACGACAACCAGTCCAAGAAAGCGTGTGGATACTGAATACACCAATACCTGTAGCTATATACATAGCGTGAAGTGTTAGCTATGCTGACGACCAGTGTATCTTGTTTACTTTTTCAACTTGAAGAAGAAAGATTAGCGGCCCTAGAATACTGCCATGAGTAACAGGCTGAACTGAGACAACAGCTCATTTTCCCTTGTATTTTGCGTTCTCTCGTGTACCCACTCCCTATTCCACGCTAAAACCTGGCTCCTCAAACTGAGTTTATGAAGCTTCTTCATCGACCATCTGTTAGATGTCTTATCAATAACCTTACTCGAATCAACAAACACCGGTCATTTTCACCAGTCGCGGATTTTTCTCACAAAGGCTTTCAGCCTGAAGGCCATGTCAATCCTATTGGTAGAGTGTGTTTCCGAACGCCTTGTCACCTAATTCCACAGTGCCGTTCACATTGCCTGCCTGAGATGTAGCACATTTAATAGCGCATTTAGTGGCTCGGCGACTGTGGCGGCCATAATACCAAGCCATTGAGGTTTAGTCGGTTTGGGTCTGGTGACTTTTCAGGCTGGATACTTCTGGGCCATTACAGGACTTTCTCCTTCATAATCTGAACGAGTTCGATTAGGAAAGAACCACCGACGGTACCTGCAGTCCCACCAGCATCACCAGAAAGATAAACTCTTGGCCTTAGTTACGTATAACTTTTAAAAGTCATTCACATCATTAAAGGATAGTAGAACTGGAATCCATTCGCACTTCCTAGTTCTCCTTTCAGGGGATAACTGTTTAGTGTGGCAGAAAGTAGCATAAAAATCCCTTTTACACGACTTCTGAAGCCATTTTGCCCGCACCATTCAATTTTCTATTTTCGTATTGGGATGCATTCTTCCTACCTCGTTATCCTCATCTCTTCGTTGTTAAAACCCTCGGGAGTACGTTTACCACTTTTTCCCATCTTGGTAAAACTATCCGTAATCATTTTTGTAACCCAGTCCATAAAGCTGTAATTTGTTTCGTTCAGTGTTTCGTTGCACTTTCACTAATGCTGGTCTGCTCCGCTCAGGGTTGTTACTGTTTTGGGCTTCAGTTGGCTGTCCACCTCAGGCACTACTACCGCCAAAATTACGCCCAATTTTCTATTCATTGATTGGTCCAAACCAGATGCCGATGTAATACCGCTTCACTCTATGGCCTTTAATGCTGTTATTAATAGCATTGTTCAAATGTAATTATTACTTCTTTCGAAGACACTACAGGGAATCAATTCATTGGACCATTACATTCTGGGGACCCCATGATTTTCCACAGGTCTCTTTTGAAATAAAGCTGCTAGCATTATTGTTAATTATTGCTATATCTGCAAGTCCTCTGGGACAAAGGTACGCTTATAAATGAAAACAAATCTCTGAAAAGGCCCACTCTCGCTGAAACTACCCGCTGCTGAACAAGGTATCACCATATTCACAACAGAAAGCTAACACGTACAAAAATGAATAATGTTCTTCGAACTTCATCCTCATAACCATCATAAAAAGACAGTTATTGTGAAAGTATCAACCTCACCAACGACAAGGTTTTCACAACCAGTGAAAGCTGCGAACAAGGCATTCTAAACATCTTATTGATGTATTCAAAAGACCTAATATATTTCGATGCTGCAGTTAGACAAGTGCAGATATTTAGACTGCATTTATAATGTTCGGTAAGATTGTCAATCTCTGATGTGGGTTAGTACGATAATATATGAAAGAAAACATGCATGCATTCATCCGTGACCCCTTCATTGTTGTTAACAAGCCAAGTATAACAAGCGTAACAGCGGAAGTATCGGCTTCAAGCTCTATTCTTCTTCAGGCAATATATGTAATTTGAAGCAGCTGATCCCTTCGGCAAATATAAATACATGTAACGCTGAAGTGCAAACCCTGTTGTTTTTTGTTAATGCACAGACAATACTTTCACTCTTTCATGACGTCAATTTTTGCACATTTTTCTGCTGTCCTTCACTTTATTAACATGCGGCACAAGTCTTCCAGTGACTGATTGGGTGCAGATTCAAACTACCTGCTCTAAAGAAACGTGGTTCACACGGGAATATATTCACAACTGTAAAACCGATAAGTTGGTGTGTGATCAGGAGTAGATAATGAAGTTATTATTGCCTCTGGCACTATCGGTGTCGCCATGTCACTCTACGCTAATACTAATGTTTATTTCAGCAACACACCGTGGAAGTTAGTCAGGTACGATTCAACTGGCAGCTAACTGGATCAAAATAACTGAGGTTTTACGACAGAATTTTCATGGCAAGCTAGAGGTAGGTTAGTCACGTGCGTTTCAACCCCTCAGTTCTGATTCGCCACGTGTCTGATGGAACCATTCGCCACTATTGTGAAATTGCATAATCTTAGCGTCATAATAACAGCAACAATATTTATTTTTAAACACACGAGCACATGCCATTTTTACAGGTGTGAATAGGTTACTACATAAGTTATATGTATCTTTATGGCAGGTGATCGTAGTTGCCACCTATTCTGTCACTAGACGATGTAAGTGCTGCGTGCTTGCATGCCAGAAAATCCTGGAGGGATGGGTGTGCGAAAATCTTTAAGTTCGACAAGTGGGAGTACTATCTTCGCATTAGCAACAAAACTAGGTTTGTACCTCGACATTACATCTACAACCTTGTGGAAACTAGCGCTTGAAGCTAATACTTCACTGTAATAGTCTGTACTTCTTGCTTAGGATAATGACGAAACGTTTATAAAGGATGGTACACGCAAGTCGTTTATTTACTGTGCTCCGCTGATGATTCCAGAAGTGCAAAATTCTTGAAAATTAACGCCATTTTACATCCAAGGTTCATAATCTCGCTGAGTATTACAACTGAAGGCCAAATATCTCCATTTTTCCAAATTCAACATCTAGGAGCAATTGACTTTTTTGAACGCATCGGGTGGACGTCCAGGACATCTTATCCGCCGTCTTCACGGGTCGTGACAGCCCCGTGGTTGGTAAGTGTTAGACTTTCTTGGCCACTTTCATAATCAATAAATCCCAGGTTTTGATGAGTATGAAGTTGTAGTCAAGTGAACGTTCTTTGTTTCCGTTTGTTGCAATTAGGTATTGTGAACGCGTTCACTTAACCTAACTGCAACGCGGAAAATGCAGCCCGATGATTCATGGGGGGATTGTTCTGTTGTTACAACTGAGAGCAATCTCTTCTTGGGCTTCACGTCTCTTACTTGAAGTGTTCTTTCGTTGGAGTGATCACATTTATTGTCTCCGTCCTTTGTAGTAACGAACAATCCCCCTAAATCGGTGGCCTGCTGCAAAACCATGCTCATCATTGGTGCCTAAGGTTGTGTTTTCAATGGGCTCACTTAGCTTAGAGAAAGTGGTCAAGCACCCAGAGTCATTCAGCAGGTCGCGAAAGTTACGCCGCTCATTCTTAACCCGCCAGTCAGTTGGCTAGAGAGCCTGGGTATGCTGGAAAATCGGAGACGTATTGAATTTCTACCTGCCTGCCAGAAGTGTCCTCTATTAGTCTTACACTCAGGAGCATCTAGCAGGTACAACGAATCAATGGCTGGTGCCTGCAGTTTCTCAAAGCACACATGACGAAACCTTCAGGAAAGGGTCACAAGTAATTTTTCCTCTGTCTCAACTAGGCACCGCCGTGTCCACTGGTCCGGTTGACGATGGCAATTTACTTATGTACAGCCCTTTCACATCATGTCACTCCTTTGGGGTTGAAACGACTTTTAAGAGTATCAAGGGTAGCAGCCCCAGCCGGTTTTATCACACTTTAAGAAGCTAGGTGACTGTTTATTACTTTTGAAAAGTCTGACCATTGCCATCCTGGTTGAGTCAAAAGCTTTCTGGAAAGCCCCAGTTCGAATTATTTCAGTTTTTGTTCAACATTCTGACATTTCAGGCCGGTACTCATAGTGAACTGAGACTAACTGAAGGTACATTGAGGACCTGGGGGCGCTGGACGGCCGTTTAGTCCCGGTATGGTGCTCCTCACCAATGCACACCCAGGACCTTCGTGGGTCCACACTGCTGAGGAGTCTCATGCCGGGACGAAACAGCTGTGCAGTGCCTCCAGCTTTTCAGCATTCCTCCAGCCAATGTCAGTCCATGATGAGTCCCAGCCTGGGATCAATAAATCCCCACAAGCCTCGAAAATGAATTTCGACATTCGTCTCAGTTTTCAAGGCATTTTTAACGTTTGTAGCCGCTTTGTCAGTACCGCAAAGAGCAGCTTCGGCGAAGTCACTTTTTAAAGTGTGGTGGCTGTGACAAGCGGCAGGTTAAAGTATACTTGCCAGCCTAGGGTCATGTTTTCGTGTGAAATGCGGCAAAGAAAATTTGCTCTGGATGTGCAGGATACGGTGTTCATCTATGCCTACGTGAGCAAATAATGTGTTGAAATCGAGATGATAGCTGTGTAGTGCGGTGTAGTGCAGTAGTTGAAGTTGCGCGTTGAACAGTCAGCTGTAAAAACCCTCGTTCGAGCTAAGATTCAGTGTGCCATTGTGTTATCCGTAGAGGGAAATAAAGCGGATTATAAGTTGGATAGAACTCAGCCATATGTGGAGTAAGTTTGATGTTCCAACTGCACCATGACTATGATGGATTCTTTTGGCCATTCAGGTGAATCAAATTAAAGCTCTAATTGTGATCACTAACCAAACGCGAAGTTTCGAGGCCAATAAGCACCCTAGTCAACTACCTGTAGGATCACCACAGGCGTCAAATCCAAGTGAAGACTGCTAACTGCAGTGAAAAAACAGTAAAGGGGTCCAGGAGTAAGGATGTGGATATGCCCTTTCATAGGGAGTGCTTGACTGTTGGCAAAAGGCGTAGACAGCGTGCACAAGTTGCCGTAAGTTTAGAGAAGTACGTACCACGACCCTTCCTTGATTAATAAACAGTGGTCAAGAAGACCCTGGTGGTGTTGACAAGGAGCTTACATCTCTGTGCGTAGAAAGCAACCAAACGAATGTCAGTCGGTAAGTTCTCTTACTTCTCGAGTAGACCTCCTGAGGAAATGCGTCCTACAGGCTCACCACCTGTCCTTCCTCGCTTAGTAAGCTGCACACAGATGATGAGCCTATCACTCGTCTGGGCATTGCCCACACGTTCTGGGCTAATGAAAACATACTGAGACCTCTAAACGTATAAAGTACAGCTATCATTATTCTCAAGCACATTTTTACCCCACTGGATCATCTAGTTGAATGGTGAAGTACAAATATATGGTCAGTGTTCCCTTTAAGTTTACTAACAAAACCGCCTATCTAATAACTCTTGTGAACTTCACGTAAAAAAGACAGAAAAGCTGTCTTGAAGGCACAAATTAAGGTTTGCATATGGCTTGAATGACTCTACAAAAGCAAGAACTTCACTCCTCCAAGTTTGTCTTGCTTGGTGTTCCATTTTCCAGTTTCTCTTTGGGTTTCCTTTCCTCTTCCCTTTTTCAGCATCAACCTGACGAAAAAATCCCATGCATTAATTCGATTAGAAACATCAACTCACCGAAAATCCTACCTCGTACGTAATATTGGGAACGGATGTTAGAATCGTTCAACTTGCTCGCCTTCGACTTCCCGTTTCGTGAACAGCATCACAATCAACTTGCCTCCCTGCCACTACCCTAAGCGCTATCACATACGAAACCTGAAGGACAATAATTGGTCCCTGATTTCTAGTTTGTCACAAATGAAGTGGAAATCTGGATAAACAGCTAAATCTGAGGGACCACCTAAAGGAAACGTATTTGTATTTACACTGCGCAACCGACTTATCTAGTACTCTGCTTCGTGTGAATTCATCCAAAGAAGTCAATTAACAGTCAATATATCTCCTTAACAGTGCTGCGTACCTCAGTGTTAAATCTGCGAAATTGCAAATGTGTGTAAATGGCCACTGTTAGACGACGGTTCTTCTGGTCTTTAATTGCCTGCACCACAACAAATATTTTCAGCATTATCAATCCCAGTTGCTGGGGAAGACAACACTGGAAGAGTGAAAAACGCTTGAATCTAGATATTCACGTGGGTTAAATGTCTGTATGAATATTTACTTATCCCTGAAATCATTGAGGTAAGTTATTCCTGGTCAACGAACATAAGAATTACTGTGAAAATTGACGTTTACCTGAAGAAACATTGGGTTTTGCAGACGGGTCAATCATGTCGACTACTCGTAGCGCAAACACGAAATATTGCGCGTATATGATGCCGATTAAGTGTGAAAAAAGAGTTGTGAGCACGAATGACGGAAACTCAAATCACTATGCGCGTACTGTAAAGTGATGTTTCCTGCTCTTTACATAACTTTCAGACACTTGGTATCATGACAGAGTTCAACCTCCTCCCTTCTGTACCATTCAACACTGCCCAGCTTCCTTAGGTTTCTCTGCACTTATTAACTTGATGATGCCTGTAAACCGGATTCTCTCACGTTTAGTTCATAACCTGAGAACAAAATATTTTGTTATTTTTTTTATAAGTCTGAGGCATTGTTAAGTGATAACAGGTCGTATCAAGATTGCAAAAGTACCTCAACATTGCGTCCGGATAATCATGAAGTCCAAAGATTTCTCGGACTCAAAATGCTTACTTCACGGAGAATACAATTGTCAACCACCTGAGAATCAGCCAGAATATTCCAGACAAAATGGGATCAAAACTTTGTCCACGGGAATCAGTTTAACCAAAAAACTTTTTCAGTAGACAGTCGAAGGGCAAGCAATCACTTCACAGAGGAGGTGTGTGTGTGTGTGTGTAATGCCTTACCTGGTTATCTTTATTACGACCCTGCTTAGTTAAATCGACCAAGTTGACAACCTTCAGTTATCTTCTTTGACATCTACTGACAAACTTCACCTCGTCAAACTCGATATTTCTTGTTACTTCCATAGCTTCATAGACTACTATTAAAGAAATTTGTCTCGTCTGTCGAAACCATGTTGCTACGGTTGTCTTGAACGCTACTTCAATAAGTCCGCCTTATTATTTGGTAAAACACGTTTATATAGTTTTGGTAAGTATATATATGATTGTTTAGCTTAGGAAATTCGGATGGACCTCAAAAACTTAAAAAACACAAGAAGATAATACGTGACTTGTAAGAATTCTTCGGAGAAATTAACCTTCAACATTCTGTAACACAAGGATATTATTTGAAACAGATAGCCCCTTTGACTAATTTGCGTAATGTAATAAGAAGACGGAGGTTATCTGAAAAATATTCGTGCAATACATTTCGAACAATCTGATCACGCATTAACTTTTCATGGCATTTTATATGAAGGATGAAAATAGAGTGGGGTAAAATAAATAAAGATAATACAAGATCTGGAAAACACGGATAATAAAGAGGAATACTGCATTTTCACACCATCCTTGACATTATAGTGAAATAAAAATTACTAAAGCGAGTTCAAGGTAAAGACAAACTGGTTTTGAATACACAAACAGGGTTCGAACTTTCGTAAAGCTAAGGCTTCAATGATTCATCATATAGGTAAGTTTTAATATAACTTCAGTGTGGAAAACAAGATTTTTCTAAAAGTTTCCCTGTGAATGCCACAGCTTCCTCAGCAGAATATTCGGATTTTTATTCAACTTAGCGATATAATGAATCAACCTGACTCAGCGCTCAACTTCTTTCAGAACATTCGTAACAACTATGGCCTGGATGTTTATCAGGTTTCAATGAACCTAAGTATACGGTCTTAACGGCTTCTATACAATGGTCTGAAGGCTGTTTTGGGGGTCAATCCTGTGACCTGTTTGTACAATGTGTTTACCTACCAACGATGACGTCTGTTTCCCCCCTATATTTATCGGATTATTTGAACTTAATTGCTTCTCTAACCATTTGAGGATTTGCTCCATATCACTGTCGACTTCATAGTTCGATTACTCCTCCCAATGTGTATGTTTCATCGTATGCATTGGGAAATGATGTAATCATCTATGTAGTGATGAGGTTTATTTTTAAGCAGAGGCATCATGGTAGTGTGATGTAAGCACCCTTTTTCGGGACAGAATACTGATTAGTTCACACCGTTGAAACGTTTTTGCAACAATTGATGAACTTCAGAGAAAATGCGTTTTTCATAAGTGCCTGTGTTAAGAGTTTGATTTGTTCTTCTAATATGTTTGTGCAGATGCGTTGGGTTCTTTTAAATCAACATTTTAGTAAACCTCGTTTGTACTGTTTTGGACAGGAACTTGCTAATTTTAGGTACTGTCCAGTTCACATAGGTTTTGTATACATTGATCTCTTTACCAATCGATTTTCCCTTCCTAGTTAATAACACATGAAGAAAAGGAAGGTGATTATTATTCTGTGCTTCATAGGGTGAAGTAATGTGGCTTTGTATGGTGTTAGGTCGATTTAGAAGACTTTTCACATCCTCATATTTGTTACATATAACTAAGATATCATCAATATATCTCGTGTACAGAGGGACTGTGTCGATTGTATCCTTAGGCGAAAGTTCTACATGCGACACACAGACATCAGCTCTCAGTAGTCCTAAAGGAGTGTTCATGGTGGCATTATCAACTTGTCGAACCTTATAGGTGCATAGTAATTATAGTTCTTAGAAATATTTTTTGGATGGATGTGGAAATAAGGAATAATCAAGAATATATAATCAACAGTCTTAGTTAAAGGCATGTTAGTGAATGAAGAGTTCACATCAAAAGAATACATTATCATATCTTTGGTATTAATGTCATTTATGTAGTCGATATGTTCAAAAGTATCTTTCAATGTAAACTTACATTATTGGTTTTGTCAATTTATGAGTTAGGGAGCGAAACATCGATAGTATTGTACGTAATAGGATATTCGCTTTGTGTATCTTGGACTTCTAAATTATTCACTAAACTGGAAAGTAAATTCAGTACTTTCAGCTAGCAGATGTCTAAATTTTACTGAGAAATCATAGGTTGTCTAAATTGTTAAGTTTTCGTTCAGTGCAGAGATAAGTAGAGAATCCTTGCTTGAGGTACTTAACAACCACTTATACAGAAGTCATGTTGGACAAGAATGTAGAGTGGAAAGTGAATAATACTGAAAACTTTTAACAATTGAAGTCATTTATATGAAGGAGACAATGAATCCATAGAGTTAACATACTACTACTGTATTACCACAGCATTTAAAGTATAAACAAGTAGCAATGAGTCTCTAAGAATGAAGGTCACAAGAATAATGAAAATATCAATGAAAAAGAACTGACTATTGATACTACAGTAATCGTAAACAAACTCCTGAAATAACACTCATATATGAGCCCTTATTTTCATAGTTCCAATAAACTGATTGGTCTGAAGATACGCAATAAAGATCGCTTATGCAGCCAACCACAAACAGCCAGTTACTTTAGACATTTCTATGTAACCTACACAATATCCTACCCAAACTTACAATTCAATGCTAATCACCCCAAAATATGCTTATGTACTAGGCTCTGCATAGCACTTAATATGTAAAGATTCATCCAGTTGTCAAGGCTAAAGTAAATGAAAACAGATATGAAGTTTCTCGCACTTTCCATTGTAGTATAGAGTTAGATATGTAAAAATGGTCATCACTGACCAAAATCTCTTCTTCAAATAAAGAATCTTATGCAACGAAAAAGTGAGATTCCATGATACACCAATTACAATTTGACTACAACTCCAAACATGTATATGCTTAAATGTATAATGATAATACAGTTAGGAAACTATTCTGATACAAAACTCCTTAAAAGTAAACATACTCATCTCTTTAATGTATATTTACAGTAATTAATAGTCTTAAAATCATCAAAGGCAGCAGAATAAATTAACTTGGGTTCAAAAAAAAAGTTATTACAGTCATGAGATAAAGTGTTTGTTCACAATAAAAGAAAACTCTCAGTAAGATAATATTGAAAAAAAGAGGAAAATATGTTAACAAGCAGATAAAAATCTTGTTATTACATAACAAAATGAAGGGAAATGAAATATACATGTCCTCATTTTCCTCTAGCTTCCCAACTGAAATACTATGATTAGTATTAATATTTACAAAAAAAACTATGAAAAAAAAGCTTGAATGAACAAAAAAAGAGGGTAAAAGTAAATCATGAAAGCGTATACTTTTGCACAATTTGCATGTATACAAAAATTCATTTTGACTAGTAACGCTCAGTTGGCAAACATTTAGCCAGCTGTTTCACACTACTTATTATGATTAGTAAGTAACAAGATTTGTACACAACAATTTTTCAATCAATATAAAAGATGGAGTGAAGAATTGCTCAATTGCAATCCATTTCAGCATCTCTAAAACAAAGTGATAAGACATTAAGATATACAAGTTATTGTCAGTGAAGAAACGAAACTGTTACAAAGTGAAGCTTTTTCATACAGGATAGCTTGTGAATCTCCGTCGTTGATTGGACCGACTTGATCGGTGTTTAGTTCTATTTAGAACACGTCAGCGAGTGCTGCTGTTCCCAATGGGACTCGAGCTCATGACTGATCCCTCCAAACATCAAAACATTATCCACTAGACCACTCCATCATTAATATCTAAACTGAAGATATAACCAATACTGAGGCATCCGTACAGGAGTGCACATGTCAACGGTTCCCGGTCAATTCGGTCCAATCGACGACGGAGAGTCACGCGCTAACATCAAAAGGTATACGGCATTCGTTGCACAAGCAGTTGCTATCGTGAATCAGTAGTTTAAAGTAAGAGACTTGAAGCGACTAATATTGGGTATGCGCCTTGGTTGTAAAAATACCACTCACTAGGAGGGCAAGTGGGACCAAGTTTTGAGTCCGAAACAGGATCGAACGTAGGTCCTGCATTCCACTGCTAACTATGATCCATCATTAATATCAAAGTAACGCTTGCTAAACACTTGTTTTCATAACGCTCAAATAGATTGACTGTTCTTTGCTGGATAACATCAAAAGAATCCTTCAAAATGCCAACACGAAGTCTACCAACATGTTGAACTGAGCCAACATTCAGTACACACGAAAACGTCGTGTAGACATGTGTCACTGTAGATCCTTTAAGAGAAATATCGATAGTATTCTACAGTAACTGACTCTTATCCTCTACACAACCCCAAAACAGAAGGAATATATTTCCTTACATGCCTCATATCAACAATGGACTGATATTATACTGTATCTTAGTCTGACCATGTTTAGCTTCCTTCAAAATCACACCTGTGCCATCTAACAAATGCCAACGAAGCTGCTGGTAGTTCGAAATGAGAAACACTTATCCGAGTAACAAACCAATCGACTGACTTCGCGAGTATTCAATACCTAAACGTAACAACTGTTCACAAGACGATTTCATTACACACACAACCGATGTTACGAAGACATCTATACAACGTATAAGGTACTTCAATGTGGAAGATAAATAGCAGTCTGATCACACACGTACTCATCGTAGGCATTCATATGCGAAGTCATGAGCATATGAGGTGAGGAAATGAAAAGTGGTCAAGTGGGAAGGCTGGATTAATGGTCAAATAACAATGAAAATCAATATTGGCGAAAATAATAACACATGGAACTTGATTTCACAGTTGAATTCACCAAAGGAGATTCAATGTAATAACTAACTGCTTCTTTAACACATATGAATGGTTTAAACTTCCTAAGAGCTAAGGTCTAAACGAAGTGGCCATATCAATCCTGTAACTTGTCTCAACGATATGTTTCATAATCGAAGAACTTTGACGTCTGCTACCAACATTTATGGGTTCAGGTGATCCCATTTGCTTCTGAAGGCACTTTCCAATATGTTTCGAGGCCTTTACTTGCATGACTGTATGACTCTTCTCTATGTATGTGTCATCTTGTAATAGCGGCGTTAAGTCTCTGTTTAAGGATTGCGCTATGAGAGTCATCTTTGTACGGAAGACTGATGAATACATCGTTCTTTTGGGACAAAGTTCTATGATGTCAATGTATAAATCGCAAACGTATAAGCTTGCCCAGTGGATAGTACAAATACTGGATCCCACTAAGAAACGATTCTTTAAGTTTTCCTTAAAACATACATTTGAAGTAATCAAATGCCTTGATGATATCATTTGACACTATCTCACTATCTCACCAATATCCTTTTGATCAAGACAATTGACACCTCATATGATCATATTTCTGTGCATAAATATTCAGTATGCATTTCTTTGAATCATTTCAAAAGGGCTACTACTTTTTATGCACAAGTAATATTCAATTCACATTCAAGGGTAAACACTTCCTACCAGGTTGATGGCGTTGCCATGGAAAAACATTTGGGTCCCCTCTTACCTGACGGGATTTATGTCAAATGTGAACCTAATAGATCAAGCCCATCTATCTCTACTGAAGACATGTTATTATTATTATTATTATTATGATTATTATTTTTCCATTGGGTTCCTAGTTGTACATACCGCTTCAGTAGCACATCTTCATTGCATTTTCTTCTCTACAGGTCTTTTGGACCTCGCTCCACGACTGCCCACAGCCTTTCATTTCTTCCTCACATGATCTCCTCCATGTCACCCTCGACTCGGACGCCCAACTCGTCGTTCCCCATTTGGATTCCACTGGACGGCCTGGCGCGTCATGTCCCCAATCGGCCGTCTCAGTGTATGCCCAATGCATCTCCATTTGCCTCTTCTACATACTTGTTAGGTGATAGGTTCTTGGTTGGTTCGTTGCCAGCCACACTGAGTTCCTTGTTAATCATTCTTTCCGACCATTTGATCTTCAGTATCGAGTGAGAGTAGACGACAGCTGTTGATGAGTGCCTGTAGTTTGTTGGAAATGCTTTTTGTGATACGCCAAGTTTCTGAATCATATAGCAGCACTGACTTGACATTGGTGTCGAAAATCCGTGTCCTGTTCTTTGTGCTGAGTGCAGTAGATCTCCATACTGATTATTTCAGATTAATGAAAGAAAGACTGTCTTGCTGTCTTTCCGATCCTGGTTTTGATATCCTCGTGTGTGCCTGTGCCGCCTATAGTTGAAACAATGCTGCCCTGCCTAGGTAGGTGAGAGAGACTACTTCCTTCAGGTTTTACTCTCCCGTTGATGGTGATTGGTGCTTGTTGTTGATGTTGTTGTTGGTTGGGTATCTTCATCACTTCTGTCCTCTCTACATTCACTTCAAGTGCCGTTTTCGCAGCCTCTTCTGTCACCTTTTTAGTTTTTGCCTGTGGATCTTCGAGCTTGTGCGACATTAGACATAAATCATCATCAGCGAAATCCAAATCTTCTTCCAACGTCTTTTAAGGGGAGTACTAGAAAGTAACGAAGAATTAGGTTACACAAGAAGAGAATGTAGACTGCTTCACCATCTATACGTATTATTTCGTTGGTGTAACCGAGAAACTAACATTGACCTCGTTCTTATCATCGAAAAATACCACTAAAGGGGTGATAAGACTACCATTTGGTTACGGAATTAGTTTTCACTGGACAATATTTCTCGGCATTAAATTCCACTGGTAAGTTAAATGACATAGGTGTTTATTGATAACTTGCTGGATATCAAATACTCTTCTCATGCCTGCTGTTAGAAGTATGGTCAACTCTCACTCATCCAAAGGAATGAAACTTCGAAGAAAGTAATGGATTGGGGATATACAGTCTCTTTACTTGTCAATAAGAAAAAGACTGTAGTAAAGACAATGTCGATAATGAAGCCAAGAGTTACCTTTAATCCCTAATCTCTATATGTGTAAAGCAAGTCCTCATAAACAGTAAAAGTAAGCAAAGAACAACTGACAACAATCAGTGAGGACAAGGCGACTCTTCAGAGATTTCTGTTATAAACTGGGTTTGTTAGGAAGTGGCTAAAAATGGAAATCACCAGTCAAGGTCATTCACCATTGGGGTAAAAATATTTTCGTTTCACATCTTGATTGGTCAAATTAATTTTACACCACAATTTTATCCTTCGCTCTGATTGGTGGTTTCATTTTCTGAGTAGCAGCTGTATATAAATACGACGCTTTTTAACAAATAAGACCGTCTTCCTTAAGTCACTCACAAGCCCGTCTTTTGTCTTTTGATTTTCGCGGCTCACTGAAGTATCAGGTGTAAGGGAGAACAGTCGCATTTGTCGTATCCAGTCCAAATATCTCGTTGCATTATTACTCATTCCGCTTATTATTAGAACCCATATCCGGGCTAATAATCTCGACCGATGGCCCAGGTTAGAGCAGATGAAACTGAATGGGAAATCACAATCCATTGCTTGAAAACAGAATGCTCAAATCGATGAGCCACACACAGACTTGCATAGAACAACCAGTCATCCAACCTAAAAACTTCCTGAACAGTATGCATCTTTACAATCTACTGAGTGAATAAAGAATGGGCTTGACAAAGAAAAGTGAAGGTTACACAGTTTTGTAACAGTTGCTCAGTGGACCAAACTTTTCCTAGACACATGAATTAAGAACGTGTAGGAAGAAATTATGGAAAGACTTACATGTTGAAATGATTATAAAATCAATGATCAGTAGGAGTAGAAGATGCGGTGGCATGACTTAAATCTTCAGTTAACAAGCTCAGAGAATCATCAGTTTCATCTTGTTCATCAAAATATTCATTTGTTGGTTGGTTGTGAGATGAGAAAACATCTTCGCGATTTAAAGAGGAATTAGTAATACTAGAGGAAACAATGGTAGTATGAACAGGTATTTGTGACATAGTAACAGATTGCAATGGTATATTCCTTGAAGGTATTGAATTCATACACTGAGGCTGTATAAGTGATGGTGGCGGCGGGGGAGGCGGTTTTTTGAATGACTGTGATACACCCAAACGAACTGAAGGATTTGGACTATAAAATTGAAGTATGAAAAAAATTTTTTTATCTTTGACTGAATATTCACGCATTTGCTATTGACAAAAGTACTACCGAGAACCATAAATAAAACGGAGGGAGTATTACCGCTTATATTAATTCCACTATTTCCCAAACATTACCTGCTACCTTGACGTGGTTGTCAGGCTTTCATATCACAATGACCTAGTGAGCTACAGTGACTGGAACGCTTGTTCCCTCGAGGTTTTCCATCCCAGAGAGGTCTGTTGAATAATGGTAAGACGAAAAGCAGCTCCCCTTGTTGTGGAAGTTACTACACTATGATGAGGACTTCAGGTAGAAGTCGTACTGCAGCTAGCTGGATGGGGTGTGACAGTAGTGAAGTATTTCCCTTGGATGACCAGCAGTCCAACCTTGATGTTGCCTTCTAGGCGGCGTATTAATGTTTGTAACAAAATCTCAATATTCCCAGAAGACCGTATGTGGCCAGCCTCAAGCAGACGTTCTATGGACTGTATGATCCTATAAATCTTCTCTTTCAGGAACCTTAGGAAGGAATGTTTTTACACGGTGTGGGAAGCAGGAAAGTGTCAACCATCCGCACGCTTCCAGTAGTTCACAAGACTGGATCACATACAACCTATTCCTCTCAACTCCACCTTTGATGGGATCAGCGTGTGAGTAATCTTGAGGTCAGGTGAAGGCGACTCGATTAATGTGGTTGTGAAGTTTAGTCGATCGAGATTGCTTGGACATGTACTCTACAGGCCAAGCCACTGTCTATGGTAGGGGGAGTTAGATTTGGTTAGAAGATGGCTCAGAGTAGTCAAACCAGAACGTTAGTGTCAGCCGTGTTGGAAAATGTAGATTACCTTACTGGGGGTTCGGAGAAGAAAGTAATCAGTGGTTGTGAACTCCTGGTGATATGACTAAAATTCGGTCTCAGTGGTGCAGATGAACTCACTCCCTGACATCTTCTAAAGCTTGAGTTTTTATGCTTACCTTTATCTTCAGATTGTTTACGCTCTCACACACCATTGTCTACTTTAATATCACTCTTTTTCTGTCGACTTGTTCTTTGTATACTAGTGTAAAGTGTAGCGACTTGAACCAATGCCCTGTGTGTGAGGTTCTACATTGATTTTGTCTATCTTTCTGCTTATCTGTCTGTCTGTCAGATCCCATTTCTTGATCAAATGACTTCTGTGTGTCTTAATGAACATAGAATCACAGTGAAGTAATTCAATTTGTAGGTTTGTGGGGATTTATTTACTGATTTCAGATTGGTATTCATCATGCACTCACACCACTTGGAGAAACATTAGAAACCTGGGAGCACTGGACAGCTGTTTCGTCCTCAGCAGTGAGCAACCACGACATCATTAGTAATCAAACCTAGGACCTTCAGGTTCCGTGGCCAGTACATCAACATTGAGCCGGAATCTAATGGCCCATACTTCTTACATGTATCAGTTCACGATATATCGCGGTCTCCATCCAATCTTTGATTGAGTAAATGTCCTCATGTTCGACTGTCCAGTGACTCCCAGGTCTCCAATGTTTCTTCAACTGGTGTCTGTCCATCATAAATACCAACCTGAAATCCCAGAAAGCTCCAGATTGAATTAATCTAGCGCTCATTGGTAACTAGATTCGAGAAGTGATTCCAGAAGTTCTCATGAGAAGTCGTTACTGAAGGGTTCAAATAAGTCGAAAATGAGGACAGCTACTCAACGACGGCATTGGATGGAAGTTGCCCTATATCCTGGACTAACAGCAGTAAAAAATGTGGACCAGTGGGCTACGACAAAGTGAATCAGTGGTAACATACTGGCCATGGAATATAAAGGTCCTGTGTTCGATCCCTAGCGGAGCGGTGTCGTGAGTGCGGAGTGCTGGAGAGTCCCATACTAAGACGAAACAGCCGTCCGGTGCTCCCAGAATTCCAATGTTTCCCTAGCTGATTTCAATCTACGGAAGAAAGAAATTTGGAAATAAGTCGATCTCCTCAAACCACCGATCAAATTATTAATTTATTGATGGCAGTTTTTTAATAGTATGAAATGGGTTATTTTAAATAAATACTGTAGAACTATAAAAGTTTAGTAATTGTCTTATTGTTGTGTGTCGATGTTGCCGACTTTAAGACAGAATAGAAACCTATTTCGCCTCATGTTTCACCACTAAAATCCTGCTTTCAAATTGAAATATGGCATCAAATAGTTGTTGTTCCTGACACACTGCAATACTGTGTGTGTGTGTGTGCCAGCGTTATCCCAACTGTACTCAGGTGGAAGCTGAAAGCTTCAGGTGTTGTCCTATATATCATATCTCCTCGAAATGTTTGTTTTAGATTTTATTCCTTAAATGAAACGACTGAATCGTCCTGGCATCCATCATATGTCGGTTTATCACATAGTCATACTCACTGTTATGCAATAGGCTTGCAAACGTCCGGTGCAAAAATTAAGTTATCAAGTTACAACTTTATACTACTTAAATCTGTAAGAGTAGAACATCAATTTCACCTAAATAATTCTATTCATTTTAACAATCCTATGAAAGTTTTATGTTGGAATTCATCATGGACTGACATCAGTTGAAGGAACATTGGAAACCTTGGAGCACTAAACACATGTTTCGTCCTAGTATGGGACTTCTCAGTAGTGTGCACCCATGACCCCACCAGGGATTGAATCCAGGACCTTTAGGTCCCGTGGCCAGCACGTTACCACTGAGCTATCCACTGGGTCGGAATCCAATCGTTCACACTTCCTACTTCTATCAGTTCATGATATAGCGCGAATTATATCCAATGTCGAAGCTAGTCACTAATGAGCGGTAGATAAATTCTATATGGAGGTTTGTGTAGGGTTATTAATTAATTCTAAGCTAGAATTCATCATCACCTGATGTCAGTCTATGATGAATTCCTACCTAGAATCAATTAATAACCCCGCACAAACCTCCAGATAAAATTTTATGTGCCTGACAGAGTTGTGTGTATGAACAGGAATGTTGAGAAAAGCCACCTTAGATGGAGCTTAATAGGGTGAAACAGATGGTCTACAGATTACCAGTAACGTGAGTAGCTCATCTCATGTACACAACTACCAATCAATTATTTTGCTGAATTGGTTCTATCGATTCGTAAGAATTCGTACGAACACAGAAAAAACGAAAAGGTAACAGTAACACGAGTACGAATAATAACGACAACACAAGTAAGAAGAAGTTCACAGCCTCTACTATGTTACCATATAGTGGAAGGTACATTAGAAACTTTAAATAGGATCCTCAACAAAGTTGGAGTTAGGATGGCACTTAAACCTACAAATTCACAGACAAACTTTGTCGGTTGACTTAAGGATCTGAGAAAACCAATTCAGCAAAATAATCTGATCCATCAAATTTCATGTAATCACTGTAAGTGGGGTCAAGTACATAGGTGAAAGTAGCCTATTGGGGTCCGTTAGAATAGCCGAACATACTAGTTTACCTAAATATAGAGTAACAGACCTGAATAACATCAATAATCTAGGAAAAATGACTCGGCTATTGACATGCATTGATCAACACACAACCACACAATAGAATGAGTGGGATAAAACCACTGTAAATTCAATCCAACATAATTAGGTGGAGAAAGGGAAAGATTGATTAATGAATCTTTGTTCATCGAATCAACACCCACCTACCTATACCAGAGATATGGAAAATTTCACTACCAACAGGAATAAATAACATCAGGTGACAAGACTATAAAAAGGAGTGTGATCCCATTCATCTAATTATGAGTAGTGATAAGTGATGATGCTCGAAACATTGTCATCATGTAAATCATACTGTATCATTGTGTACTGGTTATATCAAATAAATAAATCTTATATGGAATTAAACCAAGCGATCGACTATGTGCTGAGTACAAACATGAATTTGCCAATCAAGACTTGACTGTTATGCCTGTATGAAGTTTGCAGTTCAGGCAAAGAGAGGATGTTAAGTTGGGAACCCGTGCTAACTATTCTTGTTTATAATATTGTTACTTTGTCTATAAAATGACTTCAATACTAAATTATTCAAGTTGTAAACAAAGCGGATTAGAGTTCACACTTTTGAAGTAAAAATTAAGTTAAGTACTCGAACCAGTCAGCTTTCATTTTACACTAAGTAGAAGTGTTAAATATGAGGATGTTCAACATCATGAAGCTTATTTTACCTTGAACGTGGAAGCATACGAGGTTTTGGTGGTGGATCATTTGAATGATGAAAAAGATGCATAAAAGAAGATGTAGTACTTGAAAGTGATGGTTGAGAAATTAGACTTTTGTCATTGACTGAATTCTGTTTGTTCTGTTGACTAGCAATGTATTCCTCATCATGGATAATTTGTAATGCAATTGGTAGACTGGATGAACTATTGATTGAAGATGATCTTGTCATAGTTGTCGCTGTTGTTGTTCTTGTCCCCGTAGATAAGGAGGATGTAAACGTGGATGATGATGAGGAGGAGGATGATGACAACGATGACTGGAACGACTGTAAAGATGTTTGCGATGAGTATTTGTCATAACTGAATGAAGTGAACATGTTTTCAGGCCTATAAAATTAGTGAGAAACACAAACACAAAAAAGACCAATATGAACTCGAATGTGAAATTGGATTATCAGCAAAAGCTTAGTGTTACAACTTCATACTGAATGCTTATTGTGTCTACCAGTGTCATAAGCCTTAAATTCAATCTATTCAAGAAGGAGGCGGTATTCAGTAGTTAGTCTTAAACACCATCATTCGTTGGGGTGCTGCTAGATCTAGTTGATGAGTGCCAAATGGGACGAAACCCACATCCTGGATTCCACTAGCAGCCATCGAGTAAATTACCCCTCTCATAATGACTCCTGAATTACAGTCTACATTATAACCTACTAAATGCATAGTGAGATTGTATTAGTGACAGAATAACATTCTAAACATGAGCAATTTTCTATATTCACCTCATGATAATCAGATATTGTATACCTGAGTTTTCCAACTGCTTTGTTACTGAAGTGTTGTGCAGTATTCTTACCATATGTGTGTATATGAGGACGGGTGATGAGTTTGATTTTGACTCGATAAACAGAGATTTGGTAATTAAACTTTAGAATCAAATTGCATAATCTTTTCTGCGCGATATCACAATTGACATGAAGTTTCTGAGCATCAAAAGCCTTAAGACAAATGAGCAATTCACGCTAGCCAGATCAAGATGTACTGAACCCCGAATGCCCATTTCTTTCGTTTGGTGCGAAGTTAACGATAATCAGAAGAACATTTTATACAGCTTTCATGATCGTAATGCAGACAACGCTAATCATGGTGTCAAGTAGATTATAGTACATGGTCTGAATATTTTGGTTCTCATTGAAAACCATGGTGGAACTATTCACCATGAAATACCTGATTTGATTCTAAGTGTAGCTAGTTCGTTCAAGTAATTAGTCAAATCCGGATGGTTTGAATATTGAATCAACCCAGGTACATGGCTGTGATAAGCCCAACTCCAAAAGAAGAAAACAGCCTTGATCTGGCCAGCGAACACTGCTAACCAGTGTGAGTGGTAAGTCAGTAGTATATTTCATAATCAGAATCTACTTTCTTCATCCGAGTTATACTGCATAACCATCTTTCTGCATTAGTATGTGAAGTTGCTGTATACATTACCCTCGACAGCTGTCCTAATATGTTACTGGCTTTATTAATCGAGCATAATGCGCTTGTTTCAAGTCTTCGGAGAACATAAGAACTGATACCACTGCTCAGATGAATGAGTTAATTAACATGCGCCAAAATTATTTACATCGCTTTACTGATTGAACAAATACTGTACATTTACAGGTTGGTATTCATCATAAAGTGATACCAGTCGGAGAAACTTTGGAAACCTGAGAGCATTGTACAGCTGTTTCGTCCCAGTATGGGACTCCTCAGCAGTGCGCGCCTATGACCCTACCAAGGATCGAAACCAGGGCCCTCAGCTGCCACAGCCTGTACGTTACCATCGAGTCGTTGGGTCAGAATCCTTTGGTCCACATTTCCTACTTCTTTCAGCTAACAATATACAGCGACCTGTATATCTCTAGCAATTCGCCCACTCAGATTGTTGGAAGGCGTCAGATTGAATTGAAGTTTTCGTGGCATTTCTTAGGGCATAACCAGTAGTTCATTTTTGCCTCCATTTTCAAGGTTATTCGTCGACTGGTCAATGATAACTTATACTATGTTAATGTTTCAAATTCTGGACAAGGTTATGTTTCATGTACATATGTGTTTGAGTTAATGAACTATTCTTCTCGGAGGAATAAATTCTTTCATCCAGATCAGTCTTCATCTCTATTTCGTCTAGGTTGCAGTCGGTGCATCTAGAGTACGAAGTTACCTGTCAGTCAAGTATGTATATTATACCCTTCACGGAGGTAGAGCAATTCTGCGCTGTATCGTAACAAGAAACTACAAGTATCATTACAACAACCGACACCTGTTGCACAAGAATTGGCTGTCGTGCCCCAGTGGCTTAGTGGATAACGCTCAAACGTTCAAAGCGATGATTACTGGGTTGGAGTCCCGGTGAGAACAACACTCACTGGGGTACAGGTACATTCAGCTGACGAGTCCCAAATAGGATGAAACGCGTGCCCTTGATTCCTCTGCTAGTCACCAAGATCAATATAACATAATATTCATTTGATACACGAAACAATAGTTCATACAAAATAAATTAAATCACTTGGAAACCATTATCAATGGTGTAGAGGAAGAAGCCGAATATAATCTTCACTCAATTAAGCAAAACAACAAGGATGAACATTGACAGCAAGCTATACAATCACACGCAATATAAACATAGCAGCAACGAAAAGAAACACTGAAATACACACAGAATAATAATGAAAGTCAAAATTACATATACAACAGCCAGAGCAACAAAGCTATAATATGTATATGCAAATTCAACATACAAGTGAACACAACATGTAGCAATATGGAAATGATTATTTTGAAGATTGTCAGCGGGAATAGATGACTAACTACCATGTAAATATATGATAGAGCAACAACCAATCAAATACGAATGTCCTTCACGGGTCATAGTGTTGACCTTTGTGTTAGACCCTCACGCTTTTGCGATCTTATAAATTCCCCATACATTTAGCTAAATACAATATGATAATGTGGATTACGTGAGCTAAAAGTCTAGCTTTGTCTTCTCTGTGAGTTAGCTGGTGTGACGTTACTAGTAGTAGGTTTCAAAGGGAAACACATAAATTGAGATTATGATCAGTAACAACAACCAAATCGTCAAGACACGAATATTAACAAACATCTATGCAATTATGCATGCTTTATAAATCATACTGACGATGTAAATAGTCATCCGCTGATGGAGTTACCTGACGGTAATGTCTAACAACTTTAACTTTACAGCCAAAAAAGGGTAACAATGCCTAAGAGCAGTAGGTTATCTTTCTTATCCATGTTGAACTCAGGGACTAATGAAGCGTTCCAAAACAGATAACAAGTGCTGTTTCAGTCTTCATAACATATTTAGTGACCACTTGAATGTTGTACACACATGACCATGATATTTCTGGCACAGGAGACATTGTCGATTGTCAGGAGGTGGAGACACGCACATACACACACACACACAAAAAAAAGACAAACCCAACAATTCAAACACGCAAAAGTGAAATAATGAACACAAAATTATTTTTCTCTTTTTCATCTTTTAAACAACCTACCTATGCAATATTTGATCTATATATGCGTAAAAAATATTGGGAATTTACGATTAAATAGAACGGAGAAGTGAATGTTAATTTATATTTCTCATTTTAATGTGAACAGACGAACCAACTAAAGTACAACTGCACTGATTATGCTATCTAGCTTGATATGTACACGTTCGCCAAGCAAAAAATAACTCAACACCAAAAAGATATAACAACTCAGTTAACACACTTTTGATTTTTATGGCTGAAAAATAGGGGGGAGGGGGTGTTAGACAACGAAAGATTTAAGGAGATAAGACGAGTAAGATTCTTGACTGAGATTAGTTCATGAAGGGTTAGACGCATACAACATCAAGCACAGTGAAACAAATAGGCAGGCTTCAGTAATCAAACATTTTTCGTCGATGAAAAAGGTGATGCGTTCTTTATTAATGACACCGGCTCATTCAAATCACTTCGTCACAGTTTAATCGCACAGCCAGTAAAGCTTCTTTTAACTTTGGACCATGCTATGATCCAGGTTTTCTGACCATGATCTTTAAATCCATAGTTAGGTGAGTGGAAGACCTTTCAGAGGAAATAACATCAGCGAATGCGATTTTAAGAATATGGAAAGGGAGAGAAACAAAGCACAGTGAAACTGTTGCCTTGTAACTAAGTCATAACAGACTATAACCATCTGCCAATCCCAGGCATACTTCTGAGTTGGGTGGAGGATGATTCACAAAGATTTTTAATTTACAAGAAGACTATTTGAACAAAATGTTGCTTTTCATCGGAACCAGTGTCATCTGTACATCAGATGACATCAAAATACCGACTGGAGCATTGGTAGACAATGGATATTCTCTGAAGTTCATACATCACCAGTGTAGAAGTCAGTTAAGGTGAAAACCTACTGAATATTTTGTTATAAAGGAAAGCGTCTACAGACAGACACTAACAAAGATCGACGAATCAAGCAGTATAATTTTGAAATCTCGTCGCCATATAAAAGATTATGTCAACTCCCACCACGTTCACGTGTATATATGTGAACACAAAAACACAGAGAGGACTGTTTGAGATAGGCACTTGACGGTGATGGAAAATGCACCCGAATGGCTACAAAAATAACTGGCTTTGTAGACATCAACAAGTAAAGATAGCAGATAACCATCTTCACTTCTGGTAAATGCCACAGGATAGGAATCTGAGACAGATTCGTTGCAGCGCTAATCATATGCACAATAAACCCCTCCCCCCCAATACTGTATTCTGAAAAACAATTTTTTATCAAGCTAAATTCCCTCCATCTATATTCATCTTTTTACTACTAAGTTCGACTTGAAAGAATATATTTAAAACAGCTAACTCCCTTTACAAAGAAGAAGATATAAATTGTCTGAACCGTGTCATGTATATCTGCGCAACACATTTACAACAGTCTCATCACACATGTACTTGTTATAGGCTGAGGAAATGAAAAGAGGTCAAGTGGGAAGGCTGAATTGATGGTCAAATAACAGTGAAAACCAATATTGACGAAAATAATTACACATGGAACTTGATTTCACAGTTGAATTCACCAAAGGAGATTCAATGTAATAACTAACTGCTTCTTTAACACATATAAATGGTTTAAACTTCCTAATAGCTAAGGTGTAAACGAAGTGGCCATGTCAATCCTGTAACTTGTCTCAACGATATGTTTCATAATCGAAGAACTTTGACGTCTGCTACCAACATTTATGGGTTCAGGTGATTCCATTTACTTCTGAAGGCACTTTGGAATATGTTTCGAGGCCTTTACTTGCATGACTGTATGACTCTTCTCTATGTATGTGTCATCTTGTAATAGCAGCGTTAAGTCTCTGTTTAAGGATTGCGCTATGAGAGTCATCTTTGAACGGAAGACTGATGAATACATGATTCTTTGGGATAAAGTGAAGAACTGGTTTAGGTTCTCTGGTTATTTTGTGCTACCAAAGTATCCTCTGTGCATATTCGTTGAATTCTGCTAATTATACACCTAACTAACACTCACTTGTACTGAACTGGACAAAAGATGTGATGTACCTTCAGAAGCAAATGGAATCACCTGAACCCATAAATGTTGGTAGCAGGCGTCCAAGTTCTTCGATCGCGAAACATATCGTTTAGACAAGTTACAGGGTTGATATGGCCACTTCGTTTACACCTTAGCTCTTAGGAAGTTTAAACCATTCATATGTGTTGAAGAAGCAGTTAGTTATTACATTGAATCTCCTTTGGTGAATTCAACTGTGAAATCAAGTTCCATGTGTTATTATTTTCGCCAATATTGATTTTCATTGTTATTTGACCATTAATCCAGCCTTCCCACTTCACCTCCTTTCATTTCCTCACCTCTTATGCTCATGACTTCGCATATAAATATGCCTACGATGAGTACATGTGTGATCAGACTGCTATTTATCTTCCACATTGAAGTACCTTATACGTTGTATAGATGTCTTCGTAACATCGGTTGTGTGTGTAATGAAATCGTCTTGTGAACAGTTGTTACGTTTAGGTATTGAATACTCGCGAAGTCAGTCGATTGGTTTGTTACTCGGATAAGTGTTTCTCATTTCGAACTACCAGCAGCTTCGTTGGCATTTGTTAGATGGCACAGGTGTGATTTTGAAGGAAGCTAAACATGGTCAGACTAAGATACAGTATAATATCAATATTGATTTTCATTGTTATTTGACCAATAATTCAGCCTTCCCACTTGACCTCTTTTCATTTCCTCACCTCATATGCTCGTGACTTCGCATATAAATGCCTACGATGAGTACGTGTTGGCCAGTCTGTTGGAAATGTGTAGCGCATATACATATGACACGGTTCAGACAATTAACGTCTTCTTATTGTTTTCTCGAAAATCAATATATTCAGTTTAATGGTTTTGACTAGATAATTCATTGATTCCAAGGTAGGATTCATGAGAAAATGAAATCAGTTGGGAAACATCACTGAGAACTTAGGAGCAGTGTAGAGCCGTTTGATCCCAGCATATGCATGACCTCACTACGGATCGCATTCTCACATCCTTTATCGTAATTTATGGTTTATTTGACCTCCTTAGTTCCAATTTACATTCAAAAAGACGAATTCAAAGGTAAAACCTTTTTATTCAAAGGATTTTAGTGGTTGTATATACGCACAACCTAGAGTAAAGTAAAATAAACACCTGACAGCTTCAATGTACTAAACTAATCTTGTGATTGAGAAATCCTGTACTCATTTAGAAATAAAATCTGAAGACTCCATTTTAGTCTGTTTATTAGATATATCAAACACACTGACCAGATGATAGTATCGTCTACTGCATAATGTACGTTTCGGAAACAATTTATTGTCCGTATTCATATCAGATAAATAACTACACAACATTCAGACAGACTTCATATAGTCATAATCCTCTCTCCTTCTTTGTGACATCTGGGACAGGTACACAATCATTTCTATCTCTGCATATATTTGGTGTTGATTCGATAAACAAAGATTCAGTTGGATATCAATCTCTCCCTCACTGCAACCAACTAAGTTAGTTTTCAATGCTGTCGCTCTATCCCACCCCATTGTATAATTGTGTGGAACTGTGGGCAGAGCTATAGCCAAGCTTTTCTCTGCATTCCTTATCTTATTCCCTTCTACTAATCTTAATTTGGCTGAGCTTTTGTGCTCTGTTATTCTAATCGACCCTGGTCAACTACTTTCACCTATGCATTTCACCTCACAATCATTCCAAGGGATTTGGTAAACCAGATTATTTTGCTTAATTGTATCAATCGGATCTTTTAACCTACAAAGCTTGTTTCTAAGTCAGTTTGTTGGTTTGAATGACACTCTAATCCGAGCCAGTCTCATTGACAATTCTTCGTAATGATTCTGAGGTGCTTTCCTTGTATGCTAACACAGAAGAGGATTTGAATTCTGTCTCAATCCTGTCACTATTATTACTATCATTAGTAGAATTATTACTAATAATACCTGTGTTACTACTACTACTACTACCACTACTATTATTGCACATATCTTTCTCTCGATTTCTCATCAATCTATTTATAAATATAGGTGGGCAATTATTGAAACTCAAGGTATTCTTGATGTGTCTGATTTCTTGTCGTAGATTTCCTGGTCTACTAGCATGCTGTACCGCCGCCCTATCACTTAGACATTTAACTAGGCCTACTTTAACTGAAATGGGGTGGGATGATTTGAAGTCTAAGTAGGGATCCGAATGGGTAGGTTTCCTATAGACACTAGTCTCTAGATTTCCTTCTTGTGTTCGTTTAATCTTGCAATCCAACATTGTTGGGTCACCTTCATCTTTATCAAAGTCACAAGTAAGTTGAATTACATTCACTATTGAATTAATGTGTTAAGAACCTACTGATGTGTTCCAATTTCAGTACTTAGAGTGTGCCATCTACATATCGGAACCATATCTTCGGAGTAGGAGTAAATGTTTGAAGGGTCATCCGTTCGCAACTATCCATAAATATGTCTGCGATGATAGGGGATATTGGTGATGCCATGGATCGGCTATAGCTATGCACTCAATTACACACAATCATATAAATAGGGTAGAACAACAGAGCGACAGCGTTGAAAACTAACTTAGTTGGGTGGACGGAGAGGGAAATCGATCATCGAATCGTTTTTTAATCAAGTTAATACCAAATACATGCAGTGAGTGGAATGATTTTGCACCTGTCCCAGATATATGGAGAATCCTACCGCCCTTTTCATCACAAAGAAGGAGAGGAAATTAGGACCATATGAACTCTTTGTCAAAGTTGGGGAGTTAGTTGTCTGATATGAATATGGATAATAAATTATGTCCGAAACGTTACCCAGTAAACAATTCTATCCCTTCACTGTATGTGGTATTTCTAGCACAGTACTCAAGTTCTACCTTTATATTAAAACCTGAAGAAAATAGATTTCAATAGGCAACTAGTACGACACTCTGACACATCATCATTACATAATATTAAAATCACGTACGTGAAAGCTAAAACACTGTTTCAGCAATAACGTACATGCCTATACACTACGTATTGAGTGGAGTCTATCTGGCTGCAAAAACCTCGGAAGATGAAACGAGTTACGAACCAACAAACCAATGGTTGAAAGCTGTCTGTAAGGACCAGTGAATAACACTTAGATGTAAATAGATGAAGCCAGATTGGAAATCGGGATCTAAGACCTGAAAGTCGAGTGAATATCACCAATGGGATCATAACTCCAAGCCCCCAATTGTATCAATGCTAATAATAAAGAGATTGGTGTTTTAAGCATCAACTGATCACTGCAAAGCAACCAACCGCCAAACTAGAAGCTCAACATCACGACGTACTTTCAGTGCATGTTAGTTGGTTACAATTGGTAGGAATCCCTGCTTCATCCGGGTTTCGTGTTTATCAGCACTCATCAGCAATGTGTGTTTGCAACCTCGAGAGAACTAACATCCCCTGGTAAGTTCAAAACCACATCATCATCATCCATTATCGAAGTCAGCGAGGTTATTAATGTGTTATTCAGGCAGAAAATAACTTCGTATTGGACTGGATTACATACACTGATTGGTCAATGGATACCAACCAATCTCATGTTGTCTAGTGCTGATTAATATTTTATATTTATGCTAAACTCTAACAAACTTGTAAAGATTAATCACCCAGATTAGTTTGCATAATATCAATGGACAAGTGATTAGAAATAAAGTGGATAACAATACTGAGTTGAACAGGAATAATTTAAACATCGGAAGAAAACATTCATCAATTCAATGTTAACTTACTAGATAGACGACAAGGATAACCGTTACCAATAATCGGAGTAGTATAAATAGGTTCCACATTATTTTCACCATTCATCATATGGTTACTAATTGGTGTTAGAGTAGTAGAAGTACTACTACTACTACTACTACAAGTATTCACTGTGGATGTTCCATTATTATGAATTATATCATCAAGTGGAGATGATGTTGATGACAACATTGAATTATGAATTGGTGGTAGAATTTTAGACAAATGAATTGGAAAAAGACTTGAATAATTGATAATCATCAATTCAACAGCAGTTGAAGCAAATTTAGTCGACATAATAGCTGCCACAGATTCTTCACGTGAACGAAATAATGATGGTGCAAAAACAATCCCCAAATTACTTGGATTCATATGGTTTAGATGGCTATTCGAAGCAACTCTATATGAATTTAAGCGTGAGGGTGCACGTGTTCGTTTGTGTGTGTGTGTATGAAAAGAAACAAAGGCAAAAAATCACGTAAGTTATCGATGCATTTAACATATTGAAAGAATAAGTTATAACTTAATACTATGTTGGCCGACAATTAACGAGAAATCGATGTACTGGTCTAATCTATCCAGTATGTGGATGTGTTTACTATGTTAGGAGACTTCTTATTGCGGTTAGGTGGCGGTGAGAGGTGGTATAGAAGAGTAAGGAGCTCTTACCAACTTACGTCATCTGCGGTGCCACTGTCATGTCCGACTGTCTATTGAGCGTCGTGCGCATTGAACAGCAGTCCACTCTGATCTGCTGTATGGCTCTCAAACATGGCCATTGAAGGTGGAAGACATGAGAAAGCTTCATGCGTTCAACCGCAGTTGCCTTCGTAGTATAGGCAGTATTCCGTGGCGTCACCAAGTGAGTAACGCAGAAGTCAGGTGTAGAGTTTTAGGGAAAAGAGGTAAGTCAGTTGGATGTAGTTGTGAAGCTTCATTGAGTGAGATGGCTAGTTGGGACATGTGTTACGTAAGCCTAGTCACCATCTACCTAGTCACATAATGTTGGCCGAAGTAGGATCAGGCTGGAAAAATGTCCGAGGTGGCCAGACTAAAACATGGCATCAATGTATAAAGTCTTTGATTGTTGATTTGAGCCATGTGGATCGATGCAGACTAGCCGGTTGCAGTGGGTGGGACAAGAGGAACCAGTGGTTGGAGGCTGACTCTACGTGATTAAATGGCTGAGAACCGATGTCAGTGCTCCAGATGTATACACACATTATCCTCATCCTAACACTATACCTATTCTCACCATTTTCCCATTCTTCCTTTCTTCCTTCTCGTACTTCATATTTCTTTTCACTGAATTTTCTCTTCTTCATCTTCCACTTCACTGCCTTTTTAGTTGATGTCTTGATATGAGATGTGATAACTCGGACCGTTACGCAGTAATTTCTGGCTCTAGGTCGATTTAGATGGATGGATGGATGAAGGCGTATTCTGAAGCTTGAGGGAGTCACTATCTACTTGGAGACTGAAAAACACGTTAAGCAGCCCAGCAACCACAAATAACCTTCAGCCCCAGAGAATGAGGATCCAAATAGTTGAATGATAAAGAAAGTCAGATCGGTGGCTTCCTGTCTCTCTAAGTAGGCAGCATAAGTCCATGTATATTGATTTATTCTTAGGATGTAAAACATAATTATACTCCGGAAACAATTTACCATATATATCATACATTCACAACACCCGTTATGCAGTGAATAATACTGTATCACTACAACATAATAATGAATATTTAGGAAAAACCAAGTGATCCACATAGGAGCTCATCTGCTAACAAAGGTCAAGGAATACGACAGCGGACAATTATAAGTTCCAACGAAAAACACCTAAAACCAATTGTACGGCAGGTGACTCTCGAACGTCAGTGGCCTAGTGGGTAACGGTTTGATGCTTAAAGTGATGAGTTCAAGGTTCAAATTTCATTAGGAAAACTATCACTCATTAGAATGCAGGTACACTCAGATGACGAGTCCGAAATAGGATGAAACGTGAGTAGTGAATTCCGCTGATAACCATCAAGTAGACTTCAATACTGTAATCACTGCAAGATATATTCAAAACACGAACTATTGTGGAAATGATGTTCCTATGTTGTCCGTATTGTACTCCTACAACTTTAAAGTTTCTTCCACCACCAGATCCTAACTACATAATTCTACTGTAACTATCGGATGAACAATGCAGAGATTACGGTTGAGCGTATCATACTTGGAAGATGAATACTTCAGAAAAGACTGTTCCAACGTTTATAGCTGGCATACAGGCGGCATTCAAGTACTCTCTACGTCAATGTCGGATATGCAATACAGAAGTCAATACTTACAGAACCAGACAATTTACCTTGTGGGAGGTATGACGTAATCCATGAGTGGAAATATATGTCAATGGAGTACATATATATACTTACTCTTCCCGGTATTCTTGTATTCTTACTTCTACATATCATTCATTTACTTCTCTTACAAACAGTTAATCCCTTCCAGTCTTCTGGTATCCACTGTGATCCAACTTTCGACATTATCTCATAGCCTAATCACTACATAGAACATTGAGTTATGCGTTTACATGTTCAATTATTTGTTTGTGTAAATCGTTTCAATGTATTTTATTGATGAAACTAAACAAGCCGATACACGTTTTTATAGTAGGCTGAGGAGAAGACACATATACAGATAAGCCAGAAAAAACCAAAGTAGAACTTAACGAACAACAATTTTGAGATGGTTGGTGCAAGTATTCAAGGTTTAAGAGACAACAGGGAGTGAATAGGTCTACACCGCTATGACCGATTTTAAGTCACTATCGTCCTCAAGACACCAGTCAGGTAGTTAACATCTCCACACACGGTTCATACCAACAGTCAGAGATTTCATGCACTGGTGCCACGTCCTGTTCTAGTCACCCTCAACCCTTTTCCAACTTAATCCAACTTCTGGGGTAGGCAGTGACTCGGCACATGCAACACATATCCAAGCCACCTTGGTCGACCAAAGTTAACAACCGCATCAATCAACTTGCCTGCCTAGCACCCTTAATCTAGTGTCAACATTACTCACATGGGGATTCCATCAAACGCAAACAATGCTACGAAGACATCTGTGATCGAAAATCTGTAATCCCCGCATGTTTTTTTTATACTTTTAACGCTCATATCTAACAGCCATATAGCAGGACAGGACGAAATGAAGCATAGCATACTCGTCCTTTAACATGTACTCGGATATCTCACCATTCAATCTAAGAGATGAGGCAAATTGACAAATGCCAAACAGGCCTTCCGTTTCCAAGTTAAGATTTCGTCAGCAACCAGCCTGTCCAAAGGGGTCTATGGAACTTCCAAAGTAAGTAAAGCGGTCGATCTATTCCATCAATTCACTCCATATCAATATATTGGGCGTGAATGCAACAGACAAGGCCTGAAGTATCATCTTACAGTTGACAGGGGCGAGTGAAATGCATGCCAAACATCCTCAGACTTCTGCTCAACGCGTTCATTTCGTCAGCATATTCACCTCGTAGGACAACATCGTCCACATACTCCAAGCCAACCAGATGACTTCCAGGGAACAGGTCAATCCGTGTGAATTCAGATGGACCTAAGCTTATGTCGACTAGTACGTCTATGATGAAGTTGAACGGGAACGGTGAGGTAGCACTAATTGTCATCAATTCTGACGACATCTGTTCATAAGTTCTATCTAGTTCCTTCAGAGAAAGACATATGGGATGAGATTTGAATCCTGCACACTTCACTTGACAGTTCAATGACAGTTACATACTGAGTTCTCACCATTTCTACAAGTTAGTTTATGAAGTGATAGAAATGTTGAGAACCAGACGTTTGATTCATAGGACTTCCAAGTGGCCATTTAATCTCTTTTCACTTACTTTTGGCTTACGGAACTGAGTCGAATTGGAAACCATCACACAGTATTTGGATGTCCGTTCCAAACGGTCTACTACATAAACATGTATCGGTTTGACAAATTTCTTCACTGAACCTCGTCGAAGTGATTTACACAAACAAATAATTGAACATGTAAACGCATAACTCAATGTTCTATGTAGTGATTAGGCTATGAGATAATGTCGAAAGTTGGATCACAGTGGATACCAGAAGACTGGAAGGGATTAACTGTTTGTAAGAGAAGTAAATGAATGATATGTAGAAGTAAGAATACAAGAATACCGGGAAGAGTAAGTATATATATGTACTCCATTGACATATATTTCCACTCATGGATTACGTCATACCTCCCACAAGGTAAATTGTCTGGTTCTGTAAGTATTGACTTCTGTATTGCATATCCGACATTGACGTAGAGAGTACTTGAATGCCGCCTGTATGCCAGCTATAAACGTTGGAACAGTCTTTTCTGAAGTATTCATCTTCCAAGTATGATACGCTCAACCGTAATCTCTGCATTGTTCATCCGATAGTTACAGTAGAATTATGTAGTTAGGATCTGGTGGTGGAAGAAACTTTAAAGTTGTAGGAGTAATGTACGGACAATACATTAATATTCATTATTATTTATTATTTGTCCCTTGTGTTCCTAATGGAACATAGGGATTCAGTAGCACGTCTCCAATACGCTCTGTTCTCTGAAATCTCAACCTGGCTCCACGATAGCCCACAACCTCTCATTTCTTCCTCACACGATCTCCTCCATATCACCTTCACCTCGGACGCCCAACTCGTCGCCTACCATCTGGGTTACACTCCAGTCACTGGTGCGTGATGTCTCCAGTCGACCTTCTCAGTGTATGCACAATCCATCTACACTTCCTTCTACTGCACATTTCTTCAGCGATACCTTCTTCGTTGGTTCGTCACCAACCAGAGTTCATCGTTGCTTATTCCTATTATTCTGGCCATCTGATCAATGTTTAGTAACGAGACAGCGTACACAGTTGTTGATGAATGTCTGCAGTTTGTTCCAAATACCTTTCGTAATGCGCCAAGTCTCTCAACCATCACTCAGAAGCACTAACTTGACACTCGTGTTGAAAATTCGGATCTTGTTCACAATTCATGCTCAATGCAGAAGATCTCCACACTGGTTTCAGGCTAATGAACGCCTGTCTTGCTTTTCCGATTCTGACTTTGATGTCCTCGTCTGTGTCACAACTGCTGCCTGTAGTTGAAACAGTGCTTCCTAGATAGGTGAAGGAGGCTACTTCTTTTAAGTTTCTCCCATCGATGGTGATTCCTGTTTGTTGTTGATGGTGGTGTTGTTGGTTGGGTATCTTCATCACCTCTGTCTTCTCTGTATTCACTTGAAGTCCCGTCTTCGCTTCTCTGCCCTGCCTCTTCTGCCAACTTGTGAGTTTTCGCCTGTAGATCTTTAAGTTTGTGCGACATCAGACATAAGTCATCCTTGGCGAAATCCAAGTCTTCTAGGTTCTTTTCCGAAGTCCAGCGTATCCCCCTCTTCTCGCTCCTCACTGTTTGTTGCATGATCCAGTCGACCACAATCAGGAATATCATGGGTGATAGTAGGCAGCCTTGTTTTACGGATAACATGGGAACATTCATTTCCACAATATTGTATTGAATATATCTCGCAGTGACATAGTACTATAGTTTACTTGTTGTTTAACGGTGGAATTCAGAACACGCTGTTCGTCCAAATTAATTAGAAATGAGAAATCCAATTGATTATAGGTTAAACAAACCTTGACAAATGTCCAATTAGCAAATCCAAACTGCGTTGATTCTCCACTGGTAACAATTTCAATAATGCACTGAGCTCAGATAACCGATAGGCATGATCACGTTCTATAAACACAAAAGGATAATAAGTTATGTATGAAATTAATAAACTAACAGATAACAATTTTAGATGATAGATTTATCAAGATTTTATGCTATGCTTCAAGATTTAGTATTTGTTAGCCATTTATCAGATATATATGTTCAATATATCGGATAGAATTGATACTCTCTCGTTAAGTTAAACCGTATTCAACTGGTCAGTACGCTAACTAATCTATATTTAATTGTTAGGGTTAATTACATTCACAGGGGGCTTGGTTCGACATGTTTTCGCATTGTTTTCCCTAGAGGAAAACTTTGAACTCAAGTCTCTAGGCCTAATTAACACTAAATAGGTAACTACTCAATAACCGATTAGCATATTATTCATCAATAAACTTCTATAGTCAATCAATATAACAATAACTTGTTGGTAACGGATAGAAATGTTCATGTAATATTCATAATAATAACAATAAAGTAGTTATTTATGAATAACTTACTCATTGCAGACATAAATGAATCATGAAGTTGAAATGTCATGATTGGTGTTTCCAACTGTCGAATAAAATGTTTCAGTGCACCAGTTAAAACGCATAATTCATAATTTAATAAAGCTTGCTTCGAGATACCCGATGGAGCTATTCATAGTTAAAACATAAAGAGAAACAAAACATGTTTACAAGATAAATTATGTAAATAAAAAGTATAACAGATGTTTCCAGACTAAGTCTTTCTCCCATTGAGTGAGTTGATAACTCACAATTTGGTTAGATACTAAGACTACTCGGATATCAGAAAGTACTTCCAGTTTAATGATAAGGAGTGAAGTCGAAGAATATGTTGACCATGAAGAAGAATATTTGTAGCTCACATGGATGGTCTTGGTTGTATTGTTTTCTCTGAACTGGGTTGTTTAATCGTGAAGCTTTCATCACCTTCCTAGACGACATCATCAACACTAACTTCAGTACGAAGTGAACTGTCAATATCTCTCCGTCAGTCATTTAGTTGCTTGCTCTGATGATGTCGTCTGTGATTGGTTGTTTCCTTCCATTGTTGTGTCATTGTCTCACTGACTGCATACATTTTCCTGTTGGCGCTTCCCCACTCTACATCTCACCTTTCATTTTTCTTATTGCTTAGTAGATTCCGTCTACGTCTATACATCTATTCATTGCTGACTGACTGACTGACCTCAATCCCATGCTTCTAGGAATTCTCTGATGATATTCTTCGTGTTTCCTCTCTCTCTCCATCCAAAAACTATACATTGTAGAAATTTAATTCATGTTCATAGTTGTTATCCACGTGCATTGAAATTAGTCATGAAATGTCGTGGTGTTTAATAGCCAATCAGTGCTCATGTAGACGAAGGTGAACACGGCGGCCGCTTTGTCCAATGTAGTGTTGACTACAGTTATTCCAGTTGGTTTTGTAAATGATATTCGGTTTGTCTTTGATCTTTGGTTGTTGCATCCTTTGGTCTGCATAATAGTGTTTGTAGGGAGTTTGTTGGTTTATGAGTGGCCACACCAATTGCATGTGGTCACAACAATCTTGTTGTGATTTCTGATATATTCTTTATGTATGTTAGGATGATGCGTTCATTGGTTTCTATCGATGACTTTGTAGTTGATGATGTACGGGATAGGTATCTTCTGATAAAGTTTCGTGGGTAGCCGTTCTTCTTGAGGGTGGACATCAGGTAATTTTCTTCCAATCTCCGTGAAGTTGTTATGCTGCAGTGTGTTCTTGGTCTTTTAAATAGAGTCTGCACGCAACTGATTTTGTGTGTTGTTGGGTTGTTGCTATTGTAGTTGAGGATTTAATCAGTGTTGGCTTCCCGTACATTTGGGTTCCCAGCTTTCCGGTATTTGTCCTACTGACTAAAACATCCAGGAATGGTAGTTAGTTGTTTGACTCCTTCTCCGTTGTGAATTTTATGTCATTGAAAACGTTGTTGATCAAGTTGTGGGTGCTTCCTATATCATCCTTTTTAAGGACGACAAAAGTGTCGCCTACATAACTAATCCAAATTTTTGGTTTGATCACAGGTAGGATGATGGCTTCCAGTCTCTGCATCACTGCATCTGCAACTAGTCTGGATATCGGTGATCCCATTGGAGTTTCTTTCATCTGTTTGTATATTTTGCCATTGAAGTGGAAGTATGTTGTCAGATAGAGGTCGATGAGTTCCATCAGACCTGAACATTTGAGTTTTGTGCGTTCTGAAAGGTTTGTGTCTTCATTGAGTAGAAGGGACATTGTTTCCTTGGCCAATTGAGGTTCGATGTTCGGGTTTCAAGGTCCACTTCATACTGAGGTTACTGCTGATGATGTCATCTAGGAAGGAGATGAAAGCCTCATGAAGAAACAACCCAGCTCAGAGAACACAATACAACCAAGAATATGTTGATCACTTCATTTACTTACAGAGTTGCATCAGCCTGAACGGGGTGGTCGGTGACGAAATCTTAGCTCCGATATAAAACGCCCGTTTGGCATTTGCGGCGAAGTATCCGACTATCCATCATCAAAGGACAAGTATGCTACGCTGTAATCCGTTCTGCCCTGTTGTACGGCTGGAAGCAATGGTCGTTAAAAGTAGACGACATGAAGCGGCTGTAGAGTTTTAACGATAGATTGTTTTATAGCATTGCTCGCCTGTGGTAAAATGACCGTGTGGGGAATGTTGACGTCAGACGCAGGATAATAGGCAAGACAGGCAAGCTGATGGGTGAGGTTATGAACCTTAGTCGACTTAGATGGCTTGGACATGTACTATGCATGCCGAGTCCCTGCCTATCTCGACGTGCCATTCTAGGAAGATCTAGATTAGGTTGGAAGAGAGTCGAAGGTGGTCAGACCAAGATGTGACACTAATCAATGAAGTGGCTGACAGTTAGCCTGAGCCATGTGAGGAGATGTAGACTGCCTACCAGGCGTCCCTGAGACGATAGGAATCACCGGTTGAGGACTGTTAGTGACATAGTTGAAAATCGGTCATAGTCGTGCAGATGTATTCAATCCTTGACGTCTTTTAAAGCTTGAATATTCCTTCATACAACTTTGTATACTTTGATATCAAATATGAAGCAACAATATAAGGAAATAAAAATCTGGACCGCGGACGTATTCGAATCAGCTACCACCGGGCTTTCGCCCCGATACTACCAACTGAGCACTGACGTCCAAGTTCTGACTAGATTTCTATTTCACTTCAATCATCACGGGTTTTTTCCATCTACCATGTGAGAATTCACGACGCGTCAGTACCACTTGATCGAATTCCCACTGGCTGCCCGAAGTCAGAACTTGTGATCCTAATCCAAATCTAACTTGAAGTAGAGAGGGGGAGCATCAAATTGATTATCAATTTTGACTATTTGAGATAGCCGGAAACCCAGTGGTCGCTGGTTCGAGTCCAGCCACGGTTCAAATTTTCATTTCATATCCAATCATCACCCAGTAACAATACAAGTTTGATAAACCACGGCCATCTCAGTCAGTCAAGTGATAATAAAAAAGAAACAAATCATACTACTTGATAATAATACTAAGTAGTATAAAACTGATGATATAGAAAGGGAATACGACGGAAACAATCCATAGGGTAAATAAGAACAGGTAAGTAAGGAGTCAACACAAAGCTTAACCAAACACTAAACCTTCACAGTTTAAGAAAAAAACCACTTTTATACCACTAAGTTACAGGTTAGTACACTGTACGGCTTCCCATCGATGTACTCCAACAAAACCTCCCACGATGACACATTTTCGGAAGTATATTAGCGTATATACAAAGAGTCCTAATAATCTTAGCTTATCCATATTGACAGCCTCACCAACTGGTCCACTATCTATGCTAAGAACTCATCAACATTGGTATAGGGCATCTCTAACTACAAATTGAAACTGTGCTACTTCCAAGTGCTTTTTTAAACAAAACCAAAATAGGTGATCTTGAACGCTTTGGTCTTGTCTATAACATAACCACTGTCGACCAAATACGAGAGTATTGAACTTCGTATTGACTTCACTTGTCCCCTTCCTAGTCATGATGTTAGGTGGTCAGAAACACGTTTGTTAAGCTGTCTGTCTAGTTGTACACCCAATTTCGCTTTCTCTACACGAGCAGCTAAATTGATAAATACACATAGAAGTAGCAGAACTGGACAACTAGTCTGTTGTCTCACCAACAATTATCAATCGACTAGAAAATGTTAAGCAAAGGTTAGCAGCATAGAAGGTTCTTCAACCTGTGGAATAGAACTTCACCAGCTGCATCCCTGTTAAATTGCAGCTTCATGAATGATGATTGCTTTTGAACAATCATTTCATCAGATTTCTTGCTCACTTTCTTCACATGTCTCCTGATAAAACTAACAATGCGAGTAACTCATTTGTAGCAGTATATTATGAATGTTGTGTAACTCCTTTTGTATTGCATCATCTGAGCAGATTTTACTGTCTCTACTTGTAAGACATTTAATCAAGCTTCATTTATATCGAATGAGTACAAAGCTAAGGAAATGTATGTACTGACCCACAGATGTGATCTTTCTGTACACCCTTCTACTGAGTGACCCATCTAATATTGGGCCTTATGGGAAACCTATGAAAGTTCTATCAATTTGTCTGTAATATGTATCATTAGGAAGGAAGAAGAAACAAGACAAGACAAAGAATGGATCCCGACGGATACATGGAAGGTGATAGAGCAGGGAGAGGAAGATGGGGAAGCAGAAGATAAACCAGTGCAAGGATGAACAAAGTAAAAAGGAACTGAACACAACATATAAAACATTGCACTGGACAAAAAAGTGAAGAAGAGTGCGCGCAAAGAAAAAGACACTTCTACGACATATTGGCAAGTGAAGCAGAACAGGCTGCAGGTAGGAGAGACCTGATAACATTATATCAAATGACCAGGCTGCTATCTAGGAAGAGATCAACACAGATGAAACCAATGAGAGAAAGCGAAAGAAACCCAGCTACCAAAGAGGAAGAACAAAAGAAACGATGAACAACCAATTCAGAAAACTTTTGAATCGACGGACACAAACACGTGAAACTCGTCCAGAAATACCACCAGAAACCGCAGAACTACCAGTGAACACAAGCACTTCGACAAAGGCGAAAGTACTGAACGCCATAAAGTTGCTGAAAGTCGGGAAAGCAGCAGAACCAGAAGGAATTCCTCCAGAGGTACTGAAAACGGACACAGAGACAACAGCGGACATGCTCATACCACTATTGCAGAAGGTTTGCAAGGAAAGAAGGAAAGTTACCTGCCGAGTCCAAGAAGGTCTTCAACAGCATCGACCAAGAAGTAATTTGCAGACTTCTTCAACACAACGGTTTCACTGACACAAACCTTTATCAACCTCATTCAACAGCTATATACTATGCTATATGATGCTACATACCAAGTTATTCACAATGCAAAGGTCAGTGATACCTTTGAAGCGAAGACAGGAACGATGAGGACACGGTCGCCTACTATCATCACCGATCGTCTTCCTGATTGTGGTGGAATGGACTGAAATGGATCATGCAACAGACAACTGTGAAGAGCGAGAAGATGGGCATACACTGGCTGGACCGATTAAAAGACCCCACAAGATTTGCACCAATGATGATTTATGTCTAATATCTTGTCGCACAAACTCGACGATCTACAGAAAAAAAAACTAAGAAGTCTGCAGAAGAGGTAACGACAACGGAACTCCAGGTGAACATAGAAAAGACAGAGGTGATGAAGATACCCAATCAACAACAACGACAAGAAGCACTGTCACCATCAACAGGAGAAATATAAAGGAAGTTGTCTCTTCCACCTACCTACCTAGGCAGCATCCTCTTTCACCTACAGGCGGCACAGGCACAGATTATGATGTCTAAGCCAGAATCGGAAAGACAGCAAGAAGGCCTTCATTCATTAGTCTGAAATCAGTGTGGAGATATACTGCACTCCGCTACACTACACTACACTCCACTCCACTCCACTCGGCATTAAGTGTCAACAATATCCGGATTCTCAACACTGATTGATGTCAGTCAAGTCAGTCAGTGCTTATATGTGATGGTTGAGAGACTTGGCGGTGCGTTACGAAAAGCATTTCCAACAAACTGCACACATACATCATCAACAGCTGATGCCTACGCTCGTTCAATACTGAATATCAGATGGCCAGAATGATAACAATAAGCAAGAAGGTAATCACTGTGGCTGGTTGGCTAGGAACTAACCAACAACCTATCACCCAACGTGTATGCAGAATAAAGTGGAGATGGATTCGATTGGATCGGGCATACACTGAGAAGACCATACGGGGACATCAAGCGGCATATGAAGCCAGGACAGGCCTCCGAGTGGAACCCAAATCGGAAACGACAAGTTGGGTGTTAGGGCCGAGGTTGACATGTAGGAGACCGTGTGAGGAATAAATGAAAACTTCTGGGCAGTCATAGAGCCAAATCTAAAAGACTGCAGAGAACAGAGTGAAATGACAGCGTGCTACTGAAGCCATATATCCTTATTCACATTCATCTTTTTGTTTGTATAGAGGTTGTAGAACTTCGATTAATCACTTCATGATTTTATGAAACACGGAATTGGACATATGTTAAACTGAACTAAGAGGAATTTGTGGCTTATAGACTTTAAATAGGCCATACAATAATGTGGGGGTTAATTGACTCATACGTTGTAGTAGAATTCGTATCCCTTGTCTTAGTTCTTTGAGGAAGTTTTCTCAATTGTCTCTATGTTTTAATCAATTAAACCTTTATTATCACAAAGTTTATGATACTTTGTTTGATCATTGAGAAGTAAGTTCATTTTGTTAATGTATTTAATCTTATCCATTAACACTATAGCTGCTCCTTTATCTGGTTTACTTATTGCTAAGATTTCATCTTTCTTTAGTTGTTCTCTATGCTTCACTATGCTGTCATAGTCAACAAACTTTTAGTAGAATGAATATTATTTGTGTATTATTGGCATCTATAGACTAATATTGTTTTAAATCTAAATCTTTTGAATAGAATACTCACTTGTATTACGAGAATTAAGGCAGAACAACAAATATTAAGTCTTTGTGTTAAGGCCTTTATCTCTGCCTTGGTCAGAGTAAATCTAATCAATAACTTCAAACATAAAATCAGTTCTTTATGAATACGCATCAATATAATAGTTACTTCCCTGTGTTTATTCAACTGAAGAGACCAATAAAGGACGAAACATTTATCTTAAATTTCATTCTAAACTATCATTAAGAAAATAAATAACACAATGTCTTTATATCAACAGAAAGTAAATAAATGGACTTACATAAGGCTTGTTTAATCAATCCAGAAACTTTAGATTTAACACCACACGTTCGATATATCCCTTCAACTTGAATACCTAAAATATAAATGAAACTAGACGTATTCTTATATTCAATTATAGTTTGTAATAGAATATTATTATATTAAAGTAGAAACATTAGCAATAGGTAGGTTAACACATTTTGAAATCATGGAGAATATTTGTAGCTCAGGTGGATGGTCTTGGTTGTATTGTGTTCTCTGAACTGGGTTGTTTAATCGTGAAGCTTTCATCACCTTCCTAGACGACATCATCAACACTAACTTCAGTACGAAGTGAACTGTCAATATCTCTCCGTCAGTCATTTAGTTGCTTGCTCTGATGATGTCGTCTGTGATTGGTTGTTTCCTTCCATTGTTGTGTCATTGTCTCACTGACTGCATACATTTTCCTGTTGGCGCTTCCCCCACTCCACATCTCACCTTTCATTTTTCTTATTGCTTAGTAGATTCCGTCTACGTCTATACATCTATTCATTGCTGACTGACTGACTGACCTCAATCCCATGCTTCTAGGAATTCTCTGATGATATTCTTCGTGTTTCCTCTCTCTCTCCATCCAAAAACTATACATTGTAGAAATTTAATTCATGTTCATAGTTGTTATCCACGTGCATTGAAATTAGTCATGAAATGTCGTGACGTTTAATAGCCAATTGGTGTCCTCATGTAGACGAAGGTGAACACGGCGGCCGCTTTGTCCAATGTAGTGTTGACTACAGTTATTCCAGTTGGTTTTGTAAATGATGTTCGGTTTGTCTTTGGTTGTTGCATCCTTTGGTCTGCATAATAGTGTTTGTAAGGAGTTTGTTGGTTTATGAGTGGCCACAGAAATCCCAAGTGCTGATGATGTCGTCTAGCATGGCGATGAAAGCTCCACGATTAAACAACCCAGCTCAGGGAACACAATACAACCAGGTTAACACATTTGTTGACATTTATTGTATAAAAAGAAACAATTCACATCACCTGAAACTTTATAGATGATCCATTTACAGTACTGAAATCGGAACACATCAGTAGGTTCTTGACACATTAATTCAGTAGTGAATGTAATTCAACTTACTTATGACTTTGATAGAGATGAAGGTGACCCAACAATGTTGGATTGCAAGATTAAACGAACACAAGAAGGAAATCTAGAGACTAGTGTCTATAGGAAACCTACCCATTCGGATCCCTACTTAGACTTCGAATCATCCCACACCATTTCAGTTAAAGTAGGCCTAGTTAAATGTCTAAGTGATAGGGCGGCGGTACAGCATGCTAGTAGACCAGGAAATCTACGACAAGAAATCAGACACATCAAGAATACCTTGAGTTTCAATAATTGCCCACCTATATTTATAAATAGATTGATGAGAAATCGAGAGAAAGATATGTGCAATAATAGTAGTGGTAGTAGTAGTAGTAGTAACACAGGTATTATTAGTAATAATTCTACTAATGATAGTAATAATAGTGACAGGATTGAGACAGAATTCAAATCCTCTTCTGTGTTAGAATACAAGGAAAGCACCTCAGAATCATTACGAAGAATTGTCAATGAGACTGGCTCGGATTAGAGTGTCATTCAAACCAACAAACTGACTTAGAAACAAGCTTTGTAGGTTAAAAGATCCGATTGATACAATTAAGCAAAATAATCTGGTTTACCAAATCCCTTGGAATGATTGTGAGGTGAAATGCATAGGTGAAAGTAGTTGACCAGGGTCGATTAGAATAACAGAGCACAAAAGCTCAGCCAAATTAAGATTAGTAGAAGGGAATAAGATAAGGAATGCAGAGAAAAGCTTGGCTATAGCTCTGCCCACAGTTCCACACAATTATACAATGGGGTGGGATAAAGCGACAGCATTGAAAACTAACTTAGTTGGTTGCAGTGAAAGAGAGATTGATATCCAACTGAATCTTTGTTTATCGAATCAACACCAAACACATGCAATCGAAATGATGCTGCACCTGTCCCAGATATATGGAAAATTCTACTACCCTTGCAATCACAGAGAAGGAGAGAAAACTAGGATTATATAAAGTCTGTCTCGAAGTTGTGGAGTTACCTGATATGAATATGGACAATAAATTGTGTCCGAAACGTTATGCAGTAAATGCTACTGTTTCACTGTGTGTGAGAAACGAAGAAAATTACTTGGTATCCACATCCTAAAGAAGAACGGCTACCCACGAAAATTTATCAGAAGATGCCTATCCCGTACATCATCAACTAAAACATCATCGATAGAAATCAACAAACGCATCATCCTACTGCACATGGAGAATATATCACAGATCACGACAACCATATCTTGGACAGACGGATCACAAAGAATATCAGAGAATTCCTAGAATCTTGACATTCAGGTCAGTCAGCAATCAATAAATGTATAGAGATAGACCCAATCTATCAACCAATGAGAGAAATGATAAACGATAGAAAGGTTAGAGGTGAAGTGGGGGAAACGTCAACAGGGAAATCTATGCAGTCAGTCAATGACACAACAATCAACGGAAACAGCCAATCACAAACCAGTTCATCAGAACAAGCTACCAAATCACTCATGAGGAGGTAGTGACAGCTCAATTCATACCAAAGTTAGTGCTGACGATGTTGTCTAGAAAGAGAATGAAAGCCCTAGGCTTAAACAACCCAGTTCAGAGAACACAATACAACCAACAAGTGTGCATTAGTCTATACAGAAAAAGTGAGATGATTACCAGTAGTTTGTAATTTCAGCGTGGTATTCATCAGGAACTGACATCAATTGGAGAAATACTGGAAATGTGAGAGCACTGGACAACTGTTTCATCCTAGCATAGACTTTTCAGTGGTGAAATTGGACAATATCATACTGTTCAATCTTAATAAACTTTACACATACAACTAAAGAACGTGGCCTGAATTCTTCACGAGGTGGTGGGTACACACTGCCAAAGCAGTCTCAAATAAAAACAGTCAATAATTATCCAAAGAATGGAAATCAATTAAACCTTATAAAATAAGAACTGAATAGTAGAGATACACTGAAATGCAGCTCTGAAAATCTTCCTTTTTCATTCGAAACAGTAAAGGATGACACTAGTCAAGATGTGACTATAGGTAGGTATTAAATGTTGTTTTACTTCTTCAGTTTTTATTGTTGCGTTGTGGCTCAGTGGTTTAGCGGGATGACTACCAATCATTGGGTCGTGGGTTCGAACCCTGCTCCATCTACCGAGGTTGGGTGACTAGGTAGTATCATTAGCCCTCATTGTCTACTGCACACGTGTATGCATAAGTTAGACGAGTGAGTTCCCTTCCCATCTAATTTGATTGTTATTGTCGTCGTAGATGAAACTGTCACCGTCAACTGATGACCAATTCCTTAACAGATAATCGAAAAGTTAGCGTAGCATACTTCAAATGAACAACTTGAGTAATTAGAAACCAATCAGATTGATGTGTTGGTTTCATTAGCTAGATTCAGTTAATCTGAAGTAATTCGGCCATGTGAGCTTAATTTGTCCAGGCATACTGCTTATGAGCTCAGCCCCAAACAAGCGAAAAGGCTGCACGGTGTTTAAATCACTCTGATTTGGTTGATGAAATTTACAGGTCAACCTGAGTGGTTTCTAACTACTCAAATTATTCAGTAGTAGTATCTACCGCTAGTTTATGACACTTTTGTGTCTAAAATCACATCCTGTGATCTTGGCTGAGTAGTTTCCAGAGAAAACCCTGTTGACTGGGACCATAGTTGAGTAGTTGGAAAACTACTCATCTTTAGGAAGAAATGTCAACGTGAACCATGAAATTTTTAAATCATCTCCAAATTGATCAAAAAAATCTCCTCCAGGTACTCAGATCACGTTGAATAAATTAACTGAGATAATGAACATCAAAAGGTAAATTTTTATATCATTAGAAAAATACAGCAAAATTATTTGGAAAAAGTTAATGAGTTAAATTCTCAGTGAACTCACCAGTTTTTTCAATTGCTTGAATAAGATTACGTAAAAACTCATAACTCTTATCGTTTAAATCAGCTGTAACAAACAAGAAAAGTATGCAGAAGGTAGAACAGAATCTCATATCATTATTATTATTATTATTATTATTATTATTATCATCATCATCATCATCATCATCATCATTATCATTATCATCATTACTATTATTACTATCATTATCATTATTATTGTTGTCGTTACCATTATTATTATTATCATTATCATAAATATTAAAACACAAACGTGGCAAAGCAAGGGTACCAAGGAATGCGCCATACAAAATAATATAACAACATTATGAAGACATAAAGCGAAGGGAAGTGGATAAAATAAAACACAATAAGAATAGAATAATTAGAAGGGCATTTCAGTTAGATACATTCAAAACAAAACATTAATTACTTTTCAGAAGCAGAAGATCGAAGGAGCCTACAGCATGACCACCAGTGGTTTCGATTCTGAGCTATGTCTGATATAGTCTCGAGCCCCTGAGTTGGGTAATCTCTTGGATCACACCCAGAGAGTTGTGATGTATCAATAGATGCTGAAGAGAGACAACTATCCCTCATTCAATGGCGCCATGTGATACACTGACCACCCCTCCACTTTTTCTATCCAGTCTTAGGGTTAGCGGACAATGAACGGTGTGGAAGCCATTGGGCTAACGTGCATAACACATGTCTGGGCCACTAAAGCCGGTCTTACCAGATGACTTCACTACTTATTGAATGACGATCTCCATCATGCCCAAACATACGCTGTCGTACCTCAAAATTACTTATATAGTGTTACCACTGGATACGAGCAATCTTATGGAGGAAAGGATGAACAAAGACACAAGGAGTCGTCACTTATCCTCAGTTATGAGAGGCCAGGTTTCACAGGCGTAGAGCAGAACCGCTCGCACCGAAGCGTTGTAAACCTAACTAACGTTAAGATGGCCTCAAAGGTGACCCAGATTAGCGTATGCCATTCTGGTTTTCGATATGCGGTTGAAAATTTCACCCCTCACACCTACACCAGCACTCACACTACTCCTCGGATACACGAACAACTTGTCAACTACTTACAACCGTTCACCACCAAGAGTGAGTGTAGGCACAGGCTCCTGCCAATCCTGCAAGAGTATTTTGCACTTTAATGATGCAAAGTGCATAATAATACTTGCAGACACTAATTGCCAACTGATTAAAAGCGACTTAAGCAGCTTGTGCGTTATCGTCCACATATTGAAGGTCGAATAGCTGTTCTCCGGGTAGTATAAATACAGACATACACCGCCAAAAAGAGAAGTGGTCAAAATCATGCTGGTCAGTAAACGAAACGGAAGGTACAATTCAAATGAGCAAATCCTGATGGGAACAACAATACTAAATGAAAGTCAGGTACCATCCACAGAGCGATTCCCTAAAAAGACGAAACGTGGGTTTTGACTTCCAGTGCTAGCCGTTATTCATCAATAATATGAGCGAGAAACTCTTGAAAGCAGGAAACATTTTTATCTAACGAAGCAGTGTTGTTCATACCCAAGAAGGAGATAATGTTAGAAGAAGAAATAGATAACAGAAAGCACAGTTATAATCTGCAACAATAGAGCAAGTCAAGTCTAACTTTACACTTTATGGATGGTAATCGTAGCAATCCCTTAAATGTGCAAGTTCCTATCCGTTAACGTGCCCAACCGTCTTTGAGGGGAAGATCATTATATAATTTTGGATGGCTAAAACATAAGGGCGATAGTTTCAACATATCATTTTATAAACCACTCATGAAAATTACCCGACGTTACTTTCAAGGTCAAGTAAAAAGAGACCAGAAAATCCAAGGTCAATTATGGAGTACTAGGAGGCTTAAGCTGACATGAAGCCATTCGAAAAAGTGTATTACAGAGAAGATTGAAGCTGCAGATGTTTTCTGACGTTATTTACCTACACCTGAGGTCATCGAGATTGAGTAAATAGGCTTATCGGTCATAAGTTCGTAAGCTATCCAGACAAAATTGACAGCAACAGCATATGATCCCAAAGGTTGCAAGTTAGTGGCTTGTATCACCGAGATAGATCTTCGCTTAGAGTGCAAACTTGGTAGAAGGGATAAAGTATTCTCGATGGCCGCAGGTCATAAGACACAAGAAAACTGACGAATATATCCAAACAGAACTATATAAACAGATCAAGAAACTATAAAGTACGAATTACCAATATTTACTATGCAGTAAGTCTTAGAAATTAGCGTATCGTACACAGTATGTGTATTGAAAAATGGATGCAATGCACAGTCCGGCAATGAACTACCCAAAATCTACTTTCGACTTACTACGACTACGGTCAAACAAGCAGATAATCCAACGGTTATGAATGACAATCATGCGTTTATTTTTGTCCTAATTCATTGATATTGTGATTACTCCACCTATGCTTTTAAGACCTTGGAAATTGTAGAATGTTGGTGGCTGACAGTCAATATTCATGCATCAGTCAGCAGTTGCAACAGGACAATTTACTAATGACGATAAACTGGCAAACATAATAGGTATATTAGAAAAAAATTAACCTAACTACACTTTAGGTGAAAACACGATACACGTAACAATAAGAAATGAATACAAATAATTCAGTATTGACGATTTTCAATACACAACGTTTACTACTTAATGTGTGAAAGTAGTATGCTACTATAAAGCTAAAAAATGACACCGTATTTATAGAAATCAGTTAAAAAGTAGACTGAAACAGATCAAAAATTTGAATGCAAATATATACACACATATTGAGTAAAAAAACACAATCTTGTTTATAAATTTATGCAAAAAAATAACAACAAACAAATAACTTTTAGTAAAGTCGCGTTTAGTTAAACTTGTTCGATTGTTTAGTTTTTATTAGTTTATATGTACACTGACGGTGAAATGATTATTCATTCACTACTGACTCACTACTAATGAATTTATTATTCAATTATTCTCTTTAATCGATTACAAAACAATGATCCTGGTTTAAAAGTGTTTAAAACAGTTGAAGAGACTGAATTGTAGGAATTTTCGAATGTATATCTGGATGTTTGATAAGTGAACGCTTAGACTGATATTGGCCCAGAGTAATCAATCCATGTTAGCAGTATTTACCGCGTGGATCGAACTTAAGTGTATCCTAAGAGATTCAAGCTTATAACACTGAACATCAACGGTTGTTTCGGCCACTGATAGAAGTAGACACGGATAGGAATTAATAACATAGGATCTGGTATTACAGCGCATGACAAATAGAACCTTTGAAGTAGCATGCAAAGAACAATTGGATAGAAGCAGAGTGATATCAAAGAAGATAAAAGTATGTGTGTATGGGGGGGGGGAATTCCAAAAATTAGGCTTGGTCAAAATATTGAAGCCTTAGATGCCAAAAATTAAATACTTCTGCGCTAATATGACCAGTTTTCAGTCAGTTCATCAAGAGTCCTGAATCGCAGATCCCTATCTTCCCGAGGACCCCATTTGGACAGTATACACCTTCATACACTGCTCAAATCAGTAATCAGAGGCTTCATGGACTGATGCCATGCATCGTGAGTCCTATTCCAACTTAATCTAACTTCCCGAGGTAAGTAATGAGTCAGGATGCACAACACATGTCCAAACCTTCTCAGTCACTGACAGTTCGCAACCTCACTAAATTACTTGCTTATCTTGTCTAGTACCATTTGCCTGACCTGGATGCAAACAATGCTATAAAGACGTCTGTAGCGCATGAAATCTAGCCTTTTAAAAACACCCATTTCGATGGCCATGTGATAAATAATTGTTCTACACACTTCAGATTATCCACACAGAAACTTCATGGTATTCATGCAACAGTTTCTTACTTAACCAATCTAATGTATTAACATTTCTTCTACGCTAACTGAATTCCTATTAACACTGAACATTCACCTAAGTATTGACTAGACATATGTAACGTGAGCTCAAACAACGTTAATCGACCAACTTCTGTCGATCCTAGTACTCTTCTACTTCCTTCTCCTGGGAACTCACAAAAGTTCATTTAAAGATTCCACTGCAAACGTCAGGAGCTTTAAAGTTAGGCGTGTTTATAAACCATTCAATGTTCGGAATTAAACTTTTTGTCCAAATCTAAGGATTATTATTTGTCCTTTGGGTTCCAAGTGAAACATACCGCTTCAGTAGTATGTCTCCAAACGGTCTTCTCAGTGTATGTTCAATCCAATCCAGTCCATCTCCACTTCATTCTACATACACGTTGGGTGATAGGTTATTGGTTAGTTCCTAGCCAACCAGCCACAGTGATTACCTTCTTGCTTATTGTTATCATTCTGGCCATCTGATATTCAGTATTGAACGAGCATAGGCATCAGCTGTTGATGATGTATGTGTGCAGTTTGTTGGAAATGCTTTTCGTAACGCACCGCCAAGTCTCTCAACCATCACATATAAGCACTGACTGACTTGACTGGCATCAATCAGTGTTGAGAATCCGGATATTGTTGACACTTAATGCCGAGTGGAGTGGAGTGTAGTGTAGTGTAGCGGAGTGCAGTATATCTCCACACTAATTTCAGACTAATGAATGAAGGCCTTCTTGCTGTCTTTCCGATTCTGGCTTAGACATCATAATCTGTGCCTGTGCCGCCTGTAGGTGAAAGAGGATGCTGCCTAGGTAGGTAGGTGGAAGAGACAACTTCCTTTATATTTCTCCTGTTGATGGTGACAGTGCTTCTTGTCGTTGTTGTTGATTGGGTATCTTCATCACCTCTGTCTTTTCTATGTTCACCTGGAGTTCCGTTGTCGTTACCTCTTCTGCAGACTTCTTAGTTTTTTTTTCTGTAGATCGTCGAGTTTGTGCGACAAGATATTAGACATAAATCATCATTGGTGCAAATCTTGTGGGGTCTTTTAATCGGTCCAGCCAGTGTATGCCCATCTTCTCGCTCTTCACAGTTGTCTGTTGCATGATCCATTTCAGTCCATTCCACCACAATCAGGAAGACGATCGGTGATGATAGTAGGCGACCGTGTCTTCATCGTTCCTGTCTTCGCTTCAAAGGTATCACTGACCTTTGCATTGTGAATCACTTGGTATGTAGCATCATATAGCATAGTATATAGCTGTTGAATGAGGTTGATAAAGGTTTGTGTCAGTGAAACCGTTGTGTTGAAGAAGTCTGCAAATTACTTCTCGGTCGACGCCTTGATCGAAGGCCTTTTCAAAGTGGATGAAGTTGAGGTAAAGAGTTGAATCCCATTCGATGCTCTGTTCTGTGATGATGCGTAGCAGTATTGCAGTGTTATGATCCGTATATGATTTGTTTTTCCTGAAGGCAGTCTAAGGATTAGGTGATATTAATCTAAATGAAACGATAAGTAATGATTTGTTTGGTTCAATTTTAAATGTCTAGAGTCTGATCAGTTCGAAGAGCAACAGAATATCAGGATGATACGTTCTCAAAATCTAGCACGAAATACAATATTCACTAAGCTGGGTTATAATCATTACACCATCAGTAGCTTTGTTACAAACTTTATCTCAGTAAGCAATACAGAATTTCCAGCATGTCACACATAGAAAAAAATTAGAGTTTTTACTCTACGATCGACTTAGAAAAAGTCAACCAAATGGAGTATGTAGACGATATTCTTCTCCTGCTTGATGAAGACGATCAGGATCAGAAAGTAATCAAGAAAAGAGGATATGGAATTGATAGTGGAATTTTAATCACAATAGAACACATTAGATGGGTAGAAATTTTACAAGGAAGGAAAAAAGTGACACTTACTTGTATCAGGTTCTTGAACACATACACGTCTATCATCGTAAATCTATAGTGTAATATGAAAAAAAGAGGGCAATAACATAACACTTGGATAATCTTTTGAAGAAATAAAGAGGATTTTATTGTAAATGTCAACTTGCTTCATCTGTGACCCTGATTGGCAAGATATTCGATTATTTATTTAGGGTGAGTGTGCTATGCTTCAGTTCGGCGTGTTCTACTATGCGGCTACTAAATGTACAAGATAAGGAGCGGTTACATCTAACTGTTGGGAAGAAACCTGTTTCCCTTCTTCTAGCACTCAAGAGTGATAAGACATCTGAAAGACCAGAAAGAATAATAAAAACCGTATTGAAAAGGAGCTACTTTGATATCAAACTGATCTCAAGTTGCAATACATTATGCTCAATAACACACTTGAAAGCAGATAAATACCCAACACACGTTACCTTCAACTGTATATTTCAACTCGCTTGTGCTTGTGGAGGCAAGTTCACAGAAAGGACATAAAAGTAAAGTGTATGCTCTATTTTATGAACATCTTCCGAGAAATGTGTGTCTGAAACGTAAGTCAGTCGCCAGGAACCTGATGGAAACAGGACATCAAATAGGTGTACATCAGTCCTTGAGAACATCATGTTTATTACGGTCTGTGGGAGCTTTCACCATTAAACATATTCAATCAACCCTTTGTACTCAGGAAGAGACTGTAATAACCCTTTTTTATTCTGGTATCTGTACATAATTTTTCGCATATGTATGTATAAAGTTTTCTCTTTTTTTCTCTTGCATTATCACTTCATTATTCACTTACTGACTGTTAAGCATTCAGCCTAACGTCTTTCAAGATTTTCCTGTCATATCACCACATAACCTACTAGCTACTTATGAACCGTTCTTTAACACTCATGTCTGTTTGTTGTCTCTACAACCTCCTTTCTAGAACAGCAATTTTTTTTCATTTCATCAGTTATAAATTTTGATTGAGACCTTTGATTATTACTCTTGTCTTTCCTCGACTCATAAACTACCTTATTGTTAAACCTGAGCTTCGAATTCTCATTTATTCCTAAATATTTAGAGTTTATATGATTTCGTTATTATTACAAATATTTGATCTCGATTTCCTGCAGCTGATGAAAGGCAGTGAAATAAGATGAATCCATCTTATTCGATAAATGTCTTTGTTCTTGCTTTATATTCAAATGGAAGTTTATCATGTTCTTTTTATTACGAGAGCTGTGGGCAAAAAGTGATTGAAAAATTGCTGAAAAAAGTAATTTTAACCTATACTTTTTCTTAATCAAAGTTTTTGTATTCAACAACTTATAAGCCTCCTTACTTTTGATTACTTGTTTCAACTAATATTTGCTGCCTGATTTAAACTAGTTAAACTACAGAGTTGTGGTTTATTGATTCTTGGAGTTGGTTTTAAACTACTGGGTCATAGGTCCAAACGACGCCCCGCCTACTTAAGTTTTGGGCAGCCAGATAGTATAAATAGCATTCGCAGAAAAGGTATGGTTCATAGAATATACCGTATGAATGTTTAGAAGGTTGCTGAATAAATTTCGATTTTCATCTGCGACCCTGACTGGCAGTATATCTGATTATCTACTTTAGGACGAGTGTGCTATACTTCATTACAGGCGTGTTCTACTATGCGGTTATTAAAGGTACAAGATATGAAACGTTTACAAGTTTTCAATCAGAAATGTCTTCATAGAATTGCTCACGTTTATTGGTATCACCGTGTAAGCAACGTTTATGTCAGGCAAGTTGATTGGCCAAGATATGAACCTTAGACATGTGGTGAGTATGACGAGTCACTGCCTATGTCAACGTATCATGCCAGAGAAAGCTGCATTAGGTTGGAAGAGGATTCGAGATGGCAAGGCTTAAAAGGCAGCACCATTGAATGAATTCCCTGACTGTCAGACCACCTGACCCTTGTTGACATTATTGTAAACCCGTCACAGTGGTGCAGATGTCTTTGCACCCTTGAATATTTGCACTAACCGTTATCTTCAAAGTGTTTACTCCCTCGTACACACCTTTGCCTACTTTGAGATTACAATTTTACTGTCTATCTGTTCTTCGTATACTACTGTACAGTACGGCAACTTGGGTTGATGCACTTCTGTGCAACGTTCTGCATTGGCTTTGTCTGCCTGTCTGTATATTATTATTACATTATTTATCCCTCGTGTTCCTAATGGAACATAGGGATTCAGTAGCACGTCTCCAATGCGCTCTGTTCTCTGAAATCTTCTCAACCTGGCTCCACGACAGCCCACAACCTCTCATTTCTTCCTCACACGATCTCCTCCATGTCACCTTCACCTCGGACGCCCAACTCCTCGCTTACCATCTGGGTTACACTCCAGTCACTGGTGCGTGATGTCTCCAGTCGACCTTCTCAGTGTATGCACAATCCATCTACACTTCCTTCTACTGCATATTTCTTCAGCGATACCTTCTTCGTTGGTTCGTCACCAGCCAGAGTTCCTCATTGCTTATTCCTATTATTCTGGCCACCTGATCAATGTTCAGTAACGAGACAGCGTACACAGTTGTTGATGAATGTCTGCAGTTTGTTCCAAATCCCTGTCGTAACACGCCAAGTCTCTCAACCATCACTCAGAAGCATTAACTTGACACTCGTGTTGAAAATTCGGATCTTGTTCACACTTCATGCTCAGTGCAGAAGATCTCCACACTGGTTTCAGGTTAATGAACGCCTGTCTTGCTTTTCCGATTCTGACTTTCATGTCCTCGTCTGTGTCACAACTGCTGCCTGTAGTTGAAACAGTGCTTCCTAGATAGGTGAAGGAGGCTACTTCCTTTAAGTTTCTCCCATCGATGGTGATTCCTGTTTGTTGTTGATGGTGGTGTTGTTGGTTGGGTATCTTCATCACCTCTGTCTTCTGACTACTTCAGCTGAACAGCTAATCTCTCATCTAATGATTAGCTTTATTTCTCGACGTTGGACTGCAATTCATTTTATTGTACAATCTTTTCTCCAATTAAGTGATTGGAGATATTTTCACTGCAGAGATGTAAAAAAGCGATATTAGTCTGCTGAACTAAAGAATCAATCGTGAAACCATAAAAGGAGGAAGACACTTTGAAGATATGCAACCTTCTGGATACGTTGAGTGATAATCAGAGAATTACCAGGCATGCATTGATGCCCTGGTGAGTTGGTTATTCATGACATCTTGGTAAGGATAAGAAAAGACTCGAAAGACACTTATCAAGGTACGCAATTATGGCGCTAGTAAGATATCTAAACGCTTATTATAAGAAGTATGTGAAAAGCGGAACACTTTTCACTTTCCTACTCTATGATTGTGAAATGTAGTTAGCAAAAGGTGAAAGGAGAGAGAAGAGGGACATGCGCTGTTTAACTGATGAAAAGACAATACAAGATTTGGATTTCGCTAATGATGATTTAAGTCTGATGTCTTGTGGCACAAAATCGAAGATCGACAGGCGAAAGCTTACAAGTTGACAGAAAAGACAGCGAAGACTGGACTTCCTTCAGGTGAACGTGGAGAAGACAGAGGTGATGAAGATATCTACCTCAACCCAACCAACAACAAGTACCAATCACCATCAACGGGAGAGAGAAATCTAAAGGCAGTTGACTCTTTCAAATATCTACCTACCTACAGCATCATATCAACTATAGCCAGCACAGGCACAGATGAGGACGTCAAAGCCAGGATCGGAAAGACAGGAAAACAGGCCTTCCTTCATTAATCTGAAATCAGTGTGGAGATCTACTGCACTTCACTCCACTCCACTCAGCACAAAGCATGAACAATATCTAGATTTTCAACAATAATGTCAATCAAGTAAGTCAGTGCCTCTATGTGATGGTTGAGAGACTTGGCGGCACGTTACCAAAAGCATTTTCCAACAAACTGCACGCATACATCATCAACAGCTGCTGCCTATGCTTACTCGATATTGAAGATGAAGAACAGATGGCCAGAACCAACAAGGAACTCACTCTGGCTGTCAACGAACCACCTAATAACCTATCGCCCGACGTGTGTGCAGAAGAAAGTGGAGATGGATTGGACATATACTGAAAAGACCGTTTGGGGACATCAGGCGCAACACTAGATCCTCGAGTGGAACCGAAATGGGAAACGACGAGTTGGGTGTCTGAGCCAAGGGTGACATGGTGATCGTATGAGGAAGAAATGAAACTTTCTGGGCAGTCGTGGCGCCACGTCATGAAGACTGCAAAGAGCAGAGTGAAATGGAGACATGCTACTGAAACGGTATATTTCACTAGGAACCCAACGGACAAATAATAATCATAATAGGTGGAGAATATGCAGAAGTCTAAGTTACTTAACCGCCGTTGTATTCATAGCATCCGCTGAGTGTCGTGGAGTCCCTGCGTGGATGATGATGCAAACTTCAGACGTAGTCTTAGGTAAAATAGGTTGTCGTCAGGCCATAAGCTATGCATCATCTATGACAAACACTATATGTTAACTGGAGAATTAACTTTAAGAAAGGCTGAAGATGATGAGACCAGGACACAACAGCAGTTCATAAAGCCTCTTACTATTGACTTGGATCATGTGAGATAATCCAAACTTTCAAGTTGGGATCCATGAAAGAACTGATGCCTAAAGTTGATAGCCTTAGGTAGCATTCCGAGAAGCGTATATGTATCGATACTGTCACTGTATTCCAACTGGTAATTTCCACTTAGTCATTTGCTGTAGCTTCTTAAAGAATCAATTGGTATCACTAGATTTCCTGGTGATACTGAATGACTGATACAGAAGTAAAGATATAAAAAATTTCGAATTCTTTAGTCAATAGCCTTACAATAGATCGACATCTAGTAAACGAATAAGAAGGAGTCAGTTAGTTAGTCAATATGAATGTGAGATCTGACGTTACTGTATAGCTACATATCAAATCAAGGTAGAAGGTACTGTGATGAAAGATAGAGTAATGGATAAGAAAGTAGTCAAATTTATTAGAAAGTCGTAAAACAACAAAGATATCCGATAAAACGATTAAAATCGACACTACTGAGATAGAAACCAATCTATATTACTTACAGTCTGAAACCACAAGCTTCCCCAACGATGAGTACATAAATCTCGGAGTTTTCATTACCCTGCACGCTTTAATGGATAGATGCCAACTCTCAGTTAACATCGTAAAACGGGGTGGACTAAACGCTAAACATGTACAATACGATGACGAAATCTCTGGACAGATACAAAAAGCTCGACTGGCTTTTTGCTAACTTGCGCCATCTGTGTCGTCGCTGCGATATCCGATTGTCTGTTAGAGTTGAGTGTACTGTGCTGTACTCCACTCTGTTCTATCCTATGACCGGGAAACATAGCCATTAAACGTAGAAGACATAAGAAGGCTTCAGGTCACCACCGTGCGTCTTGGTGTCACAAGGTGATTAAGGTAGAAGTCAAGTGTAGAGTTTTAAGGAGAAGAGGTGTAAAGCAGTTGATGTTGTTGCGAACCTTCTTCAGGTGAGATCGCTAGCTTAGATATGTGTTAACGTTTCCCTACCCACCATCTGCAACGTCACAAAATGTTGGCCAAAACAGGTTCAGACTGGAAAAAAACTAGACGTGGCCAGACTAAAACATGACGCCAATGTATGAAGCCTTTGACTGTCGGTTTGAGCCATTTGGGGAGATGCAGATTAGTCGGTTGGGTTCCACCGAACAACAGAAACCAGTGGTTGCAAACTCTAGGCGATAACATGATTGAGAATCGATATCAGAGGTGCAGATGTATATACATACATTATCCTCATTTTCTCATTCTTCCTTCTCCTCGTTTACTACATTCTACTCCCACTTCGCCTGATTAATTTTCTTTCTTTTATCACCTATTTTATTGGCTAATGACTTGATGTGTTGAGATGAGATGACGTGTGGTAACTTGGACCGTTAATCAGTAATGTCTGGTTCTATGTTTATCTTAGTGATGATGACAGTACATTTTTTAGACATCTGAGTCGATGGAATTTAACAACTTCATCATCAAACAATTTTCCCATTTCTTTTTTAAACCTTTGCCTAGAAAATGAATTCGTCTCGGAAGAACCACTCAAAACACATAGAGTAAGGTCAGTCGTGTAACTCCTAGAACCTGTAAACTCTCATAATTATAATTATAATTCACTTTATTCGAAACAATCTGTGGTACATTCTGGAATTATCAACCAGATATATTACAACAAAATAGACGTGCATGTATATCCTCCTTTACAACATTTCCAATTGTGTTATTATAAACATTTAAGTCATGTAAAGAATATTGAGGGAAACGAGAACATTTCACATAATTCATTATATCATTGAAATGAGATTGTGAACTGTTACAAAGTTGTCAATTAAGTTCTGTTCTAATCTCCCTTTTATCCTCATATAATATGCATGAGTGCTAGGTAAGGTAGGCGCAGTCGAATTCTTGTACTTCGCTTTATCAGCAGTACAGTCTTATATAGTTTCTTCTTGTCCACCATGAGACGAGATACAAGGAGAGAGTTGTGAATGATGAAGTGGATGTTCAGCGTCAGTTAAAATTACTGTAGTTAGTTACTTGCCAGAATTTAAATGTTTCTCATCTACAGTGTTAATCAGTTGGGTCAGAGGTACAGCACGCACTATAGTGACGGCTTTCAAAACCCTACACAATATAACATACTCCTTTTTTAGTAGTACACCAAGAAACATCAGTGGGGAACAATACACAAGAACAAGTAACATGTCGGAATAAGTAAATTGTAAAAGTAGAAGTTGAGTTATACCAGAGAAGCTCAGTTTATTCATGTAATAAATTAAAGGAAAGATTCTCTTTACAAGTCAACAAGATATGAGGCGATCAACAGAGATCAGAAGTAAAACTCATCCCAAGATACCTAACACTCGATTTACTTTCTGCAGAAATACCATCAGTACTGCTGCAACAAGTGTCATGAGATTTAAGCAACTCACACACAAGTCCATCTTGTTTACGCCTGAGGATAAAAATTAACAGTCTGACATTTAGAAGGGTTTAACTTGAGACCACTTGAGAGAGACCACTGGGCAACTTCAGATAAAAATCCATTTAATTTAGAGCAAACTATGTGAGAGTCGACTGGAATAGACACTGTCAGGTCAGTAAAATTATTTCCAACAGAATAAGGTAAATCATGCTAAAGAACTAGAATAGAAACGGAGAAAGTACTGCACGTTGAGACACACCAGCTTCAGTAAGCAATGAAGTGGAGCGCATCCCTTTATGGATAGTGTACTGTTTCCTTTCAGAATGCAGCCACTTTGTAACCCATGGCTCAGTATGAGCTATGGCAAGCTTATTTAACAAAAGTGGTCTAGGAACAGAGTCAAAGTATACTCAACTGATCACAATGTATTCCGATTAGCATGAAAATCACACTATATTGATAACAATGAAGCAAATATGTGACTGTATTAATGTGAACTAAAGTTACATTGTGAAGATGTAACTACAGAAATTAAGATAATCTTTGGATAAGAGGAGCCAACGAATTTACAATTTGATGCGTTCAATAACGAGAAAAAATCTTAACAAATTAACATTCTGCTTTGAACAAGCAATCCGATTCAAGAGTTTATATCATTAACTTCACTTCTGTTAAAAACAATACTGATAGAAACTGATAAGAGAGTGGATAAAATACATTAAACACAGTTCATCCAAGTATTTAAACAGTTTATACAATCAAGATGAATCGATCTTCAATGTCGACTACTTTATCGTTTGTTTTCTGTATTTCCCTTCTATGTTTCTCGTCTCTTCCTTCAGAATTGCAATCGGACAGACAAGATCAACATGGGATCAGGAGATTATTGCGTAACAGTCCATGTTGACACACCTCATATCATCAAATCAAGAAGAAGGGTAATAAGAAAGTGCTGAATTCAGTATGACGATTAAATTGAGGGTAATGTGTGTATCCATCTGAGCAAATGAAATCAATTCTGAGCCATATATTACCAAGTGTCTCCAACCACTGGTTCCTTTGTTCCATGGTCTCCAAACGGCTAGTTCTGCATCGCCAACACATACACACAAAGAAAATTGCATAACAAGAAGACAATGATTGTCAAAACGGAAACTAACCGGTTCTTTTCCATCCATTACTAAAAGCCATTCATGAAGATCATCTAAACATTGTGCTTGTAAAGTTATTGGGCTACTTCTGTAATAAAAGTAGAAAGAAAGCGGAAGACATAGTTTAAAAAAATTAGCCTGAAATCAATCCAATCCATGACAAGCTTAACTTCATCACCTGCCACTATTCTTCTGCTTATTATTATTATTATTATTATTTGTCTTTCAGGTTCCTAGTGGAACATACCGCTTCATTAGGACGTCAGCATTTCACTCCGCCCTCTGCAGTCTTCATAACGCGGCGCTACGACTGCCCAGAAGGTTTCATTTCCTCCACATACGGTCACCTTCATGTCACCCTCAGCTCGAAAACCCAACTCGTAGTCCCCCGTTTGGGTCCCACTCGACGGCCTGGTCTGGTCTGGTAAGGCGTGTGATGTCCTCAAATGGTCTTCTCAGTGTATGTTCAATCTTCTGTGTATATTTGTTTGGCGATAGGTTATTGGTTGGTTCGTTGACAGCCAGAGTGAGTTCCTTGTTGCTTATTCATATTATTCTGGCCATCTGATCGATCTTCAGTATCGAGTGAGCGTACACACAGCTGTTGATGATTTATGTGTGCAGTTTGTTGAAAATGCATTTCGTAACGCACCGCCAAGTCTCTCAACCATCACATAGAAGCACTGACTTGACATTACCTTCCACTATAGTATCCATTATTAATGTTTAGATTCTCTGAAGAAACTGAAAATTATTTCATAACCGAATTGGTTGACAAACTAAAATCAATGGAACATATCGCTTCTAGAAATAGCCAAGGTCATTTTGCAATTTGACCTTGTGCATTACATCTCTTACCTAACTACTTTTTCTTTATCAAAGGAATTGAACCACCATCAGATGAACATCTGAACTAACAAGGGATGACAAAATTAATGCTAATCACTTTAAACTGTACCATTTTCCATCAATAAAATAACTCAGAAAAAAATAAAAACAAAAATTATTTGATCAGTTTATTTTATTGACTACTCTCATACTAAGCCAACTTTCAGTGGGTGATCGGTCACCTTTTTTTCTATTCATATTATTATAAATACAACCGACTAGTAAGTGATGAGACTGCTTGTGTATACAAACACAGTCCCATACTAACCTTGAGTCTATCGTAGTCTTTGACTGGGAACTAGACAACCATTAACATAGAGTTATATCATTTACGGAGGCGACAGAAACTACAGAATGTTAGGCCAAATGTTTCATCCTAATCTTTGACTCATTTATAATGCAATAGCCTCCTGCAAGATGAACTCCAAAGTTGTTAGTTCTCCTGCTGAACATAATCCAATACCAACATTGTCTAAAGTCATCCATGAGAAGTACTTGTTCTTACACTCCTTGACTGCATCATGGGTGCGTATTCTTGAATAGTCACAGACTAGAACAAAGCAGGTGTCCAGTACTCCCAGATTTCTGATGATTCTCTAATTGGTGACAAGATCTGATCAATATCAACTTGAAATAAATGCTTTAATGTGATAAAAATGAAGACAAACCATTTCATTTGTTTGTAGGTGAGTTGTTAATAAGATTTTTCTTACGTCAAAAAAATTATCATATTAAACTGAATAATTCAAGTCATTTAAATCTTTCACGTTACTATTCATCGTAGACTGACATCAGTTGCAGGAACAAAGGAAACCTGGGAGCACTGGACGGCAGTTTCGTCCTAGTATGAGACTCGTCAGCAGTGCACACTCACGACCCCAACGGGGATTGAACCCGCGACCTTCAGGTTCAGTGACTAGTACGTTGCCATTGCGCCAATGAATCGGAATCCAATGGTTCATACTTCCAACTTATGTCGTTTCACGACATAGTGCGACCGCCACCCCATGTCATCCTTGAGTATTTGTCCTTATGGCCACCAAGTTTGCCCCACTGGTCACCACCTCTCATTGGAACTTGGGGAATCGCCGCTTGGAGCACTAGATCAATCGAATTACCCAACGATTAGCATTAGTAGTCGTGCTACGTCTTGAAACGACATAATTTGGAAATGTAGACCATTAGATTCCGACCCAGTGGCTCAATGGTAACGCGCTGGCCACATAACCTGGAGGTCACGGGTTCGATCCATGGAGGGCTCGTGAATGTGCACTGTTGAAGAGTTCCATAATAGGACGAAACAGCTGCCCAGCGCTCCCAAGTTTCCATTGTCCTCCCAACTGGTGTCAGCCAATGATGAATACAAACTTTAAAAATCACTGAATCCCCACAATCCCCTCAAAATTCATTTAAATCTACCTAGTTACCTTGACCAGATTGGTAACAGTAGTTGGAGCTGATTCATTCTTGCTTCCTTGTGCATTCTATGCTAGGCATTTCAATCACCTAGGCATAATATTCACGATGACTAAACGATCATGTTCAGTTCAGTACACTAGACAATAAGCCAGACCTTATTGTTTGAAAGCTTCGTATACTATCTGACTGCTTAAAGCATGTGAGGTGGATTTTGATATGGGGGCAGAGAGAAAAGACACTAGTCTGGAGAGGGACCAATCAAAATGTACCTTATGATATCACGTCTACAGCTAGACAAACAGACGATGGATCAGCCTATGAATATTATTACTTTAAACAGCGAAGTAGCTATATATATTATTTTCCTTTGCTTTTGGTCTTCGGTCTTTTCGACCCTATCGCCTTGCTGGCATTTTCGTGCCTGGCATTTCGTTAAATCTTGTCTACATAAACAAAACCGATGACTGGACTGTATTGCTGTGAGCCACAAGGACAGTTTTTGCTGCCAACATATACAATGACGTGTACAAAGATCATCCTCTAGATATTGCCCCAAATTCCATTCTCAATTGGCAGGTAAATTTCTTGACTTGATAGCTGATTTTCATGTTCATGTAAATGCACGGCGAAAGAGTATCGAGAAGACTACTGACCCCCACCCCCTGATACACAAGGAGAAACTCCCTCTGCATCGGTCAGATAGATATAAGATAAAGACAGTGCGGCCCATTCTGACCCCAAATAGCATTCTTTCGAAGAGGGAGGTGATATGGGGATAGAGAAAAATGACCAATCCGGAGAGGGGCCAATCAAAATGTAGCTTATGTTATCACTAAACTGCGAACTATCTAAATATTTTCTCCTGTTTCTGAGTCTTTGATCTTTCGATCCCAATACATATTATTACACATCCATAGTCAGGTCAGGAATCAATTAGGAATTTGTTGAACTAGGGTGGCTGACAGTAGATAGCCGTCCATCTTTAGCAGTCACAGCATATAGAGTTTCCAAATTATAACAGATTTAGGTTGGAATCCTTAGTTTACTGATTAAAATGGCAAGTTCGTAACAGTGAAAAAAAAGAGTCAAAAGCACCTTACCTTTTTGGCACCTCTATATCAAAACACCACCGTCTATCGATAGAATCATTCGACCGTCGTCTACACGAGATCACGTTCAATGTTTCAGTATTCTTTAGTGAACGGGGGGAGAAGAAACAAAAGAAATAATTAAAAACGACACCAAACAGATTGTCTAACGGAAACTAACACGATGTTAAACCCATATCTATGACACAAGGTAACCTGGAGATCACTGGTTCGAATTCCGTTGTGGTTGTTGTTTATCGATACTTGTAATTCCCCCTTTGCTATACTGGGTCTAATTGTTCGACCTCTACTGGCAGATAAGCACCTACGCGGATCCCTCGATACTCTCCCGATTACTCATTATGTTGTTGTCTGCTTGGTGGCTATCAGTGGAATCTACAGCGCCCAGTTCCTTGAGACTAGTTAGATAGATGTACTTGCACTCCAGTGGGTTATGTTTTCCTCACTGAGACTCAAACTCAGTACCCATCAAAACCGTTGGGTCACTGGAGAGGCCAGGAGAGCCAATTCTTGTAAAAGGGGTATCACTTGTTGTTTGTGACTGTGCTGAGTTGAATTACTAGACCTATGCTGACATATGGGCTGCTATACAGACGTCTCGATACTGCCCGAATATTTACTATATTGTTTTGTTCATTGTTTTATCTTCAATCATCACTCCGTATTCTAAGGACCAATCTATCAAACTACAAGTATATTAGATAGATAGTCTCACTCATCAACTGATATCACCTAAGAAAAAAACAAAACGATGTAAATAAGTCCATGTGAAGTTATTCATGAAAATTTTTAAATAGACTCAACCGAATAATAATAGTAATAATGAAACTGAACAACGAAGTATAAATCCTAGAATCCAACTATGAACCACAATTGTAGAGATTAATATGATTGGTCAAATCTTGTTAGAAATGGTTCAGACCTAACGATATAGATACATACATTATGTTTTACGAGGCGGATAAAATGAAAATCAACATTTTAAGTTATTAGCCAATGAGGTAAGAGATAAATATTATTGGACAATTTCCTACTTCAGGTAACCAACCATAATGTTATTTTATTTTGACATATATATATATATATATATATATATATATATATATATATATATATATATATATGATGCTCTTTTGTCGAATAAAGTCATACCAGCCCTTTTTCTTCGAATATTTCGTGACTCAGGAGGAAGTAGTTAGGGAATTCGGTTCTATTGCGTTCAGTGCCATTATTATAACAGCGTTGTATTACACTTGGTTACTTCGTTCAATCATGAGCGATGATTCAAATTAGTTTATCACACTGAATTTACATTGTAATAATGAATGGTTCCAAGTATTGAAGAGGAAATCCTAGATTTTGAGATGATGTTGTTCATTAAAAAGAAGAATGTTTCGATGACTGAAGTAACAAATTCCATTTGATATTTACGCGCTAAAAATTCAGTAATGCAGTCACCACCAAAATAGCTTAAGTAGGTATAGCATGTCTGATGACATAGCGAAAGAATGAAGATTTGAATGACAATAAACATGAGTCTTTAACCTGGACAGCAACTTCTGCTGAAGAATTAAAGCCAACTCAACCATATTCAAATGAAATGATAAATGAACTCTCAATAACCAGTTAATCCAAAGTTTTATTCCCTGCAGTTGTGCTACGGACCTGCAATGGCCGAGTTAATCGAACTAATCACTACCGGAGTAAGGGGATTAGTGTCATAAGAAATCATGCATAAGCTAAGGTTAGAAAAAGCAGACAATGATGGAACTATTAACGGACGGATTGAATTCAGGTTAACTCTTATAAAACAAAACAATATGCTGTTTAGTTCAATCAAAAGTCAACAGATACCCTTACTCTGTTACCTTCACCTGTGTATATCAATTTATATGAAGCTGTCGCAGCAAATATACTGGAATAACAGAAAGGAGGGTATATCTTCGATTTTGTGAACACATTTCCAATAGCCTGTGATTGAAGGAGAAACAACACTTTGAACAGTGTCATCACTTGGCATTTGATTGACATTGCACATCAAAACAAGACGTCTACAATTCCTTCAAAATAATAAACAAACAAACAAGCTCGATTCCACTGAAGCTTGCAAATGTTTGAACGCCTCAAACCTCATTCATGTCTTCAAAAGGCAACTATAAGCAACTACTGTCTACTTCGGTGACCGTTCTTGACTTATTTCATCACATCATCCTTGATCAACTTCATATGTTGATCTTGTTGTATGTTCGACTTACGTAACCGTATGGTTTTCAGTCTCAACATTTCAATTCCTACACCTAATATAAGAGTAGAACTTAGGTACTGTGGTAGACTGTAATTCCATTTTAGTCTGTTTATTAGATATATCAAACACAGTGACCAGATAGTATCGTCTACTACATAATGTACGTTTCGGAAACAATTTATTGTCCATATTCATATCAGATAAATAACTACACAGCATTCAGACAGACTTCATATGGTCATAATCCTCTCTCCTTCTTTGTGACATCTGGGACAGGTACACAATCATTTCTATCTCTGCATATATTTGGTGTTGATTCGATAAACAAAAATTCAGTTGGATATCAATCTCTCCGTCCCCACCCCCCACGTCCCCCCTCAACAGAACTAAGTTACACCTTAATGCTGTCGCTCTATCCCACCCCATTGTATAATTAAGTAGAACTGTGGGCAGAACTATAGCCAAGCTTTTCTCTGCATTCCTTATCTTATTCCCTTCTACTAATCTTAATGTGCTTAAGCTTTTGTGCTCTATTATTCTAATCGACCCTGGTCAACTACTTTCACCTATGCATTTCACCTCACAATCATTCCAAGGGATTTGGTAAACCAGATTATTTTGCTTAATTGTATCAATCGGATCTTTTAACCTACAAAGCTTGTTTCTAAGTCAGTTTGTTGGTTTGAATGCTACTTTAATCCCAGCCTTATTGAGAATTCTTTGTAATGCTTCTGAGGTGCCTTCCTTGTATGCTAACACAGAAGAGGATCTGAATTCTCTCTCAATCCTGTCACTATTATTATTATCATTAGTAGAATTATTACTAATAACACCTGTGTTACTACTACTACTACTACCACTACTATTATTGCACATATCTTTCTCTCGATTTCTCATCAATTTATTTATAAATATAGGTGGGCAATTATTAAAACTCAAGGTATTCTTGATGTGTCTGATTTCTTGTCGTAGATTTCGTGGTCTACTAGTAAGCTTTACCACCGTATCAGTTAGGTATTCAACTAAGCCAAAGTTAACTGAAATGGCGTGAGATGATTTAAAGTTTAATTAAACATCCGAATGGGAAGGTTTCCTATAGACACTAGTTTCTAAACTTTTATCTTGTGTTTGTCTAATCTTGCAATCCAAAACTGTTAGCCCACCTTCATGACTATCGAAGTCATAGGTGATTCAGAATGCGTTAACTACTGACATTATAAGTGTCAAGAACTTATTGATGTGTTCCGATTTCAGCACTTCAAGTTTGCCATCTACATATCGGGTTGCTTCAACACTACGGAGAGCCACTAATCTTTATCAACCTCATTCAGCAGCTATAAGAAGGGTTCACATGCCAAGTGATCCACAATGGAAAGCTCACTGACGCCTTCGAAGTGAAAGGAAGACAGGAGTAAGATAAGGCTGTCTACTATCGCCCATGATCTTCCTGATTGTGGTCGACTGGATCATGCAGCAAACCGTGAGAAGCGAGAAAATGGGCATACGCTGGCTAGACCGATGAAAAGACCCCAGAAGAAGATTTGCACTTCGCCAATGATGATTTATGTCTAACGTATTGTCGCACAAACTCGAAGATTCACAGGCAAAAATCAACAGGTTGACAGAAGAGGTAGCGAAGGAAGACAGGACTTCAAGTGAACGTGGACAAGACAGAGGTGATGAAGATACTCAACCACCAACTCCATCAACAACAAGCACCAATCAACATTGACGAAAGAAACCTAAACGAAATAGTCTCTTTCACTACAAAGGCAAGACAGCATCGTTCCAACTACAGGTGGTGGTACAGACGAGGATGTCAAAACCAGGATCAGAAAAGCAAGACAAGCCTTCCTTCATTAATCTGAAATTAGTGTGATATTCTGCACTCAGCATGTGGAACAAGATCCGGATTTTCAACACCAATGTCAAGTCAGTGCTTCTGTATGATGGTTGGGACAGTTGGCGCGTTACGAAAAGCATTTCCAACAAACTGCAGACATTTATCAACAACTGCCTACGCTGGCTCGTTACTGAAGATCGATGAGATGGCCAGAAAGAATAAGCAACAACGAACTCTGGCAACTAACCAACCGAGAACCTATAACCCAACGAATATGCAGAAGAAATTGGAGATGGATTGGGCAAACAATGAGAAGGCCGACTGAGGACATCATGCGCCAGGCGAGGCTCTTGAGTGGAATCCAAAGGAGAAACGACGAGTTGGGTGTCCGAGGAGAGGGTGACATGGAGGAGATGATATGAGGAAGAAATGAAAGGTTATGGGCAGTGGTGGCGCCAAGATAAAAAAACTGCAGAGAAGAAAGTGGAATGGAAGCGTGCTACTGAAGCCCTATGTTCCACTAAGAACCCAAGGGAAAAATAATAATAATCTACATATCGGGACCATATCTTTGGAGTAAGAGTATATGTTCGGTGGGAGAGCTTGATAAACGAAACTTTGTTGATTTAATCAATACGAAATATATGCAGTAAGACAAATGATTCCTTACTTTTTCCAGATATATGCAGAATCCTACTACCCTTTTCATCACAAAGAAGGAGTTGGTTAACTGGTATGAATATGGACAATAAATTGTGTCCGAAACGTCATCCAGTAGACGATTCTGTGACTTCGCTGTGTGTGTGACATATCTAATAAACAGACTAGAATGGATTTCTACTCTGGTCTTCATTTTCTATTCAAGAAACTTCAATTACATTATGTATATAATTGTGACTGTTTATTGACCCTCCATGAATTTACCGTTATGATTTACTTTTTACTCTGTGACCATTTCTACCCATCTTAACCACTGATGGACATGGTTTACTTCGAATGAACTAAAGTAGTATGTTAAGTTTACAGTAAAGCTGGATATTTTGGTATATCAGTTTGTAAACAGTTGACAGGATACCACGGAAACAAAAAAATAGATCCATTTTATCCTGCTCTTTGATTACTGTTCTTGCTCTGTTTTCTATTTTCATAACGCGGAATTCCTTCATGAAAGTTCAAACAATATTTGATCTTCCCCTACTTTCGATATTGTATTCATCATGATATCAAGGATTCATAGCCTTACAGAGAACCTCAGTGAACTCATATCACACAAGAACCCTGATTAAATCAAGAAGAGAGACAATGTTTCTTAATGTTTTATGGTTAGCCTAACCGAAAATCATTCTATCCACATGTAAACTATTGTGCTAAATAAAACAAAATAAACTTACACTATCTGAATCTTGGTATTGAGTATACGGTGTAAGCTTTAAAATTTTGCTGTTACGATTGTATGTACAAAAATTTTTTGTCCAAACTGTCACAACAGCTTCTAAAATGTAAGTGAAATGAGTCGATTAAAGCAAGTGAATAAAATCAATTATGTAAGCATTAAGTTAAGATGAGAAACACCCAACGTTATCATTTATCAAATGTTTCCTATTGGAAATAATGAATAGTGATCTCAACAATGACAATGACTTCAATAGAATTATGAGAATAATTACATGATATATACTACTGAATGACTACAATGAGTAGAAGTCGTAGTAGTAAACTAATCAAACATCAATCACTTGCCGAATCAAGATGGTTTATGAGTTAATGAAAATGAGAATGATTTGAAAGTGTCAGTAGGCATTGAGACAAAAGGACAATGTAGGTTAAAGTTTAGAAAAGGACAATAAAGTTGTGTAATACCAGAGGAAAGCTCAGTGATGTCTTTGAAGTGAAGACAGGAGTAAGATAAGGTTACCGCTTACTAAAACCACCGATGATCTTCCTGATTGTGGTCGACTCTATAGGACTGCATCATGCATACTACAAGTATGAGGAGCGAGAGGATCGATATACGCTGGTTGGACCGATAAAAAGACCCCAGAAGAAGATTTGCATTTCGCCAATGATGGTGTTTATGTCTAATGTCTTGTCACACAAACTCGAAAATATACAGGCAAAAACTTACAAGTTGACAGAAAAGACAGCGAAGACGGTACTTCCTTCAGGTGAACGTAGAGAAGACAGAGGTAATGAAGATACTTAACCAACAACAACAACAACAAACACCAATCACCATCAACGGGAGAGAGAAATATAAACAAAGTTGTCTCTTTCACCTACCTAACTCTCTACCTAGGCAGCATCCTCTCTCAACTACAGCCGGCACACGCACAAATGAGGATGTCCAAGGCAGGATCGGAAAGACAACAAGGCAGGCCTTCACTTCACTCCACTTCAGTCAGCATAAAGCGTGAACAATATCCGCATTTTCAACACTAATGTCAGTCAGGTAAATTAGTGCTTCTATATCATGGTTGAGAGACTTGGCGGCACGTTACAAAACGCATTTCTAACAAACTTCAGAAATAAATCATCAACAGCTGCTGCCTAAGCTCACTCGATACTAAAGATCGATCAGATGGCCGGAAACAATAAGTAACGAGGAGCTCACTCTGGCTTTCAACGAACCAACCAACAACCTATCACCCAAAGTGTATGCAGAAGAAAGTGGGGATGGATTCGATTGGACTGCGCATACACTGAGAAGACGGTTTGAGGAAATCACGCGCCTAGCCAAACCAGGCCAGGCCCTTGAGTGGGACCGAAATGGGAAACTACGAGTTGGGCGTCCTAGCCGAGGGTGACATGGATGAGATCATGTGAGGATGAGACGAAACCTTCCTGCCAATCGTGAAACCAGGTCAGAAAGACTGTAGAGAAGAGAGTGAAATGGGGACGGGCTAATGAAGCGCTATGTTCGACTAGGAACCGAAAGGAAGAATAATAAAGATAACAAAAATACCAGAGGATGAAGACACCGAATGAATAGTGGTGTAAAATGTCATTCATTAAGTTTTAGTTCTACAAAAGAAATTTAGTGAAATATTTGGCAACCAGAGCAAGGGAACTCTGTTCAGATAACACTCTACAGAGTAAGCTAGAGTCCATTTCGAAAGAAACCACAATTCATAAGGTTACAACTCAATAGGGACTCTCGAGGACCATTAAAAGAACCTGCAATCAATCACTGTTCATCGTTTTCTAGTCGAACGAAGTACAAGTTACCTAGTTTTCTCACTTCCCCATGTATTTACCAGTTTCACTGCTGCAGTGTAAACATTAATATCAGGACAATAACAAGGAAACGTAACCAACGTATTACCCAACACCTAACTTCGGGACAGGGAAAAGAGCAGGTTATATCTATAAGAAGCCTTATTTTATTGCATCTGGTTCACAATAGTCATACAGTGGATAAGACGAAAGTGTTCAAAGTGGTCTACTGTACGCCAAAATAATTTTCTCGATGGAAGTCGAACTCTAGTCCTACATATCGTTAAGGCTTTAAGAATTCGAAAGACCAATCCGAAGCTCTGGATTCAGAAGGAATTTGAGCAGCCTTTATCCCTGCTTTATTCAGGGTAAACTTAATGAATGACCTTACTGATGAGTTTTAAAAAGTACTTCTTCTCCTTTATATCTTCATTGTACTTTTCTCACTCCTTTCATACCAAAACTATATTTACTTTTAAGCTTCATTTATGCATTGCCTTCATCCCCCTCTAGTATTACGCAACCATATAATACTTTTCCAAGATCTGCCTTGCTTTGTTTGCCTTTCAGGTCTCCCTCTCGTCACTTGACTACACAGAGATTGACCTAATCACAGGAGAATTTTCGTCATACCTAGAATACCCAGATAACATAGTCCTGTTAGGTGAAGACGCTGACAAGAGACAAAGTCTTGCGGAAACTCTGAGTAGCAATTTGAGAATGTTTGGGATGCATTTCTCACCACCCAAATACAAACTGTTGCTCCAAGATTGGTCTTCAACGGTGTTCCACTGAGGTCAACATTACAGAGTGTAGTGGTTGAGTGTGTCGACCACTTCACTAACCTGGGAAGTAGGAACAGCCCTGATAGCTCAGTGGCCAACAAAATCTATGCACAAATACAAAGGCTTGGCTGAATTTCGCCAAATGACGCCATCTGTGGCATCGCCACGATATCCAATTGTCTATTGAGGATCGTGTGTACTGCACAGGAGTCCACTTTATTCTACTCTATGGCTGTGAAACATTGCCAATGAAGGTGGAAGACATGAGAAGGCTGGCTTTAAGTGTTTGACCACCGTTACCTTCGTAGTATATGCCGTATTCCATGGTGTCACCACGTGAGTAACGCACAAGTCAGGTATAGTTTTAGGGAGAAGAGGTCAGTCAGTTGACACGGTTGCGAACCCTCATCAACTGAGATGTGTGTTGTGTATGTCTAGTCACCGTCTGCCCCACCACATAATGTTGGATGAAGTAGGTTCAGGCTGGAAAAGGCTTGGATAAAGGAGCAGACTAAAACATGAGACCAATGTATGAAGTCTCTGACTGTTGGTTTGAGCCATGTGGGACGATTTAGACTAGCCGACTGGGGTCCAAGGGGCAAGATAAACCAGTGGTTCAAGTCTCTAGATGATGAAATGACTCACAAATGATATCAGTGGTGCAGATGTATATACACATTATCGTCATCTTAACGATATACCGAGTCTCACCATTTTCTCATTCTTCCTTTCCTCCTTTTAGTACTTTATATTTCTCTAGACTGAATTTTCTTTTCTTCATCTTCTACTTCATGCCTTTTTACTTGATGTACTGGTATGAAGTATGGAAACTCGAACCGAAGCTCAGTACTGCCTGGTTCCATGTTGATTTGGATGGACGGATGGATTGTCTGTCCTTCTGTCTGAATACAACACTTGTTTACATTGTTGTATCATTCCAAACATTCACATAACCTCATTAATTTTACCCTTTGATTTTTTAAAAGAGTTTATCAGTTTAAAGACTATTTTCTTCGTAGAATAACGGGAAATGACTGTTCTCTTCAGACTTCGAATTCCTTAAAAGCGCGCACTCTCACCTTTAAATATGAGAGTACACCGTATACATCCGATACAAGTATATTCTCATGAAACTAAATCATTTCCACAGTACATCAGTTTGAGTTTTGTGGGAGTTGTGGGGATTCGGAAATATTTTAAGTTATTATTCATTGTAGACTGACGTCAGTTGGAGTAACAAAGGAAACCTGGGAGCACTGGACAGCTGTATCGTCCCACTAGTATGGGACTCCTCAGCAGTGCGCACCCACAACCCCGCAAGGGATTGAACCCGTGACCTTCAGGTTCCGTGGCCAGCACGTCACCATTGAGCCGCTGGGTCAGAATCCAATAGTCTATATTTCCAACTTCTGTTAGTCACGGAACCTGATGGTCACGGGTTCGATCCCTAGCGAGGTTGTGGGTGCGCACTGCTGAGGAGTCCCATACTAGGACGAAACTGCCATCCAGTGCTCCAAGGTTACTTTTATTCCTCTAACTGATGTCAGTGTACGATGAATAAAAACTTGAAATATACCCGTTTGTTTATAGCTTGAGAGTGGAAATATGAATATCAAATTAAAACGTAGTATTTAGAGTTGATAACTTTAAAAATAGATTATACCCTATTGGTTTTCGTATCATTAATCTACACAGTTACCCTGATGAATATTGAATAATGAAGTATCCGTTGCTTAAAAGTCAATCACGTAGATTCATTGTCAAAAAGGAATCATATCACTATTCTAATGATAAATAGAAGAAATACACAACTTACTTTTAGTCGCTACAAACACATAACCTTCACGAGTGTCTGTTGAATGTGTTGATTGTATCTGTTCCCATGGTGTATTGAGTAGTTTTTCAGTTAATGTTTTTGTTTCAACACTGATTTGTTCATAATTTTCACTAGACTAACATAAAAATTAAAAAGATGAAATAAGATAGTAATGCCATAGAATAAATAAACATATCAAATCTGATAGACTGTTATCGGTTATCCTATTTAAATATAGGAAAACACAGATGACAGACAATAATGAAGAATAAGGTTTTCTTTTCGACAAAAACATTCTCTTAGGTGTACATTCATGAATATATAATTGAAGGGTTGTACATTCCAGAGGGATTTCTGATCGAAGGTCAATATAAATTGTATCATACAAGGGAAAGTTACGTAATAGGGAAATAAACAAGGAAATTGAAAATTTATTTTAGACCGGGCCAGTAGCTGAATGGTTAACGCGTTTGCCGTGAAATCTGAAGGTCCTGAGCTCGATCCCTAGCTGGATCGTGGGCACGTGCTGCTGAGGAGTCCCATACTAGGACGAAACAGTTGTTCAGTCCTCCTAGATTTTCAATGGTTCCTCAACTGACGTCAGTCCATGATGAATAGTTCTTCTGAATCGAAATCCCCATTCATCTCAAAAATATACATTACTGTATAGTGCTCATTAGTGACTTGCTTCCAGATGGATATCATGAAGCTTTAATGAGAAGTCGTGACCTGTGGGATCGACCAGTCGGAAGTGAAGCGGACGCTAACTGAAGACCTTGGGTGATAATCGCTCTATGTCATGAATTGACGGGAGTTGGGAACTGTGAACCACTGGAAACCGACCCAGTGGCTGAATGGCAAACGCGTTTGCCGTGAAACCTGAAGGTCCTGAATTCAATCCCTAGCTGGGTCGTGGGTGCATACTGCTGAGGAGTCCCATACTAGGACGAAACAGTTTTCCAGTGTTCTCAGGTCTTCAATGGTTCCCCAACTGATATCAGTCCATGATGAATACTACTTCCAAAGTAATTGTAAAATAAAAATAGTTATGTCATATATGGGTTATTTAAAGTGATCGATAATCTACGATGCCTATGGCAAAGAAGGAAGTTGTACACACATCTCTTGAAAGCATTATTATGCTTTGAATTTTCCAACAGCTAATGCTTCACCTATAAATCAGGTGTCTTAGCCTCACTCTTTTAGAGTGGCTTGGTCACACTTTGTACAGAAGTTCGAAGGACTTGTCAAAAAGAGCCAAATGTTCTGAGTTTACTAAGTGTTCTGTTACAGAGTTTGACCTTCAAATATTACACCGGATCAGTCAATTATTTGTCGGTGATTTCTATCTGTTTAAGAAAAGATGACGTATTAGAATTGACTGACAGGATATTACGACATAGGAGAACGCTACTAACGCAATGAGATACTGGAACCGGATACAAATAGTAACTGTTCTCTTTCAGACCTAACACTTCAGTGAACTGCGAAACTCGGAAGACAAAAAACGCCCTGTGATTTATGAGCAAGACACTTTATTTGAGAAAAACATTTCATTTATATGCAGTATTCCCTTAGAAAAGTCACAAGGTCAGAAGTCAGGTACTTATTTTCATTGGCCAGCTGAAGGACAACATTGTCCAATAAGGTTTTTCCTGACCACACAGTGAAATAAAAAACGTCAAAATCTAAAATTTCTGCCTTAACGGCTGATAACTTATAATGTTGGTTTCGATTTAGGCCGTTTCCTATCAGTATTCATAACCAATCATTATGAATCAGTCAAGTAATCCAGATAACACAAACAATGACACACAATGTAATGATGGACAGTGGCTAGCATTGGAATCCAGGACGCGCATTTCGTTTTATTTGGGACGCGTCAACTGGATGTACCTGCGTCGCGATGAGCGATGTTGTTCCCATCGGGGTACGAACCCGGGGCTGATCGTTTCAGACGCCAGAGCGTTATCCACTACACCACCGAGCCACGACAGCCACTGTCGTTGATTGGACCGAATTGATCGGCCTTATTGGCATATGGTCTCCTGTGCAGATGCTTCGATATTGCCTGTGTTTTATTTATATATTAATGATGGATAGGGGTTAGGAGTGGAATCTAGGATGCACAATAATACTAAAACTGTACCCGTCACATAAGAAGTGACTATCGTGGCTAGGTGGTCTACTAGATAACGCTGTGGCGTTTGAATCGATCGGTCCCGAGTTCGAACCCGGGTGGGAACAACACCACTGGGAGGCAGGTACATCCACCTGAGGAGTCCCAAATAAAACGAAAGGTGGATCCTGGATTCCACTACTAGTCATTATCCATCATTACTATAATTAGAACACAGGTAATATCGAGGCATCCGCACAGGAGTCCATATGCCAATAGAGACCGATCAATTCGGTTCAATCAACGACGGTATAATACAAGCAATTATACTAATGACATTCATTGTTTTCTGAAAACAATTCTTGTTGTGTATGTGTGACTAATCCAAAGTGCCAGCGATCACCGGGTTACCGGCCCAGTGCTCTACCAACTGAGCTACAATGCCCGACTGCTGATCAGAATTTTATTTCCCTTCATCAATCACCAAGCGTTTTACCCAACTACCACGTGAATTCATGAAGCATTACTATCGCTTGATCGTGTTCACACTGGCTGCCTAGTCAGGGCTAGTATAAATACTAGTCCGCTAAACTACAGCTATCTCGGATAGTCAAATGATTATCACACTTTCACAGTATCTTTTCGATCTCGATTATGATCCTCGTTTCTTTCCTCACCTTCTTCACATCTATCAAGTGGACACTCAATCATCATATTTCACATCTACTAACAATGTTCACCTTGTCAAACTCCTTCTCTTTCTGATTATTTTTACTGCCTAGTAGATGATTACACAACTTCTTTCCAGTTTTCACTTCAGCTTTTAACGTTAGCAGGCGTAAGGATGCGATCATAGCCTATTCTTCAACAACAAACTAATATATAATATTGTTGGTTGTATTACCCACCGATGAATACAACCTTAAAAACTACTATCTGTTTGCGATATATTTATAAATACGATTATACAGCTTTGAAAAACGACAATGTCGAAACATTTCTACACTGAATGATCCTCCTCTTTTCTCTGTAACTTAATAAGCATATTGACTAATCATTGAATCATCCTGTCAGTTCCGCCTAGATACTCGTCGCCACAACTATAGGCGTCTGGATTCACATAGGTTTATCTGTTCTCTGTAGGTCATCTCTAATTGACTTGGAGTATGCAGGCGATGTCGTCCTGCTGGGTGGAAACACTGACAAAATGGAGGGTCTGCTGGAAGTATTCCCAGCTTAATGATAAGGAGTAAAGTGATAGAATTTGTCGACCACCTCAATTACTTCGGCAGTTGCATCAGCCAGAACAACCGGGCTACTGACGAAATCTCAGCTCGGCTACAGAAAACCCCTTTGGCATTTGCCAACTATCATCACCTGTGCCGCTGATTGGCAAGATATCTGACTATCTATCGAACGAGGAGTATATTGCGCTGCAGTCTACTCTGTCCTGTTATGTGATTGTGAGACATGGTCATTAAAAGTAGACGACATGAAGCGGTTTTAGAGTTTTAACTGTAGGTATCTTTGTAGAATCACCGTGTGAGCAATATTGGGGTAAGGCGTAAGATATCAGGCAAGACAGGCAAGTCGACTAGCGAGGTTTTGAACCTTAGTCGACTGATATGGCTTCCACATGTACTGCATATGCCGAGCCAACACCTACCTCTACGTGGCATCCTAAGGGAAGTTTGATAAGCTGTAAGACTGTTCAGGTTGGCAAGACTAAAATGTGGCATCAGTCGACGACGTCCCTGAGACGATAAGAACCACTGGTTGAGAACTGGTCACGTGACTGGAAATCGGTCACAATGGCACAGATGTATTCACTCCTTGAATATTCACAATAACCATTATCTTCAAATTGTTTATTCTCTCATACAACTTTATCTACACTGGTATCACACGTCTTTTATCCACCAGTTGTTTGTGTACTACTGTAAAGTATGGCAACCTGAGGTGATGAACTTCTGTGAAAATTGTTTTATTTTTGAAACATATAAAAAGATGATAATGTTTCAAGACTTACACGTTGTGCTGCTTGAAGAATTTGACTAATTTGATGGGATGAATCCTTGAATTGTTCGAAGGCTTGATGATAGAAATTTGATAGCATTCGCATGATCAAAGTTATCTGTTAGTGTAGAGGAGAGAACAAACAATATAAAACAAAAATAATCTAACTGCATAGATAAACAGGCAAATAGAATACTGATGAAAACAGATGACAAACAGTGCGAGAGCCCAGAACAATACGTATCGATTTAAAATAGATAAAATCCTAGTGAACAATCTTTGCGCTCTCTTGCGTGCAGACACACACACAGAACATCAACCAAAGTGACAAAATTCCTAGCAAAAGGAATGGAAACAATAAAAGTTTAGACAATTTCTTAGAATCTTGGAAACCAGGCAGGTAGCCTACAATTCTAGATCAGGCCAAAACCCTATTTACTTAGACTTGATAAATCTAATGCACTTTTCGGTCTATGCATAGTCTAATGTGGTCAACATAAACCGAGAGAAGCATAAATCACGCACATTTCTATCAAAATTGCATTTGATCAGACAAATAGAAAAAACAAACAAATAGAAACTGTATCTATTATTATTTTGTCCCTTGGGTTCCAAGTGAAACATACCGCTTCAGTAGCACGTAGCCATTTCCATCCCTTCTCTGAAGTCTTCTTCTTCCACGACTACCCAGAAGCTTTCATTTCTTCCTCACACGATCTCTTCCATGTTACCCTTGGCTCGGACGCACAACAAGTTACTCCCCCTTTGGGTTCTACACGACGGCCTGGCATGTCCTGAGGCGTGATTTCCACAAATAGTCTTCTCAGTGTATCTTCGATCTTCAGCATATTTTTGGGCGATAGCTTTCTTCCTTGTTGGTTCGTTGTCAGCCAGAGTGACTTCTCTGTTACTTATTATTCTCACAATCTGATCTTTAGTATCGAGTAAGTGTACGCGGCAGCTATTGATGACCTATGTCTGAAGTTTGTTGGAAATGTTTTTCGTAATGCGCAAAGTGGAGACGCAGCTTACTGGAAAGAAGATCAGTTCAAGGGGGACCAGATGTAGGTTCACACCACTATCTAGTGCAAGGAACCTTCCAAATCAAGTTGAAAGCCTTCAAAGAAGTTGGTGATAGACCACAGTTCAAGTTCAACACTCAGAACAGAAATTGAACTGAAGGACGAAACTACAAAGAAAATCTTCACGTCAGCTATCAGGAAAAAATGGGAGACATTCAGCAACATCCCTGGAGAATCCGGTGCGGAAGAACACTCGAACTCCTTGAAAGAGACATGGGAGGAAACCTGCATAAACTTGATAGGAAGGAAGAAGAAAGAAGATAAGGAATGGATCTCGACGGATACATGGAAGCTAACAGAGCAGGGAGAGGAAGATGGTGAAGCAGAAAATGAACCAGTGCAAGGATGAAAAACAAAAAGAACTGAACACAACATATAGAACACTACACTGGACAAAGAAGTGAAGAAGAGTGCACGCAAAGACAAAAGACACTTCCACGACACACAGGCAAGTGAAGCAGAACAGGCTGCAGGTAGGAGAGATCTGATAACACTATATGAAATAACCAGGTTACTATCTACGAGGGAAGAGATCAGCGTAGACGAAACCAATGAAAGATAGTGAAGGAAACCTAGTTAACAAAGAGGAGAAACAAAGGAAACAATGGGCCGACAACTTCAAAAAAACTTAATTGAACCACGAAAATATCAGAAGGCAAAGACACCGAGCACTAACTGTAAGGAAGATACTTTCTTCGACACGAATGTGTCAATCACACACTTATAAGTAAAATGGCTTGTTATGATTGGTCTGTTGTAGAAGAGATTGTCCAATAGGGGTTTACCTGACTACACAGTAACTTGAAACGAAGGTTGAAAGCCAAAACTTCTACCTTAAACGGGTGATGACTTAAAATGCTATTTTCATTTAGAACGCTTCCTATAACTTTTTCCCCTATAATTTTTCAGGTCATCCAATCACTACAGCCATATCAAGACGCTAGAGTGAAGACTAATGACTTTTATTTCCCGAACCCGATGAATCCTTTGTATAACCAGTTCATCAAGCAATACATAATCTCCAGATAAAAATCTTTATCCCTCCCTTATTGGAGGAAGTAACAGTAAAACGTTTGGCTTTGTATCAAAAGATGTTCACCAGATTTTCGATAATAATAAACAACTTCTAGTATTTGAAGATTAATATGTACAATACGACACTCATCTAAACATTTCCATCGGATAAACCTGTATATCTATTGGCTTTGTCGGTTAATTAACGTCCAGGAATAAAGATGTGACGAAGTCATTAAACCACAAGTGGATGAATATTGCACGAAATTAGTTGAAAGTTAGTTCTGAACAATGAATGAGTTGTAAAACTAATGACACCTGTCTTATAAGCGAGGTAAGCCGCCTTTTCGATCAGATTATCAGAAATAAACCATATATTCATCAGCTTACGAAGCAAGCCATATATATATATATATATATATATATATATATATATATATATATCCATATTTGATGCAAAACAATCCTCGTACACCACACCAGAGTGCAGTTTTTATCAGTCACAGAAATCTGTGCTACATATCCCTAATCTTTCTAACATTTAATTGATTGACGCACTCAAAATGCACAATCGAATAAACTATTGAACATTGAAAATTGAATGTTGTTAATTCAAACAAATAGGCTTGTTTTATTTTTAGCTATTAATTATGTCGAGCAAACAGAGATAGAAAAGAAAAGAGAGAGAAAGATTGACATACAGAAATGCATGCCTTATGCATATATGCGTAACTGACAACTCCATAGTTCAAGGATTCCTATGAAATATTTCTCAGAGAAAAAAGAGCTTGATAAAAGAATCTAATGAAGAAATTTCAACATTCAATGCTCAATCTAAAAAGTATAACAAACTGTTAATCAACGCTAATTACAGTTTAAACCATGAGAAAATACATTTACTGTATTCTGTATATTTCTGTTCTTCAACAACGTAATTTAGATGAAACTAACCTGACAAACAGTGAGTGGAATTAAATATAACTCTGTATCCTTCAACAGTTTTGCGGTATAATGATGCATACCGAGTGAGATTAAACCGGTGACCCAAAAAATTGAACTAAACATCTAACTTCATTTATCCACAACTTTATTCAAATTTCAATTTAGTAATTACCATGAACTGACGTTAGCTAGAAGAACATTGGAAACCTGGGAACATTAGACAGCCGTTTCGTCTCATTAGTATGGGACTCCTCAGTAATACGCAGCCAGAACCTTCGAGTATCGTGGCCAGCACGTTACCATTGAGTCAATTGGCTTGGAATTCAGTGGTCCATGTTCAAAATCCTGTCAATTCACAATATAGCCTCACCGTCACTAAACGTCATCACATCCACCAGGTTCGTCAACCGGTCTTGACTTCTAACTGGAGCTTCAGCAATCACCTCTTGAACCCAGTTTATGATGCATAAGAACTCAAAATCAATAAATCCCCAGTAAAACGTCCCAAAAAAGGTACCTGCCAACTGAAAGAAGGGCTACTCTGTCAAAATCCCAAAGAAGGGAGACCTGAGTCTTTGTTAGAACTGCCGTGGAATCATAATCCATCATCATAGAACAGAGCATAGAATGGCAGTCAACTCTCTACCTCAACTTCATCGATTTTCTACAGCGTCGACAGACAAGTAATTTGCACCTGCTTCAAAAGTACGCTTTGAAGTGAAAATGGAATTAGACTCATCCATGAACTTCCTGATTATGGTCGACTGGACTGGATCATGCAATAGACAACTGTGAAGAGTGATAGGATGGGCATACGCTGACTTGACTGATGAAAAGACCCCAGAAGAAGATTTGCATTTCGCCAATGATGGTGTTTATGTCTAATGTCTTGTCACACAAACTCGAAAATCTACAGGCAAAAATCAACAAGTTGGCAGAAGAGGCGAGGCAGCTAAGGAAGACGTATTGCCTTCAGATGAACGTAGAGAAGACAGAGGTGATGAAGATACTCAACCACCACCACCAACAACAACAACAAGCACCAATCACCATCAACAGGAGAGAGAAATAAAAACAAAGTTATCTCTTTCACCTACCTACCTCTCCATCTAGGCAGCATCCTCTCTCAACTACTGGCGACACACGCACATACGACGATGTCAAAGCCAAAATAGGAAAGACAACAAGACAAATCTTCCTTCATTAATCTCAAATCAGTGTGGAGATCTACTGTACTTCACTCCACTCTACTCAGCACAAAGCATGAACAATATCTGGATTTTCAACACTAATGTCAATCAAGTTAGTCAGTGCCTCTATGTGATGGTTGAGAAACTTGGCGGCACGTTACCAAAAGCATTTCCAACAAACCGCACTCATAAATCATCAACAGCTGCCGCCTACGCCTACCAACAACCTATCACCCAACGTGTATGCAGAAGAAAGTGGAGATGAATTGGACATACACTGAGAAGACGGTTTGGGGAAATCACGCGCCTGGCCAAACCAGGCCAGGTCCTCGAGTGGAACCGAAATGGGAAACGACGAGTTGGGCATTCGAGGTGAGGGTGATATGGAGGAGATGGTGTGAGCAAGAAATGAAAGTTTATGGGGAGTGGTCGAGCCAGGTTAAAATGAAGACTGTAGAGAACAGAATGAAACGGTTACGTGCTACTGAAGCCCTATGTTTCATTAGAAACGCAAAAGGCAAATAATAAAATAATAATAAGCGAACCTCCAAATAGGAGAAGAGCTGTTGTTCAGAAATGTGACTTGTAGTTATGAGGTGTTCGAGAGTTGTTTTCTTGCTTGACCTGTGTTTGAATCTCATGACTTCGTTAGACTGAGGTCTGACAAACCATACAATTGATTAGCTTGAAACTCTATCACACAGTTTTCCGAATCGAAACTGGTCAAAATCATGCTACAGCTTCCTCATTCCTTGTATTGTTGAAAACTCTTTTTCATGGATCGTTTGAGATTGATTTTGTCATCAATCGACTCTTGTTCATTTTTCGTCGTGCCAAGTTTATATTTAGACGAGAGGAATAGTTAAATTCTCGAGATTTTATCGAATATTATCAATCAGATCGTTGATGATGATACCATTTCCTATCAATTGTTTGCTAATTTTCACTATCGATGTTTACATTTAGAAAAAAATAGTGAAAAATATTTTGAAGATATGTCTATGTTTAGTTGGAATGAAGAAAATATTTTCCAGGACTTAGAAGAAGTAATGTGTAAGATAGGCAGACAGTATGTGTGTATGCGTATTTGTGTCTTGTTACTACTCAGTAGGTACGTTAAATGTGTTGTTCATTTCGCCTTCACAACCGACTTGTGACCATATATCACGGTTACTATCATGTCATCAGTGTAAAAACAAGACATATACGAGCCTCTTTTTCTTGCTTTCTGCACTGAATGAATGTTTACTTACCGGTGTGTGTATTTTACTGTACGTGTGATTCGAATTGATTTCTTATATTAAATTACAGAAGACCAGTCATGGTGTCTTCCCTATTTCGTCTTTTCCTATGTCATTTTCATACTTTTTATTTAGTCTAGCAAAAAAAGGTGGTTTCGATTGTTTGTCCAGAATTTATCGATTTCAAGGTAATGTTTTATGATGCCTAAATGTTTTTGAGACATATAAAGTACTGGACAGTTAATGTTTCATCCTAATTTGAAACTTCGCTACAGTGTACATAAATACCACCGTATTCAGGATCATGTCCCTTGGGTTCCTAGTGGAACATGGGGATTCAGTAGCACACTGCCATTGCACTCTCTTCTCTGAAGTCTACTTTTCAACCTGGCTACACCACCGCCCACAACCTTTCATTTCTTCATCACATGATCTCTTCCATGTCACCATAATCTCGGACGCCCAACTCGCCGTTTCCCATCTAGGTTCCAATCAAGGGCCTGGCCTGGCGCGTGATGTCCCCAATCAGCCTTCTCAGTGTATGCCCAATACATCTTCACTCCCTTCTGCATATTTGTTGGGCTATACGCTCTTGGTTGGTGTCAGTAAACATATCACTAGTTAATTATTAGGTAAAGCATAAATCATCTACACTTCGCAACTATTTTTAACTCCTGGAAATTATCTATTGTCTTTTGATTTTCCTATCACTTGTCTAGTTTCTATACAAGCGAAAAACTGTTTTTGTGATAATTGGTTTGATCATAAAAACTTTAAGCTCTCAGTGTTACTAGTCAAACATCCTGTATATATATATTAAAACTTAACCACCAATCCACAAAAAGATATAATCATCATCAAGATCAGAATAGGTCTAGGTATTACCGCTTAACAGTTCAAGTTGTCAGGCACACAAATCAGCACATCACGTAACAAGACAATAAAATCAAAGCTGAAGAAAATCGATCAAAGGAAGTAAAAGATAATCCGGTTGGATTTAGTGGTTAAGATGACGATAATAAAGTGTACATCTGGGGTACTGACATCGGATCTCAGCCATGTCATCGCCTAGAGTATCAAACAACTGTTTTCTCATGTCCCACCGACCCAAACCACCTAGTCTATATAGCCCTACATGGATCAAACCAACAGTCAAACACTACATGCGTGGATGCCACGATTTAGCATAGTCATCGCGAGACTTTCTCAAGACTGCACCTCCTTTGCCCAACAGTGAGCAACGATGTAGACGTGGCAGGGATACATAACACATGTGGGAGCAGATCATCTTAGTCGACAAAGGTTCATAACTTCATCAACTACCTTGTCTCTCCTCCCTAAAACTCTACACCTAACTTATACGTTACTCACGTGGTGACACCATGGAATACGGCATATACGACAAAGGCATCGGCGGTCAAACACCTGAAGCCAGTCTTCTCATGTCTTCCACCTTCATTGGCCATGTTTCACAGCCATCGAGAGTAGAACAGATCGAAATTGTATGCAGTACACACGATGTTTAATAGATAATCGGATATCGCAACGGTGCCACAGATGACGTAAATTGGCAAAAGCCAGCCATCCACTGAGCGACCAACGTGGGGCTGATCCGACTTCCCAGTTAGGTAAGTGAAGTGGTTGACACAGTCAATCACTTCACTCTCTATTGTTAATCGCAGTAAGGCACCGTTGAAGACCAATCCTGGAGCAACAATTTGCATTTGAGAGGTGAGAACTGCATCCCAAACATTCTCAAATTACCACTCAAAGTGTTCACAAGACTCTGCATTTTGTCAGTGTCTTCACCTAACAGGACTATGTCATCTGCATATTCTAGGTCAACTGAAAGTTCTCCTACGATTAGATCAACCTCTATGTAGTCAATCAGTCAGTCAGTCAGTCAGGTGATGAGAGGGAGACCTCCATAAGAATATCTAAGATAAAATTGAATAAGGATGGAGACAGTGGGCAACCTTGACGGACACCAGTCGATGAGCAGTCGATAGC